CAAGTTACAATTCTTTTGTTTTTGGCAAGTCACTATATGGAAGTACAAAATGTTCTTCAAAAACATGATTACAGAATGAAATGAAATATACACCTAAGCTATAAACAAACATACATATACAACATTCTCACAAATCTAACAAATCTAAAATATAAATTTTGCTGTTTTCGAAATGTATATAATCAACACAATTTATCGAGAAGTGGGGGTGTTTTGAGATATTCCTCAATAGAGTAAAAACAATGGGACAGCATGTGTCTTTTCAGTTTCAATTTGAAGCAGTTATAATTGAGAATCTTGAACTCGCTTGAGGCAGGAAATTATAGATTCCAATATTCAATGAGTTCATTCGGGATTTGTTGAGCCTATATCGGGAAGGCCTCAAAGTCGTTTGCTCCACGAGTTTGGAACTCATGAAAATCGTAGTTGGCACACAAAGTTCTTTTATTCTTGTGAATTTCCAGAAGAGTAGAGTATAGGTATAGATGAATATATATAGGGAAGGGACAGGCATAATAGAGAGTTGTTTGAAAATTTGTTGAGGGCGTCCCTGTAACCTGCACCGGCAAATAATTCTTGTCGCTCTTATTTGTATTTTGAAAACTTGTTGTTACATGAATAAAAAAGAGTATGAGGTTTCTGTGAGTATCTTATTGGTTGGTAGGGAGCCTCACATAACTTCACCTACATTTTAATTATCAAATCCAAAAAAATGTGAGACATTTTGCGAATGTTCTCTAAAATGAATAGAGTCCCTTTGGTAATACCAATGATGTTTTCTTGTAATTCGCATTGTTATAACTATAACAAGACATGAATGTGACATCCCAGGGATGTTTGTTGTTAACTGATGGGACATGGTGTCGTGCATGGTAACGTAGGAAACTGAAAAAAAAGTGTCACTTCGCAATTAGATAATAATATGATAGATCTAAATATGGGGAAGCTATAGTTAGTAGACGAGAACTTTGTAAAGCACCCCTTTTCTTGGGTTGGCCTATACAGGGGTCTTCACAAAGTTACTGATTCACTGGGTTCGTGAATACTTAGGCAGGAGTAAGATTGGTGTATATAGACATTAATACGGCAGTTCAAAATACATAAATCTCTATTCAGCATTCATCATAATATGGACAGGCAGAGTTGACATGGAAGTAAAACAGATGTGCTTACATAATATTGGTTGGTTATACATGATGACAGGATGATGTACACTCGCACTATTATACCGGGTCACTTTGAAAAGTTAATACAGTTTTATAAAAGTTCAATAATTCTCGATACACATCTATTGCAGCAACACTATATGTTCACTAGGTACAGACTTTTAAGCAATTTCTAATATCAACTACATATCACGTATAACTAGACTGTTTAGCAGAGTTACTGGTTCAAGACATGAGACTTCGTATCAAGAGTTCGATCAAGACTTGAGACTTCGTATCAAGAGTTCGATCAAGACTTACTTTTATGCCAAAATTCCCTGCTTTTATACTGAGATTTGGTCATAAATTTAATCAGAATTCATTAGATTTTCGCTTAGTTGAATTGACCTCGAATTAAAGTGCAAAAAGAGTGGCTTCGGATGTTTTCAGAAATAGTTTTTAATTTAATGGAATTTTATCATTAATCATTTTGCAAGAATCGATGTCAGTTGACCTTGGGTATTACTTAAAATTAAGTACAGAAAAAGGATTTCAATGTTCTTCTGAAAAGATTTTAAACTAATTGATTTTTGTAATAATTCATCTGGCCTCTACCTATCTTTGGCCCGCCCCTCTGCTGTGGCTCATTTACTTAGGTTATAAATTCCCTGTACACTCTTTTCTAACTTTTATTCACATCTTTTTGCTGTCCTTGTTCGATTCTTCAACAAGTGCCACTATCAACAATGTTACAAAGGTAAACCCAGTTAACACAAACTGATCTCAGAGACGTCAGTACACTTCACATTCATGATTGAGATCACACCCGCGATTCGATTTGTGAATCACGTCGACATCTCCAGATCCTCTATTCCGGACCCTTTTGGTCATTTTTCGCTTCACATTTAGATGCCGAATGGGACTCAAAAGTTAGCTGAATGTGACTCCAGATATCACGTTGAAATGAGACTCACATTGAGGTCACATTATAATCAGAATGTGAGGTTTAGAAGACCATCGACCATTTCTGAATGTGAGGTTCTTTTCGATTATTATACTGGTATCGTAGCGTCCCTGGAAGAATCATATTGTGCGTCTCAGAAATGCTACATACACATTGATTTTTGATGTCTCAAGTGAAATCACATCTAGATTGATGAAGGTATTCAATGAGAGGACTAATCGGTCTCGAATCTCTGTCAAATAGATCAATCAAGGGTTTCACAAGGCAACTCGATTTTATTGAAAGTCTCATTACACATCAGAATAGGTATAAGTACGTACATGTTATGTTGAGCAAAACTACCTAGATATAACAATGATTGAAACTAGAAAAACAGCGCAGGCCTAGACTTCTTCGAATAATTATACAGGGTATATATCTCCATGAGTTAACGCGATGAATATGGAGAACTGAAAGTAACACAAGACAATCCAATATTTGCTCCTCATCGCTCCTTCCGTTGTAGCATGGTAACCAATCCCTGCTCAGAATTTCAAATTGTTCCAAGGTTGTCCAGATGACTTGTGATTTGACATCTGAAAATGAATATAGAAACAATCAATTGATTTCATTTTGCCCATTTCCTGTTCAGAATATCTTATAGAGAGTGAGTAGAGAACCATAATGAGAGTATTGAAAAATGTTCAAGTCACTTTCATATCTACGTGGAGTCGTGTAAGATTGAAATTATTTATGAGAAGATGAAATCACACTGCATACCTACTGTTCTATACCGGGTGACAAAGAAGATAGAGAATAGCTGCGGCGCATTTTTTCCTTCCATTCATAATATTTTGCAATAATTTTGTTCTTAATCAGACTTTCCCAATATACAATCAGAATATGCATGTTCACTTATACCCTGATCCCAAAATGATATATTCCAAGGTATCATTGTAAGTATCATCATATAGTCTTGAAATGGCGACGTGGTGTCGTCTACCCTGTCTTCATTGTCAACCAGTATATAGGTATATTATTGTATCAAGTTATGAACGTTGTAGTTACTTACCCTGTCACTTAGATGAGAAACACACAGTATCTTTAATCACAATCATGATTTTCGATTAGAAAGAGATGCTTATTCAGTCTAAGCAATAACGCCAAACACGAACTGCATACCAACACCGAATGAACTAATGAACTGAAACAACGAAATGGACGAGACAAAAGCATGCCGTCGCTAAAGAATTCACAGACACGTGTACATCAGTCAGACCGACACTGACCGAGTGTGTACGAAACTTTACATAAGTCACATTGTGCGCTACATTCATGAGTATGCGAGTACACTGATATTTCCAAGTATTGTTCGATATTACTTTCATAAATGAATTTCCTTGAGATGTGAGAGAGATTCACATATTGAAGCATATTTTCGTTTCTTCATTCTGCACAATGTGAATCAGTTTGTCAATTCAGATACATCAAATTATGACTCTCAACGACTGAAATTTCAGATTCTGAAATTATAGTCGTTGTGAAGTTAAGGGGCCTCATAAATATTATATCCATATTGGTCTCAGATCCAACAGAATGTGATGAAATTTGCGAACTATCTGTCACACAAGGAATTCCTTGTAGATATCAGCGATGCAATATTGTGATTCGCTCTTGTGACATCAACTGCCATGAATGCGACATCTCATAGATGTTTGTGTTAACTGGGAAGTACCTAATAATAAACCTATTACATATATGCATTTCTTAGGATTTGAAACAAATATTCATATTTCCAACAAGAGTTAATTCACGTAATAATATTGCTCTATCAATCTATCCTTCTAATACTTATTGAATGCATTCGAGTTCAGATACCTAAATATTTATTGACCTAATTAAAACGACCTTCTACTTCCTATAAGTGTGAAGTGTCTAGCATTAGTATTTGTTATGCTATTTTTGGTCGAGTCTTCGCGTTCATTACAACTTCTCCATTAAATTTTAGATCGACAATAATGGTCAGACTCCTGATAAGTATACCATTTATTTATTTGGATATTCTGTGGCTCTGGGTGGCGTCTGATTGTGTATTACTTATATTGTTTTGTTTGCATGGATAAATATGAGAATGAATAGGAGCGAGGGTACAACGATCTGTTTATTTGCTGGCAATTGATGATATTTTGAAGAAATCGCCGACTACGAACAATATAGTGGTCACCCAGACAATACCTGGAAGAATGATTATAACCTTTTATATACGCACTATGAAAACAATTTACCCTACTTTCCAGCAAACAAGTCATTTTCATTTATACATAATTATCATATGGAATCCACCAAAATCTTTTGAGATTCGTCACCTAAAACAGTAATAAAAGATCCTATCGATCCACAGTTTTTTTTTTCAAAAATAAAATACAATAAGACAAAGTGCGGTTGGAAAGAAATCTTGAGTTGATTGTTAAACAGGCTGTAAATGTTTTCTACTTAATTTTATTCCCGACGAAAGGCACCATATCATATGTCCACCCTCTTGTGCACTTTGCTGCCGGTGCCCATCATGCATGCATATCATATAGTCTTTAATAATAATAAGCATTTCATCTGTAATTGAATATCAGTTAATAAATAATCATGAAATTTTTACGAAAAAACAATTGTTTTCGCGTATGTTTGTTCAGCGCTTTTTCGTAGGATCGTCTGCACGATTGCACGGATGTTCGTTTGTTCGGAAACGGCGGGAATGAATGGCGGGAATTATTAATTATTCAAAAACGAATTATAATAATGAGAAGTAGAACAGAAATTATAAGTTATGGATAGGAAGAAGAAAAGCTGGCTGGTTGTCCAACTCTGGATTAGAGCCAAGAAAATAGAAGAAGAAGAAAATTTTAAAATGTGAGGTTATAAAATATAAACACGTGAAAATCTGAAAATCCAAACGAGAAAATGGCCAAGTTCAATCTGAGTAAGTTTTTCATTACGGTATAATGATTATTATTATCAATAACTCAAATTATTCATGTAGAGAAACAGTCGAAGCGACAGCCTGCGCGCTTAAGATACAAGGTTGAAAAGAAAATCCGTGATCACAACAGAAAAGTAAAAAAAGAAGCCAAAAAGAACCCCAAAAAGGGAAAACAGAAGGTTATACAAATTCCGAACATTTGCCCATTCAAAGGAGATATCTTGAAAGAAGTAGAAGCCCTTAAGAAACAGAAAGAGGAGGAAAAACAGAAACTACGTGATGCTGCACGGTTAGAAAGGCAAAAGCTGAAAGAAGGCCAGAAACAAAATGAGTTATCTGGAGGTCTGCAAGGTCTTGTTTCTAATGCTGAAGTTCGAGACAAGTTGCATGAACATTTGACGCCAAATGTGCTGGAAAAATCACATGAATCAAATAGTGAGAATTCTTTGAAACAATATTACAAAGAATTCAGGAAAGTAATTGAAGCTGCAGATGTAGTTTTGGAAGTGGTTGATGCAAGGGACCCTTTGGGAACTCGATGCAAACAAGTAGAACAAGCTGTAATGGATATGAAAGGCAATAAAAGACTTGTACTCATTTTAAATAAAGCTGACTTGGTCCCTAGAGATATTCTGGATAAGTGGTTGAAATTTCTCAAGAAAACTACCCCTGCAGTAGCCTTCAAAGCATCTACACAAAACCAAAGTAGAAAATTAGGACAGAAAAAATTCTCAAAATCAGATAAGGTGTTACAGAATTCATCTTGTGTTGGAGCTGAATTGTTGATGTCTCTTTTGGCAAATTATTGTAGAAATAAGGGAATAAAAACTTCAATAAGGGTTGGTATTGTAGGGTTACCAAATGTTGGTAAAAGTTCCATTATTAATAGTTTGAAGAGATCTAGGGCCTGCAATGTTGGTGCCACTCCTGGAGTTACAAAGTAATTGAAATAATTTTGTTCCTCATTAATGTGAAATATGAAATTAATTTATTTTCATAGGACTGTGCAAGAAGTGCAGTTGGATTCAAAAATTAAACTACTAGACTCCCCAGGTATAGTTTTTGCATCTGGAAATGACAGTAGTGCTTCTTTGAGGAATGCTATTCGAATTTCTTCACTAGCTGATCCTATAGTACCTGCCAATGCAATTTTACAAAGAGTTACTAAACAACAGATGATGGAAATGTATGATATTACTGAATATGACACCCCAGAAGTATGTTTTATTATCTAAAAAAACGGAATAATTGTAATTGTATGGTGACAATTTCAGGAATTTTATAGCAAAAAAGCTGCACGTACTGGTAGATTCAAAAAAGGAGGAGTCCCTGATTCTGTGGCAGCAGCTAGGGGTTTATTAGAAGACTGGAACAAGTAAGTCATAATACTTATATAAATTTAGTTATATCAAGGGTATAAAGTATCAAGATATCTCTACTGATTTTCTTAGTGTTGAAGATTTTTAACATACCTTTTCAAACTTCGTATAAATATTGATCAAGAAGTGGTGATGATTGATATATATTTTCTCCAGTGGCAAGATAAAATATTACACTCTGCCTCCTGAAGAAGACTTGACCAATGTTCATATTAGCTCAGCAATAGTAACTGAGATTGCTAAAGAATTTGACTTGGACAACTTTGAAAGCATGGAGACTGAAGTATTGAATAAAATTGAAAAAGAATCAGGAAGCAAAGACAATGCTTTCCTTTTAGATAGCCTAGGTCCAGTTGAAGAAATGGAGGAAGACACTGTTGAAGACAAGCAATTGGTAAGAATTTTAAGAACATGGATGATTACAATTTATTATGATTTCAATCATAATGAATATTGATTAATATATCAGTATTCATTTTTCATTGCAGCTTAGTAAAAAAATTAATGTGTCAACCACAAAAAAGGCTCAGAAAGGAAAAGGTGTAGCAAGGACAAAAAAAGTGGATCCTGAAATGGAACTGGAAGGGAACCAGAAACTGAATCAGATAAAGAAGTTGCAGTTCAAGAAAGAAAAGAAACAGAGAAATAGAAGGGCTAAGGTTTCAAAGGAGTTATCACAAAGTTTGGAGAGTTTTTCTTTGAAAACAGATAAGAGTATGTCTGTTGAAAGTTATGATTTTGATGCAGATTTCACAGAAAAATAGTATGATGAATTAAATCTGTGAATATATTATTGTTTTTTTACATATCAAATGTATATAGTATAAAAGTATGAAACTGTGTGTAAAGTTGACAAATATGATCAATATTGATTTAAAAATCTTCTGGAGGTTTGTAGTCTGGTAAAATTTCCCAAACTTTTTCCCTCCATCTCCGTTTTCTGAGCTCTTTCGCTTTTTCCAGCTCCATAACAGCTTTCAGTGACATCCATTGATGATAATAATGAAATAAAATTTTCCTACAAAGAAATTGCATGAATGTTTTGTGAAAACTTCAAGAAATTGGTCAGTGCATATACCTATTATAATGTTCTTCTGCTACTTTCTCATATTTATCTTGTAACATAATTTGGATGCAAACATATCTATGCCAGTGAATGAAAGTGTTTTTGGTCAAATGAAAATCGTAGATATCCTCAGCTACTTGCATATTTCTGATATTTTCCAGATGCCACTGAAAAAAAATTGTTTACAATACATTTCACACCAGGTACCTATAGTAATATTTACAGTTTTCCATGTTTTTAGACACTGTTTCAATACTTTATATTCAAAATGTGCATCTGCCAATTCATTTTTGACTTTATATAAATCATCAATATATTCCAACCATGAGTTAATACTCCATTGCAGAATTTTATTTTCAAAATGATGACATGCTAGAGAATAGTTCACCCTAGATAACTGCATATTGTCATTTAGATTTCTAAAACAATTCCTAAGAACAAATCTGTTATGAAATTTTATTGCTGTGTCTAAATCATTCAAGTATCTCTGTTTGTTTGCTTGTCTTGTTCTTTCCATCTCAAGCTCCTTTCTCCTCTTTTCTTTCATTATTTCCAGGTTCCTCTTTTTATCTTCTTCCTCTAGACATTTTTTTCTCTCAATTGCTTCTTCTAACAATCTTTGTCTATGTTCTTCCATGATGCGTTTTCGTTCTTGAATGATTTGGCGTTTCTGAGCTCTCTCCACCGCTCTTTGTTCCATTTTTTGTATGATATTTGGAGCTTTTTGAGTATTCACTGTGAATTTTGCTTCCTCAACTAAGGTGATTGGCACCTTACATTTGACACTTTCTGAACAGTTGGCAAATATTTCCCTGATATTTACCTTGGTATTTTCAATGGATTTTAATAAATCCTCTCTTATAATCCCAAATTTGAGTTCTTCAATGATTTTGTTCTGCTCATTCAATTTTGCTTTTTGTTTATTTATTATATCTTTTTGAGCAGTGAATCTATGTTTATAGATACCAAAAGATTTTGAAGACTTTATTGGTGGCATTGTCATCATTCCATTATTTGTAATCAAAGATTCTGAATCCTTCAGCTCATTATTCAATAATTGTGTCTTTTCTGTAACCAGATATTTTTTTCTGTTTTTCTTAGAAATTTTGAGCTTCTTCATGAGATTCTCTAACTTTTTTTCCTGTATTCTGGCATGATAGGAGGTTTCCTTCTGATCTTTCACATATCTTATATTGTATCTCCATAAATCAAAATATTTTTGACAAAGTTCTGAATCATTCGATTTTGGCAAGTCAGAATTTTGATTCACATATGGGTGTAATAGTTCATCAATGACCATATTCACAATTTGATTTTCTTTACAAAAATGCTTTGTAACTGGTGGAATAACATCTACAGTATCAATATTCCTTGGATTAGGTAAATCTTCCCAGAAGCAATTATCGTTCCAGTCAATACGGTTTTTACAGTGTCTTGTGCTACTTTCTGTTTCTGCAGTGCTAAACTTTTCATCCTGAGTTTTACTAACGATTGATAAAGAGAAACTGGCCATTTTTTCAATGTCTTCATTCAATAACACCCTGCAGTAACATTTCAAGAGGAGAAAATATATTCAAAGTTGCGGAAAACACTCACCTTTTGGCTTCTAAAACAATATCGTCACATTTGGATAATACATGATTTTGTTCGTAAGTATTACGGTAAAAATTGTCCACATCTTCCTTCATTCTTATCGGTGGTTTGTCATATATTTTGTATCATCAATTCGTTGCCGGGCAACTTCAAATTTTCCGCCACTAAAAATAGGTTTGTTCTTGTTCGAAAAATAAACGGTTCAAAACCATCGGAAGATCTCATATCGGAAGCATGTGCAGTTCCACGGAACATTTCAGGCCTGTTCGTTTGTATTGCTAAACTGGCTAAAGTTTATCTTATTCCCATAGTTGTCTCTGTTCATGCCATGATGTGAACAAAAGGCTTGTAGCTTCATTTGTATTGCTAAAGTTGATTCTTGATGTAAACAAAGTAAGTCATAGAAAAAAATCAAGTTTAGCAGGTTGAGCAAGCACAAACGAACAGGCCTTTCATTTTTCGAACAAGAACAAACCTAATGTGTCAAGTGTCAATTTGTGAGTGTCAAGGAAACTTGCTGTTTTCAGTGTTCTCTGATATTTTCCTGGAAAATACTGATGGTGGGAGTAAAATTAATGAAAATGGTGACGTATTTTAAGGTGAGTTTGCATCTAATAAAAATGTTTGATGGATGATAACTTTTATATTAATTTGAAAATGTTTAATTTTTATGGATAGAAGTTCATAAGAGCTATGGATAATCAACTTTCTGAAGTTTCAAAATTTGACATTATATTTGTTCGTTTATTAATAAAACCGTCTTCCCCTTTATGGTTTACATATCAAGATGGATTCTCCCGATAGTTGACAGGATCTCATCATTTGAAATATTTATCATGTATATAAGTATTATCACTATCAAACATCTTCGGAAGCTGTTGATGATTTCACAATTGGGATATTCTCAGTGGACTTTGATGTTTTTGCAGGTATCCATGGCCTATTTGTTATAACTTGAACCAAAATGGATACTGTTATTGAGGGCCCCCAAAATGACAGGGGCGATATACAAGACCTCAGTGTTGTGACTGCTTCAAATTGGGGCACTGCAACTGAGGACAACTCTAATAATAATGCTACCCTTTTGTACATTGCTGTAAGTGTACCAATTTTTTTTCCATTGTAGAAGTTACAAATCCTTCATTGTAGGTTGAATATGTAAAAGATTACAAGATTGACGATGCCAGTTCTAACATCACTACTCAATCTGAAGTATATTCAGATTTTGATCAGCATGTCAGCCCTTTAGACCCTAATATGAGTTCTGTTGCAAGATATAGCCCTGTCTATAATGAACCTTCTAATGAATACAATCCTGTTGTTATTCATCAGTTGATTTCTCAAGATGGTACTGTTCAGCATGAACAATTTGTTAGTAATCTGAACACTTCTTCACTTGGAACTATACCAACTGTTCTATGCAATAGAGATGTTAGTAATGAATTTTTGCAAATGGTAGATGGCAATGGTACTGATATAACTGCTGCTACTAATAGTGACAATCTTCAGTTGGTACCAGAGACAGAGCAACAAGTAGAACTGCTGATCACAGATGAAGCTACAGGTAGCTCACACTTCAGAAAGCAGTCAAACTCTTGTTAAAAAGCATTACTATCTTTCTAGGAATATCATATAGTGTGAATGCACAAGAACTTCTTGTTGAGCGTTGTCTGCAAGAGGACCAACAGCTTTTGGAAGCTCTGGCACCCAATCCCATCCTAGAATCTGACCTGCCTACATTAGATGAAAAGACTCTGAAAACAGAGTTGAATGATGATATTGAAATTCCTACAAATGATGTAGCCTCTGTAGACCCACAAGTTGTAGATACTTATATTAATAGTTTGTCTGATAATGACCTTACCAAATCACTGGATTCTGATAGTAGTTTCAAGATGGAAACAAGGCAAGCTAAGAGAAATGAGCCTGATGTTGATGAACAATTGTGTGAGTACATAAATGGTTAATTCAAGAAATTTAAATATAATACTTTTGTCTGTGGAGTAGATAGATGGGATGGAAGACATCAAAATTATGTGATTATTTTTATTTATTTATTACATAATTATATACCTAATAAATATATCAACAACTGTAAATTGGCAAACAAAGAATAATATTTGTAAAAAAAAATGGCATGATTAATTTTATCCAGTTTGCTCAGAAATAATCAGTTTTTTTACTTCATTTTTGAATGTACCTATATTTCTGAAATTTTTTATATTATCAGGTAGTTTATTGAATTCAGTTAAGGCTGAATGAGTGAATCTTTTTTGTCTGATTATGGAGCTAGCTGCGTCAAGATGAAACAAGTTATATTGTCTAGTTTCATGATTATGAATTTCAGAATTCCTTATGTTTCAATTCTATATATTTCATACAATTGATTGGTTGGTGTATCAAATGGGAGATGATACAATACTTTTAATGATTTTCTATATAATGTTGATATTTTATTGAAATTATTTTTTGAACAAGATCCCCAAACATTTATTAAATAGTTGATACGACTCAGTATATGAGAGTAGAGAATCATGTTTGCAATTTCAATATCAAGTTTGGGACATCTTCCCAATGCAATAATAATTGGAGATATTTTTTTTTGTCAGAACATCTATATGTTTGTCCCACTTCAACCTGTCATCAAACCAAATACCAAGATATTTTATCTGGTCAGTTTGTTTTAAGAGTTCATTTTTTATTTTAAGGTTGAGGTAAATTTTTTGTTCATTTTTTTGGTGAAAAATCATATATTCTGTTTTGTTACTTTGTTAGTATTCATTGATAAAAGGTTAGATTTTTCAAATATTTTCAAGTCTTCATTTATCATATTTTCTAAATTTGAAGGATTCTTGCCTACATATAAAAGTACTGTATCATCTGCATACATGGTATATTTACATGCTAGACCAATTTCACTGATATTTTGAACATAAAGTAAATATAGTATAGGTCCTAAAACAGAGCCTTGTGGGACACCCTTATTGATTAATAGTTTATTTGACACAGAGTTGTTTGATTTTGTATTGATTGTCCTATTTTCAAGATATGAATTCAAAATATTTCTAAAAGTGTTGTATCATCAACTGTGTCAAAAGCCTTTTTGAGATCAATGAAAACAGCTACCACATAATTTCCTGAATCAAGTCCTCTCTGGATTGTTTCTATCACTTGTAGTACTGCTGCTTGTGTTCCACTGTTTTCTTGAAAACCAAATTGATTAGAATCAAAGCTATATTTTTTGTTGATGAATTCTAAAATTTGTTTTTGAGGGATGAATCTAATTTATTTAATATTCCTTGTTCATTTTCATTTTGCAATTAAATTAATACTTGTGCATTATTTCCTCAAGGGGACAGTAATAATTATTAGATTTTGTTGTTTGTTTTCAGTGTCTTGTGTTTATAGTATTACTGATAAACCTATTTTGTCAAGAGCAAAAGCCACTCTTCCTGAAGCTTATTTAGTTATTGGTAAAATTGATGAAGGTAGGACATGAATAAACATTTCTCTATTTGAAGAAGAAAATAATTGTATTATTCCTAGAGTATGCCATATTTGCCAAGAAGAATATCCCCAAAAGGGCACAATTTGGACCCCTTGAAGGTGTATTATCATTGAATGATGATACAAATTCTGCAAGAAATGATGAAAAGTTGAAATTTTTTGTTGAGAGTGAAGGAGTTTTATACAAAATTGATGTTTCTGATGAAAGTGAGATCCTAATAATATTTTTTTTGTGTAGTTTATAATGAGAATAATTTCAGACTCTTCAAATTGGATGGGTTTTGTAAGGAAAGCTAGCACATTTGAGGAACAAAATGTAGTTATAACTCAGGAGAATAATGGCATATATTTCACAACCACTGCAAATATTCTTCCTAAACAGGAACTCAAGGTTAATATTACTTGAAATTGATAAAACATATTAGTTCATGATTCAATTTTTTGTTTTCTACTTTTAGGTTGGATACAGTACTGTTTATGCCCAATATTACAATCTTCCTGTACTCCAACCACATGAACAGCTAACATGGCCTTGCTATGAATGTCCTTCCAAATTTGAATCATCTGAAGAATTACAGAAACATCTCAATATTCATGATGATGATAGAGATGATAACATCAAACCTAGAAGAAAGCTGATGAGATCCAAAAAAAGATTCTTCAAGAAATACCAGAGTGATGCTATTGAGTGCAATATTTGTGAAGAAGTATTTCTTCAGTATAATTACTGTTTTCTGAAATTGCATTTGGTACAGAAACATGGATTCGTTAAAGGAAATGTTGAAGAAAGTTTCACAGTTGTTATGTATGAACCAACACCTGATGAACATGAGAAAAGCAGTTTTACCAATGCATTTTTTTAGGCATTTCAAGTGTGACTATTGCAGTGCTATTTTCAAATCTGATTCTGTGCTTAAAATCCACAATCTGGAGCATGATCCAGACTCATCAGATGTGCAACGAAATCATGTGTGCCCTGGTTGTCAAAGGAAATTCCCCACACAAAGACAACTTGTACTGCATGTTATGCAACATGCCATAACCAAGAATGTGGTTTCACCAGAGAAGGTTAAATGCCCTATTTGCTCTAAATTGTTTGCAGAAAGAGAAAGACTACAGGTGAGCAACATGAATATCTTCAATTTCTTCTCTATATACTCAACACTAAATGAAGAAACATTGTAGGTGTATCATTTTTTTAGAATATTTCCAGTGTGGTCATGAATTGTGTCTTTTTGAAGAAAAAGATTCTTTTTTGATGACATAAAAATTACATTGAAATGGAACATGATTTGTTTTGTTATCCTCATAAATTTGGGAGGAATATATTGATGAAAGAGGGTACAAAATAAAGGTTTTTTTTTGCCAATTTATGGAATCTCCCATTTACCTCATTGTTTCAGAGATTATGTTAATGGTTAAGGGGTTAAACAAATTAGTTTTGTAGGTGTATTGAATCATTTTTTAATAATATTTCCAGTGTGGTCATGAATTGTGTCTTTTTGAAGAAAAAGATTCTTTTTTGATGACATAAAAATGACATTGAAATGGAACATGATTTGTTTTGTTATCCTCATAAATTTGGGAGGAATATATTGATGAAAGAGGGTACAAAATAAAGGTTTTTTTTTGCCAATTTATGGAATCTCCCATTTACCTCATTGTTTCAGAGATTATGTTAATGGTTAAGGGGTTAAACAAATTAGTTTTGTAGGTGTATTGAATCATTTTTTAATAATATTTCCAGTGTGGTCATGAATTGTGTCTTTTTGAAGAAAAAGATTCTTTTTTGATGACATAAAAATGACATTGAAATGGAACATGATTTGTTTTGTTATCCTCATAAATTTGGGAGGAATATATTGATAAAAGATGGTACAAAATAAAGGTTTTTATGGAATCTCCCATTTACCTTATTGTTTCAGAGATTATATTAAGGGGTTAAACAAAATAGTTTGTTGAAATGTCAACACCAATTAATATTTTATATTCACAATGAGTTTTCAAATTGAACACCATGTATAGTTTTGACGGTAAATATGAAAAATTAAAGATTTATGAATCCCATATAATAGTACAAAGTATTAGGGTTCAAAATTAATGTTCTACATTTTTTTTGACTTTTTTACTATCAAATGTTATCAGCTTGAATTATTATTATTCTAAATAAACGAAAAACTATTGAAATATATTTAGATTTGAAGAAAGAATTTGATACAATTTCACATGAGAAATTATTATCAAAATTGGAACGGCTTGGTATTAGAGGGATCTGGTGGAAAAATTTCATAAGTGATTTATCTGAAAGGGAACAAAATGTTCAGATCCAGCAAGTCAAAAGTGACGCAAGAGTTGTTAGGTGTGGTGTTCCCCAAGGAACAGTTTTAGGGCCTATTCTATTCTTGATTTGCATAAATGATTTGTTGAAAAATAAAAATAAACTTATTTTCTTATGCTGATGATACAGTGTTTATAGGTAGTGGAAATACTTGGGAAGAAACAGTATCAAATGCTGAATTTGATTTATCAATTATAAAAAACAATTTTAGAAATTGAACCAAAAAAGGAAACAATCAAGTAGGTACACCACTTCAAGACAATTTGAATAATTGAACTGTTGATATTTGTTCATAGGTGACGTCAGAATTGCAACAGTGTAAAAGTTTGGATGGAAGAAGAAATTGTTTTTTTCCAAATTTCATTTTGATTACTTCATATTTTTTAATTATGCTAGTTGATAGTTGTGGACATTTCTCAAGCTGTAATTAATATGTTTCACCCTGCATAACTTGTTCAATATCAGCGTCAATATCATGGAACCAGAAAAAGACTCTATGAACCTGTCAAAAATATACCGGGTGTCCCACAAAGTCATCTAGCGGCAGAAGTAAATTTCCACAGACTTTGGAACTGAGGAAACATATTTCATTAGATACAACAATGATGGAAATGTGCAATACAACCACTGGCATTGGGGGACAAGCGTCTAGCTACACCATCTCCATCGGTGGCTCTTTGAATTCTCGCGCGTACAGGACGTCTCTGGCATCACGTGATATCTGCGAAATGCAATTATTTCTTCATAGAAAAACAAAATCCTAGTAAGCTAATGGTGTTACAGTGGGATGTGGATCTGAATGCCACTCCTGCGACTCAGGTTCAATTCCTGCGAGGATGAACTTCTTTTTTTATTTTGTTCTCTTGAGCAAATTTTCCAAAAATCAGAAAAAATAGTCTCCTTTCTTAGATGGAAAAGATATTTTCCTTCCTTGAATTACATTATTACGTCTTCGAAATTCAGAGAGCCACCGATGGAAAAGGGTATAGTTAGACGCTAATCACTGAAGGGTCACCTGGAAATCCGTAACAATGAAAGACCCGGTATAGCGGTATATCTAGAAACAAATCGTATACAAATAATTCTAAATTAGCATAGGATTCATTGTATAAAACTAAATGGAAAATTGAAGGAATCACCAAAAAAACTTAAATAATATTGTGTAATTAATTTTCAAAATACATAACCATTAGTGTTGGGATTTGAATTCTTTATTGAACAACAATTTTCAAATGGCAACCAACCGAAGTTTTCCTGTTCTTCTTCATACCAAGAAAAACGCGGAAAAATACTGACGTCCAGTGCATAACACTGAACAATTTGTTTTAGAAACATATGTTGGTTCATGGGTCCGATGAAGCCAAACCTCTACAATGTAAAACATGCCACAAACGATTTCTCAACAACTCGGCACTGGCCTGTCACATAAAAACGCACTTCATCGGCAAAAAAATCTTCGAATGCCCCATCTGCAATGAGAGCTTCGATAACGTTCTCAAACTGAAGCTGCACGTTCCCAGCCACTGCCAAAACAACAATTTCACTTGTCCCCACTGCAAGAAAGCCTTCAAGAAATACAGCATCATAAGGAAACACATCAGGGCTTTCCACTGCGAGAGAACGCACGAATGCCAGTATTGCGCCAAAAGGTTTCCCACCCTCGACAAACTTCGTATGCACTTGTTGCGACACTCTGATCACAGGGAATTTTTGTGTGCCGACTGCGGAAAGCAGTTCAAGAGAAAAGACAAGCTGAAGGAGCACTGCAAGAGGATCCATTCGGAGGAGCGAGAGAATACCATCCCGAAGATGACTTTGAAGAAGAAAATAAGGAAGTTTACGCCTAAGGTGGAGCCTACTGATTTCCACAGGTTCATTTATAAGTGCCATGCCTGTTTGGTTGGGTTCAAGAGAAGGGGTAAGTCATTGTGGGAAGTGTTTGGTTCATAATAAATGGCAACCAGCGTCAATTAAACTGACTATATAAGTTTCATCATTTCAATCTACAATATTTATTATTGTATAATGTATCCCAAAATCGAGTTCAATAATTTTGACTACAGTAAAATGATATCAAAACAACCTCCAGGGCTAAAATGAAATAAAGTGCTCAAGGAATTGAGTGGATCACTCGAATTTTGGGCGTTGAAAATGCGATTAACTTTTTGCAAATCGACCGAATTCCAATCGGAATGCAGTGTTCAAAAGATGCATCCTTTCTGTTCATTGTTGGATTCAATTGTTTCATTTAAAATCGGCTCTACACTCTTCTTTATCAATAGTTACTAGCAAGTTGACATAACTAAAGCTTCATTCAAATTTTCAAAACCAACATAGTACTGCAAATTATCATTACATAGATGCAGGTGTGTTCCTTTATCATTTTTTGGTAGGGTTAAGTAAGGTACTTTCTTCAAAATGGGTACGTTAATGAATCGATAGATGTTTTAATCATGTAGGTTAGGTTAGTCTCTATACAGGGTGTCCCACTAAGGTCGGCGAGGTACGATATTAGGAAACCATAAACCTCAGGACTTCGAAGGAAAAAAATTAAGGACTAAATCGGCCAAGTAAAATTGATAGAAAATATTTTCAAGTTCATAAAACGACCGCTAGGGGGCGCAATCTCGATGATAAAACTCAAAATTCAATTTTTCTCGAAAATCACTAAATTAAGGTACTGTTTTAATGAAAGAAATGCAGAGTTCATTGTATGTTCCCGGACTTTTTTCCATATCTTGAAAAATAAAGGTGGGGGGCACTGGTGAAGAAATCATTTTTGAAAACACTATCTCCGATATCCTTTTTCCAAATTTAATCAACTTGGGCTCATTTGGGAGAGAATTCCACACCAATTTAAACACTGAATTTGACATTGATCTCTAGTTCACACAGCGTCTACTAGATGGCGTCGTTCACCCAAGATTCTGTTTTTTTGATTTTTTCCAAAAAAATCAAATGGGATGCTACATATTTTGATCACCAGATCCAAAACGCATAAAATTAGCTACATTTTGGCGGAAACCGCGATTCGATATATTCATACGTTTTCGAGTTATTTTATTCAAAAGAAATCATGTTCACATTACAAATCTTCTATTCCTTTACTTTTATCGTGATACCTATGGAAACAATCATACTTCAATGCAGATAGTTGCTAAGCAACTGTAATAGTAATGTAGTTTGACATCAGTGAGGAGATGGTAATTGCATCAATTATTATTATTTTGCACATAGAACGAAAATATTAGATCAACACATGCAATAAAAGGCTGAAAATTCGAAAAATAAGCATTTTAACTTGCATTTTAATCAATAGCGCAGGTGAATATGATGAAGATGTTAATTATTTCGTTCAAATGCAGTATTACTCAGGATAACACAAATCAGAGAATTTGTTCAAGATTGAACATGATTTTTTTATAATAAAATTTTGTTATTCGAGAATAACTCGAAAACGGATAAAGATATCAAATCACGGTTTTCGCCAAAATGCAGCTAATTTAATGCATTTTAAATCTGTTGATCAAAATATGTATCATTCCATTTGATTTTTCTGGAAAAAATCAAAAAAACAGAATCTTTGGTGAACGACGCCATCTAGTAGTCGCTGTGTGAACTAGACATCAATGTCAAATTCAGTGTTTGAATTGGTGTGAAATTCTCTTCCACATGAGCCCAAGTTGATTGAATTTGGAGGAAGGATATCGGAGATGAAGCGTTTTCAAAAATGATTTCTTCACCAGCTTCCCCCACCTTTATTTTTCAAAATATGAAAAAAAGACCGGCAACAAACTGACGCGAATTTCTATGAACTCTGCATTTCCGTCATTGAAACAGTATCTTGATATAATGGTTTTCGAGAAAAATAAAATGTTTAGTTTTATCATAAAGATTGCGCCCCCTAGCGGTCGTTTTATGAACTTGAAAATATTCTCTATCAATTTTTCTTGGCCGATTTAGTCCTTAATTTTTTTTCCTCGAAGTCCTGAGGTTTATGGTTTCCATGATATCGTACCTTGCCGACCTTAGTGGGACACCCTGATAAGTGAGGCGAATACCGCCCGTCTACTGCGACCCCTACTGGGTTCATTGTGTCTCACCCCTAGAGGTTACAGTTCAATGGATGATCCACTTCTTGTTACAAATTTCATGGTTGAAAGAGATGAGATTTTTCTGAAATCGTTAGGTTCTAAATGGGTGGAACCTAATATGCTGAACCTTAGTCTCTTGAAGCAAGAATATGAACATGATATGTGTTCAGCCATTTCGTTTTCCACACAGCAGAAATGACAGGCATTGGTTCAGACCAATCCCTCCTAGGTGGTATCTTAGACGACAGTTTCAAGTAAGCAGTCCTATCAGAATTTGTAGGTTATTGCTGCTCCATTCTAGGATCTGCCCTGGGTATTTTATTTGATGGTTTATGCAGAATTGCCTTCGGATGAGCCGATTCCGGTAATTAAGACTACTACGTGAGCCTCTTTCCCTCCTTTCAGTCCGAAATAGTTGTTTTGGATTCCATATGTCAGCGTAAAACAGTGAAATCCGTCATTCTCTGGAATGCCTAGCAGTGGCGGCTCGTGACTTTCATGACAGAGGAGGCTGGATGATATGAGATTTATTGTGAAAAACAACTCTCTACTCACCCAAATCAATAGCTTTAATGCCATTCTGTTTACCAGTTAACCTGAACTTAATACTTGAAGAGATGTGTTCCTGTGATTCGCAGTGTCTATCCAATCCGCGAGCCAAATTTTTCAAATCATTATATCCTAATCGCCCCCAACATGATGACTTATCGGTTGAAAATAATACGCAGTACCAACAAAATAGCTTATTCCTTACCTCAGATCCCGTCAGCCAGATATATTTTTTATAATTATCAGAATTGAACGAAGGAATTTGTTTGTTACCTGTTACAATCAGATTTTTTAGTTCCGTTGTCGGACGTTTGTTTTTCACAATCAATTTATCTTCATAAGAGAAAAAAAGTATTCCACTAAATTGCAATTCTTTCAAAACACTCATTTTTCAGAAATTCATAGAGCCCCTAACCATTAACCCAACATAAACATTAACAATGCCCGCATTTCGCGACGCGACACGACAAACACGTGCTATTCGGGCATTTGCATTGCGCGAGTGGGTTGCGCTCAAGATTGCGCTTGCGCATTGTGAAAGGTGTCTAGCCTCCTATAGATGTTGCCAAGTTGAATATTTTACGCGTGATTTGCAGACTTCAACGTGTGATGCGTGGGCAAGCACTGTTGCCAATTCAAAAATATTCACCTAAAAACAGGAAATAAAATCAAAATCCATGTATTTTGGTGTCCTTTTAATGAGAAAGTATAGATAATATCAGTTCAAGGAAAATCTCTGAGGAGGCTCAGCCTCCGTTGCCTCCTCTGAGGAGCCGCCACTGATGCCTAGTCATTTCACGTATTGCCGGCAAACAGCGTAACTCTAAATTTCGTACACCGTTTGCCTAATAGTTTCAGGCATTCCCTGTAATGACTGAAGGCAGGTTCATTTAGGCCGCGTCAGCTTAGGTTGTTCAGAAGCAGTAGTCTCTTCTGTTCTCTCAAGTAATTTTCTGAAAAATATATTTTCTAGGAAGAAGGTTCATTTAGGCGGAAAACCTTCTTATGCATATGCAGAAAGGATATTTTCCTTTCTCATCCCTCCGCCAAACAGAGTAACGGCTGAAAATGGAAGTTACGCTGTTTGCCGACAATACGTGAAATGACTAGACATTTCAGGGAATGACGGATTTCACTAATTGACGCCGACACATACAAGCTTGAAATCTATCTTTCTGGAGTTCAGTGCTTTGAGAGCAGCCTCACTGTCTGATACAATACTGATCGGTTTTGTTTCCTAGAGGTATATTAGTCAACTCTCTCACATACAATTCAATTATGAAGACTTCCGCCTGAAAGATTGTAGAAAGATGGATTGCTGGATCAGCCAATGATGTGCGTTCGCGACACCCTGTATTAGTAGTAGTATGGTGGGGAGGCTACAGCCAGGCAAGTAGGCCCCCATTGGCCCTTTTTACCAACCCCTGCTCTCCACATATCTACACGTCCTTCTTCTAGTTGTCCTTTCTGAACCTCCCTGATCTTCTGATGAGTATTCCGTGTTTATTTTTGCTAGGAATGCTGGTGAACCATCTAGCGAAACGCCACCCCGAAATTCCTCCCGATTCAGTTCCCGAACTCAATCTACCCATCTTACAAACCACCCGAGACTACTACTGTCAATATTGCGACAAGATCTACAAGAGCAGTTCGAAAAGGAAAGCGCACATACTGAAGAACCACCCGGGCGCTGCTCTGCCGATGAGCAATCGGAAGCGCGGCTCGCTGCAAGACGTTTCCGGGCTTCCTAACCCCACTTTTTCGCAGACGGTGGGTAGCATCACTACGAGTCCCCAGAGCTGCAAGTGGTGCCACAAACAGTATGCCAGCAAGGTAATGATTAGTAGTACTGAGTTGTTCTTATTAATATGATTTTTCTGCAACCCAAAAGTCTCTTGAATTGACGTTTCTATTACTAACACAAAAATAGGTATGTGGTATGTTGCTAGGCAACACATTCAGTTGTTAAAAAAGATGTATTAGAGAACACCAAGAATTCGCGAAAATCACGAACTCTATTAAACGTCAAATCAACGTCAAATTTCAAACTGAGTATGAACAACAAAAACATTGCCGTATACTCATTGCAAATTGGTTATTTCGAAATCATTTTGCAAAATAGTGAATAATGAGTTGACTTCGTGAAATACGTACAAGGTTTTCAGTATGGAAAAAATTACTTTTTGTGCAGAGAAATTGCCATTTTGATGTGGACAATGGTGGTATTCATCATTGATATCACACTAGGATTCCACAGTTTTAAAACATATGGAATGGTCAGAATGGTCCACTCAACACATGCATGGACTGGAATGGAGCCATATAAGCAATCAGCTATTACAACAATATGGTATAGGTATGAAGAAATAATTGAATTCATGAAGAAATATCAATGGCTTTTATGAAGGAGATGGAATTCTAGTGAAGGGGCTGGGAAAAGAAGATATGGTTGGAGAGGCTGCTCAGAATGAACAATATCATCGATTTACATAAAAAAGGATCTCCAGCAATTGAAGACTTGAAGTTATTCTCAAGATCGAATCATTGCAACCAACATTCATACAAGGATTCTAACTGTGCTTCAGAAAATGTATATTATATTATTATAAGGTAGGTGCTGGCTTCTTCATTGTAAACAATAAAAGTTCATGCAATAATTCGAGTTTTTTTTATCAGGGAAAAATGAGGTTCTGGAATATGCACTTCAACAAATAAATTATTTTCAAATAAAACACAGAAACTCAAAACAATGGTCGCCATATTTGTTGTTCATACTCGCAAGGCTTGTAAAGTTAGCCACCAGAGGCCGCACACTTCGTGATTTTCGCGAATAAACAACAGTGTTATGGTTGGTTATTTGGGTTGGGACGCATATCTGATTCGTTCCCGATTGACAGATTTGGCAATTCATGCCCATGCTGGGGATATAAATACACCTTAGTATAGTCTTTGAGTATTCACACTAGTGTTTATAATCAAGGGTACAGTTGAGAATTCTTGTTTTGATCAGGAAAGCCTTCAAGATTCACATACTTGCTTGATCTGTATTTCATGCGGCGTTCTTCTCGGGATCGATAACTTGTTTTGAATAATCACTGCCAGCAATAGTTTTTTGTCTCAAACAACGATATTGTTTACCTACATTTCATTATCAAGCCGAACACAGTGGGGTATGGGGAGAAATAAATAATCGCTATTATTATTGTTGATATGCTCACTAACCTAACATTTTCCACGTCTTGTTCCTATACCTGGCACTGGCGCGGTATTTGCCATTAGAGCATCCGGTCCATACACAAATATGTCATTCTGTGGTTGTATTTATATTGAAACTACAATTCGAACATCCTTGAAAATTGAATAAACCTGCTGATTATGCAGGTAGACTGACCACAAGGATTATTTGTTGCATTGCATACATATTGCACGGTATTGGTGGGAGATTTCATGAAGTCAACTTATTATTCACTATTTTGCAAAAGGATTTCGAAATAACCAATTTGCAATGGGTACATAGGGCGATGTTTTCGTTGATCATACTCAGTTTGAAATTTGCGCCATCTATTGGTTCGTGAGTTTCGCAAATATGTGTATAAGACCCTCTGAACTGTTCTTGGCATCCTGTGAAGAAAAAAAGGTTCACAAAATTTTACAAGAGTAATTAGTATATTTGTATCAAGGCTAAATTACTGCAACACCAGAGGAAGAAGCACACCAATCAGGCGCCAGATGACATGAGCTTAGAAGCTGACGTTCAAAATGATATAGGCGATGACAAGATGAATATGAAAATGGATACCGTCTCGGAATTTGATAAGGTTGTAGAGAAAATAATGAGCAACGAGTTGGACGACTACAATTTGGAGGAAGATTCGCAGTACCATCTTTCGATAAATGAGAACGAGAGTTTCATGGAGGCCAGTGAGTTGGAAAATCCCAATTCGCATTTATATCGATTGTTGACCACAAACAATGGTGAGTATTGAGTGTTGACTTCCCAGCGAGCACAAAAACATCTCATAAATGTTAAAAGTACGAGATTTCGAGACATTGAACCTCCACTGCGATGTTCTGTTCACACATGAATAGAACTATTATAGAACAGCCAATGTCCGCCGCAGGCGGCAATTATCGAAATGTCCTTGATATGTCACAAAACTACCTTTTCCCTAGTCCTTTTAAAGCCTTTTCATGGACACAACAGAACATTTTCAACGCGTGTTGCGCACATTAAATCGCTGTAAAAGAACCATTTTCGAGGTACTTTTCTGAAGCCTTTTGTCAAAATGAACTTTTGCATTAGGATTCCATTTCCCTTGAATGAAAAAATGCATTAAAAATAGATTGAACATAAAAATATTTTCTTGATATGAAATTACCTTCTTAATCGGTTTCTGAGTAGTGCTTACCACACACAGACATATAATTGGAAACAGGTTTCCCAATTTTTGGAATGTTCTCCACAATGCATAGGTAATTTTGCAACTACGGAGAAGCTGTGTATTGATGAATTCGTACTTTTATATATTGATTACACTGAGGCACCAAACAACACATCTTGCATCTGATGGTCATTATTACAAACTAAATAAGTCTTCTAACACAATAAACTTCACCAAATTCCTTTCTCTTCGTTAGCAGCGTGATGTACCTAAGCGTGACACGCTGCAAACGCGAATGCCAATTGCGAACAAGAAGAACAAAATCGAAAACAAATCAGAATTCATCGTATTGTGACGTAAGCATGAGACGTTGTGGTGGGGCAAATAAAGAAAGGGCACAAAAGAACAAAATCAAAACTGTCAATATCCCTCTAAGACCTCTTTGGGAAGTGCATATTACGCCTCAAAAAAACATCCTCATACCTACATTTCTAAAACATCCCAAAACATCACAGAGATACCTCTCAGTAGGCAAACAAAGAAATGCCACAGAAGAACAAAAACAATACTTCAATATCCTTCAAAGACCTCTTTGGTCAGTGCATATTACGTCTCAAAATAAAATCTTCATGCCAACATTTTCAAAACATCCCAGGGATGTTTGTGCTCGCTTGGTTGTTGAGTTCAAGAATAAATCAAAGCTGAAATGTCTCTCATTGATCTTTTATTTATTTTTTCTTTATTTTTTCATTCAGAGGATATTTTAATGTGCATGCCTTATATTTTGAAACAAAAAATTGGACCAAATAATGAAATGGTACTAGTGTACGTCGGCAACATTGCAACGGTCTTGATACTTCAATGGCTTCAAGAATTTTAATTGAAGATCATGATTTTAGGAGATATTAAAAACGCGTAAAAGATGGTGACATAGCAATCCAACTACCAATCACAATGATATATCACGACTCAGACACCTTCTCTGTCAAATTCATAATATCTGTTTGTGTTCTGTTACATAGGTATAAAATTGAGCTCTTTTCTACCTTGAACGAGAGAGAGAGAGGAAAGTTCTCTCTCCTCTTCCATCTTTCTCTTCAATGCTACCAACGTGGCCGAATTGAAATGAAGAAAGGTCCGATAAATCTGTCCTTGTCTAACATCTAGTTTGTGCCACCGAACTATTTTTGAATTCAGCAGAGTATCAAATTAACGATATTATCAAAATATGTCAAAATAAGCATATGATATAATTAGTAATTTCATTTGAAAATTTTGAAAAATGATTAGTCTATAACATTATAATTTGAACAATGATGGAAATACGTAGAATCTGAACTAACTGAAATATATCGCTAGAACTGAACCTGTATCAGTTATTGTGTTCTTTCCAAAGAATTTGATTAGTTAGAATGCATGTTAACTGATTCAGTTCAGTCCAAGTGAAATATGTCAGTTAGTTCAGAAGGAAAGGATATCATAAGGCCTCTTCGTTTGTATTGCTGAACTTGCTAAAGTTGATTTTTTTAGTTGTCTCTGTTCATGGCATGATGTAAACAGAGAAAGTCAGAAAAGAATCAATTTCAGCAGGTAGAGCAAGCACAAAAGAACAGGCTTATTATAACATAGCAAATAGTTCAGTGGCGCATACTAGAGGTTAGACAAGGAAAGATTTATCGGACCTCTCAATATTTCAATGCGGCCACGTTGGTAGCATTGAAGAAAAAGATGGAAGAGGATACAACTTTCCTCTCTCTCGTTTAAGGTAGAAAAAGCTCAATTGACACAATTGTGTGGCCGCATTGAAATATTGAGAGGTCCGATAAATCTTTCCTTGTCTAACCTCTAGTATGCGCCACAATAGAGTTCAGTGGCACAAAGTGGATGTTAGACAAGAAAAGATGTATCGAACCTCTCTATATTTCAATGCGGCCACGTTGGTATAGCATTGCAGAGAGAGATGGAAGAGGATAAAACTTTCCTCTCTCTCTCTCGTTCAAGATAGAAATGACCTCAATTAATTTTCGGGCTGGGACATCAAGGTGAAGAAGAGATCTGACAATGACAAACTTGTTATTTTAGGGATGATGCCTCCACGTTGAAGAAAGAGTTCTGGACTTGGGGATTCTGAAATAACTTCTCTGCGAGTTTTTCCACTCGATCTTGAGTGATTTTTAACTGGGAGTTTGGCCGTGGGATGAAACCTGCGTATTGGAATTGGATGGATGATAAAAATGAGGTACAAGGACGGTTATAGTAGAGATGTATTAACAAAACTTTAGCGATAGTTTGTCTCATTTTAATGACAAAAAGTTGAAATACTATTGTCCATGATCTTCATGCTTTTTGATGATGAAGCCTTTTGTTGGGAAACCAGCAGCAGATAACGTTAGAGCAATCTGGATCATGTAAGAGGATTTATCATTCTACTGGTGATTTGTAAAATTATGGCTCATATTGATTATTCATTTTGGGTTTGAATACAACATATTGGAGTACAAATTTGAAAGTTGGGTTGAAAACTGTTGATATTTTGACTATTATTATTACCTATTTTTCTAAAAAAAAAAACAGTAATTGAAAGGATCTAGATGCAGTACTTCCTGAAATTTTGAAAATAAATTGTCTACCAGTGCTTGTGAAGAGTTGATTTGGGTTTTTGACCAATGAAAACGTTTTTTATTCGACATTTTTAATTAAATACAAGATATTAAAAATCATATTGGTTGAAAGTGGTTATGATTTTGACATAATAAGCGTCTTCTAGGCTGAATTACGTCATTTTGACATGCCTTCATGGTTTTTTAAAGTGGGATTTTCGCACAAAATAATTATGTTATTTATTCTTTTTGAAAACACAGATAAAAGTACTGTTGCTATGGGTTGAATCTCTCTAATATTGGAGGTTTGAGTTTGAAATTAGTGGGTGGGTTAGGTTGGGTTAGCAAGTATATCAAATTGCCTTTTATTAACAGAACACTATTATATTACTTCCGGAAGTAACCCCAACTTTTGATTATATATTTCTATATTTTGATCATAAAAAGTTTCTAGGGTGTTTGAATTGATTCCCTGAAGCCTAATATGAAAAAATATACAGGGGGTTCTATTTGATGATCAAAAGTTGAGGGGTTGTTTCCGGTTGAAAAGGAAGGGATAGAGCAGAAATTGGTTGGTCAAAAAATGAGCAGCTTGGTATACTTGCTACCAACCAAATTGATCCACCGAGAAAAGCAGTGGAAAGCGAAATATTACACCGAACATTCCCTCCAGGGAATCTTTCTCTTGATCCAAAAATATGGCCCCAGATGTCTTGTATAGGCTGTCCCATTTTCGATGTCCTTACGGGATATCTCGCTTAATTTTGAAGATAGAGATTTGCGGTTTTCGCGAACGTTGGCTACTTTTTTGTGAAACTCACGAAACCGTGAACAAAATTTCCATAGCCCGCTTCGTTCCTGGGATACAGGGCGAAATTGAAAATATTTCATTTTGGGACCCCCCTGTATCTCAGCTATCTTTCAGCTTAGAGGAAAAGTAAGAACTGTTTCTTTCACAATTTTTCACGCAGAATCCAGTGACGTAGTCAGATTTTTTACATGAGCTGTCGTTATTTAGATATAACCCAAAGATGTTTTTTTAAATAGAACACCCTGTATATTTTTCATTACTTGAAACAAGAAAGCTTTGCGCTTTTCAAAAATATATAACACTTATATGATATTTTGAGTATTAGTCCTGTATTTGGGTAATTTTCAGTTTTTTATGGCAAGTCAAGACAAATAACTTATACTTTTAGAATAGATATTCTGGCGCAATAATTGAATACCACTCATTTATATAGGGTAGAATGAGAAGTATTCATTTAAAATAAGTATTCAATTAACAATTTGATAAAAACAATTTGATAAAACAATTTATTAAAATAAGGACATCGAAAATGGGACAGCCTGTACAAAATTTTTGATAATGGAAAAGTTTCCTTTGGATGAATTTTCATCAAATTCACACTGATTATGATTATGCTTCTGCAATCTATGAATCAAATCATTTCTTTTTGCGAACTAGAGCAATTGAGAAATATTTTGGCGGAAACGATGACGTTAACGACGAATGTAGTGTGAACATGGGTAGAATATCTTTGGCTGTGAGATAAAAATCTCCGAACAAGCCCGAACTGAAAATGAAGAAAAAAAAAAACAATGTGTCACTTTTTCAGAAGGCAGTCATTGAAAATATGAAAATGTTTATCCTGACGTCTGTAATTTGCAGATTGTTGTTATTTTTGTTATGGTCCTCTGTAGGTATGTGTACAAATATGTTTTTTGTTAATTTTGTGAAGTTTCATAAAAGCGAGTGGACCTTGATGAAATGATATTTCGGAAGAAAAATTGTATTTATATGGCAATAAATCACAGATCCATAGACTATCGGTAAATAGTATGACTATAGATGATTAAAACTGTTGCTTGATACCGGGTGACCAGTTATATTCTGACCCATTTCTTTTCATATCTCTGAAAACATTCAAGTTGTCGCTGTGCGGTTTGGACTAGTCTATTTTGATGTTTTTCAAGTTTTTTTTGACGTGTTCATCTTCTCACTTGAACTTCCGATTCTACCGGAAACAAACAAGCAATGATCCAGGTATAGGGCAACTTTTTTAATTCATTGAATCACCCTGTATATTTTTGCACATTCAGAAAGACTGGTCTTTTCTCTATCTAACAATGTAGGTATTACAAGTTATGTTCTCCTAGAAAAATATTAGAGTTATAACTCTTTGAAACAACTACTGCTTGTGGAATGGTTTAATGAGATGATGTAATGTTATCAAAGTTGCCCTATACCTGAATAATGGCTTGTTTTTTTTCGGTAGAACCGGAAGTTCAGGTGAGAAGGTGGACCAGTCAAAAAACTTGAATAATATCAAAATAGATAAGTCAAAACCGCACAACGATGATTTGAATAGTTTCGGAGATATGAACAGTTGAAATGGGTCCGAATATAACTGGTCACCCGGTACTATACTGCCGTGCCAAGGAAAAACGCAGTAAGTGCGAAAAAGTCGAAAATGAGTTTTTCATCTACACCTATGTATTCGACCGCGCTGAATTCAAATATGCAAGAAAAAATGCAGTATTTACAAAGATAGCTGAGATATTATCGTGAAAATGATCACAGTAAGTGCAAAAATTGTTCCTTTTGTACCTCAAAATATAGTATCTGCATCTGAGTAAGAAAGAAAGCAGTATCCGCAAGTAGATACTGTATTTTAACTTACAATTCGTAGATACTACATTTTAACTTACGGTACTTAGGTGTACGGACAAGAATCAACAAGTAAATTATATAAACCCACGGATAGATGAGCACCGCTCAGTTTGTCTCCGTTGATTCCAGAGGGTAGGTTTATTTATCTATACACCGAAATGTTTGGAAGTAGAGGAACAAAAATGACGGCGATGGTGCGCGATAAGGAATTACAGAGAGTAAAAGTGTTGCAGCAGCAAATAGAGGCATTACCAGAAGTAGAAATGGCTCATCAGGAAATAGATTGTTTGCAAAAAACTGAAAATATCGAAAGTGGGGATGTTCTTATTCCTAAAATTAGTGCAGGACGAAGTGAACTGATAGAAATACCAGCTGTTATCCAAGAACTTGATCAAGTAGATACAAATGAAAACATTATCATCATGCCAGGAGTAGCAATTGAGAGTCTCAATGAAATAGACGACATACCAATCATATTTCAAGAAGATCTCGAAAACGAGGATGATACTACTATCATAGACTTCGTCAGCCTAGCAGGAGGTTGGTAATCTTCATCACATATTATCAATTGGCAATTGACTAACGAAATATTACCATTTCTAGACCCAAACCAGCAGTTATCACAAGTGGAAGAAGTATTGCTCGAAAAAGAATCAAGCAAAGAACTAATCCAGGAAGAAGTATCACAAGCAGAAATACAAGAAGCAACTGTCCAGGCACACGACGGAGGTTAGTATTCATAAGTTGCAATATTGAAGTATCAATTAGTTCATACTATAATAATGTTTCAGAGTATACAAAAAATGGAACAGTGAGAAAAAGAAGGAAACAACGACCCAAAATTGAACAATTACAGGAAAAACGATTGAAGTTGCAAGAAAATCATAGAGTTTTAGGAGGATGTGACGTCGCTAAGTGTAAATTGAAATGTGGTAACAAGTTTGATCATGAGCAAAGGTACAAAATCAATAGCGAGTACTGGAAGTTAAACTGGGAACAACAGAAATCTTTCATTCTACATCAGTGTTCGAGAAATTCTGTCAAACGTAGGACGCTCAAAACAGAATCATCTCAACGAAATATGACTATACAATATCATCTCCATAGTAAAGAAGGTACAAAGCTGCAGGTTTGCAAACTATTTTTTCTGACGACTCTCGGTTACAAACCCAAGAACGACGGCATTGTTTTCCGTGCTTTATCAACAGTTGCAAGGTCTTCAAGCACCCCTGCACCCGATCGGCGTGGGCATCATCCCAATAAAGCCAAAATTGACAGAGATCAGATACATTTGCACATTGAGTCCTTCCATCCGGAATCCTCGCATTACAGGAGAGAACACGCTCCCAACGTTAGATACTTACCGGATGACGTCACAATTAACTTTATGTTCAACGATTTCTGTCGTAAGTACCCAAATACAAAAATTTCATATGAACTATACCGTAAAGTAGTGGGCGAAATGAACATTCATTTCACAAAACTTGGTCATGAACAGTGTGAACATTGTGAGACGTTTCGTTTACACAATGCAGAACATACTAAGAACAATTTAGGCACAGAATGTGAGATATGCAGTAAATGGTCCGCACATAATTCCAAAGTTGTAGAAAGTAGGAAACGTTACAAAAAACATGCAGATATGATATTCGATGAAAACACCCTGTGCATATCGGCTGACTTACAGAAGGTAATTATGTTACCCCGTATGGATATGTTCAAGGCAGTTATTTTCATCAGACGTCTCACATCTTACAACGAGAGTTTTGTACCGGTGGGGAGAGTACAGAAATCTCGACGACCATTCGCAGTTCTGTGGCACGAAGCAATAACTTCGCGAAAAAAGGAGGATATTATAAGCACCTATTACCAATTCTTCTTGCATAATAGGGATAAGAAGAATATAATCATTTGGCTCGATAATTGTTCCGCTCAAAACAAGAACTGGTGTATGCTCAGTTTTTTTGTTCATATTGTGAATTCTAACATGGTGTCGCTTGAAACTTTGGAAGTTAATTATTTTGAACCAGGGCACACTTTCATGAGTGCCGACAGTTTTCACCATCAAGTTGAATTGAGTCTAAAGAAGAAAACCAAAACATATGATTTCCTGGACTTCGTAGATTCAGTTTCGAAATCGAATTCAGGGAAAGTTGATGTAAAATCCATGCAGATCAATGATTTTTTTCAATGGAGAGACCATCATTCCGTGGCAAAGACTAATAATATAAAACTCAATCATCCTAAGCCATATTTAAGTGATATTGTACAGATCCGAGCAGAGCGAGGAAAGTTCACATTGAAGTACAAAACAGATTTCAGTTCTGAAACAGAATTTGAACTGAATTTCATCAAAAATGCTTCAATGAAAACGATTGGCACTGAACCCACTGCTCTGAGTGTGGAAGACGGGATCGAGATAAACAAGAAGGAGGCTTTATTGAAAGTAGTGGGACCACTGATGGACAAAACTCGTTTACAGTTCTGGAAAAACCTCCCAGTCAAAAAAGAAAATTAATTCTACTTCAGAGAAATGTTTTTTTATTCTTACAGTTTTTATTTCCTATCCATTATTATTTTATATGATATCAATGAATATTTCATATTTTTCGTTTTTATTTACCAATACGGCATTGCAGTTGTGATCTCATTTTGTGAATGTAAGAGAGTTTTAATTAAATATTATGAAAAACACATACTGTTACATGATTATCAATATATGAATTGTTTTCATAAATTAAAATACAGTAAGTAGTTACTTACTACGTTTTGTTTTATGAAAAGTGCCCAACCTCATAATCATAATCACAGTAATTGATATATTTTTTGAAACATTCTTCGAATTATTCTGAAATTCACAGGGATTGAAACCTTAACAATGAATACTTAGTTGGACTGAATTTCGTGAATATATTCATAATGAAACGATATCAATTGGTCTTTCAACTTGTTTGGGTGTTTACTGCCATTTTACTTTTTTGTATTTACTGCGTTTTTCCTTTGCACGGCAGTATAGAACTCGTTTGGATGGATTCACGGGACTTGAAACTAATCAGGTAGGGAAATGAAATTAAGAGATATACAATATAACTCATTCTACTGTCTTCAAAAATGATTGACTGCCACATGGCCATTTTTGATGTGATGTTCAATGATGTGACATTTTTTTCATTATAATTTTATTGTGAAGAACCATTTTTGTCACTATTGAATAAAAAATTCCATGACTTTTAGAAAAGGCAATTATGTTTGCAAAATTATATATGTCCTAATTATTGGCTACTAAAGAAGCTAATTCCATTCTGGAGGCCTAATAAATTGATAAGCAATATGAGCATATAATTAGATATACATTTTTTAAAGACAGTTTCAACTTGAATATTGTGATTTGATAATTTTGTGTACTGGAATTTCTTAACTATTGTTGATTGATTCAAGCTGAAGCAATGTGATTGATTGTGAATTGTTCAAATAATTATTCTTGTTACCAAAGGAATATTCAATATATTTTCTGCTTCTTTCTTGTGATACTTTATTTTATTCATCATACAATATCAACATATAAAAATAATGATGATGTCACCATCTCACTTCTTCCCCCTAGCTTTGATTTTCACTCTTCTATTTTTCCCTGGTCTGCTCTTATTGCTGCCATGTTTGTTTTTTCCCATATTACCCTTTCCAAACTTTTTACTAGGCTTGCCAGGACTTCTAAACTCACTAATATCAGCAGCACTATCTCTTGTATTCAATTTCATCCCCTTCTTTTTACCACCAAACCCAAATTTCTTGTCTTTAACTTTCCTTCTTTCTATTGCCTTCTTCTTGGAAGTATTATTGTTTTTTCCATCAAGGAAATCAAGGTCCTTGGACATTCCTTTTCTAACTTTTTTGACCTGGTTGAGCATCTCTTTTTTCTCATGTTGCCTTTGGAGTTTGGTTTGTACTTGAAGCATCTTTCCTTCTTTTCTTTGTTGTCTAAGCTGTTTCACTCTTTCACTTCTCTTCTGCTGCTCTTCTTTTTTCATCAAATTGTCTCTGATTTTTTGCATGTGTTCATCTGTTTTTGCCATTTCTGCAAAGTAGTCATCTGGTCTGAAACAATAATTTACAAAGTTAACTTACTTTTTGAAATCAATATGATGATTCAAACCTTTTTGTAAGAATGCCCATTGCTTTTAACTTAGGTATAGCTTCAGTCACTGTTGCTTGTGCTTGTCTATGAAAAATCATTTCTCTTTTGAATTCATTCAACACAGGGTCCTCACTTGGGGTATACTGTGGGAGTTTTTTATTGTTTTTTAGTTGATTTTCTCGCTTCTGTTCTTGTGTCAACATTTGGGCAGCTATTTCTGGAGCTAGAGGTGCTTGACTGTTAACACAGTCCAGACGTTCAAGCCATGGTAGGTTCAGTTTCATTTCTTCAATTTTTTGTTTCAAACCACTCTAGCAAATAACATGGTTATGTAATCTCAAATTGAATATAGCTTGGAGTACTACTTACCACATTATTTACAAACTGTTTGGGGGCCTCTTCAACTTTATTGAGACCTGGTTTGAGCCTTCCATCTGCAAAGGCATCCTGTAACTATAAGAATTGTGAGATTATTATTTATTTGCAAAAGCATTTCCAATAAACATACCTCAATATCGCTATCATTCAAATCAGACTCGTCAGAACTCATTTTTATTCAGGTTTATCATGTGTGTGTGATAATAAGATTCTTCAGATCAAGAATAATCGCCAAAACCAAGGCAAGACTTCAACACATTTATTTTTTAAGGTTGACACTTAACCTCTAAATAAGAAGACCCCCTTTCTAAAAAAGGAAGAGGAAAATAATTTTCTTATTTTTTTTTGTAACGAATTGATGATTGGTCAGTGGTTCATAACACTAACGCACTGTGAAATTATCATATTTAATGACAATAAAAAGAAGAATGGTCTCGAACGAAACTAACCTCTAATATTAACCTACAAAACACGGCACGCTGAAACGAAGTTTGTTTTGGTGGTTTCGGTTTAAGAGTAGAAATGGTGAAATCTCGTAAAAGAAAGCATGTTGAAACAGTAACAGTTGAACCAAATCCACTTCCTTCGGTTAGACATTCAGATGAACCATTAGAGAAAAAGGTAATAAGAATTTAGTTACCTTGTTTCTACTGAATGTGTTTGAAGTCCAGAACATATTTTAATAGTGAATATTCCAGAGAAAATGGGTGAACAAGCAGAGGGTATTGATTTTTGCTTCGAGAGGTATTAATCATAGGGACAGACATCTAATGGAAGATTTAAAAAAATTGATGCCACACCATAAACCAGAAGCAAAAATGGAAAGGTCAAAAACATTATCTGTCATAAATGAAATGTGTGAAATGAAGAACTGCAACAAAGCTGTGATGTTTGAAGGTAGAAAGAAACGTGACTTATACATGTGGTTGTCCAACATTCCAAATGGGCCTAGTGTGAAGTTCCTGGTAGAAAATGGTGAGTTTCATCAATCACCTTTTTTTCTATTGGGTATATGTAATTGTTTTTTCAGTGTACACTATGAATGAACTGAAGCTAACTGGAAATTGCCTCAGGGGATCACGACCTCTACTCAGTTTTGATCCTGCTTTCACAGAGAAGTCACATTATGTTTTACTGAAAGAACTGTTGACTCAGATTTTTGGAGTTCCAAAACATCATCCAAAAAGTCAGCCATTTTTTGACCATGTGTACACCTTCAACATTCTAGATAACAGGATATGGTTCAGAAATTTTCAAATTCTTTCTGAAGATGGAGCTTTAGCAGAAGTTGGGCCCAGATTCGTTTTGAATCCTGTATGTATTAATTTAAGGCTCCTTAATATTCCCTCAGTTCATTTAAAAAAATTTTAGGTCAAAATTTTTTCTGGTAGTTTTGGTGGAGTACCTTTATGGTCAAATCCTTCCTATGTTAGTCCAGCCAAATATCAGTTGCAAGTTAGACTGGCAGCAAAGAATAAGTATGTCAATAGAATAGAGCAGAAAGCTCATGCAGAAATCACAAGACCAAAAGATAGCTATAAATTGACACCTCTGGAGGAAGTATTCAAAGGAGATCCATTAGAAGTGGCACTCAATTTGGAAAATGCCAAGAATGATGAAGCTGTAAAAAATACACAGAATAAGGTTGAAAAAGTCAAGCAGAAGATGAAGAAATCTAAGTTGAAGAAGGTATCAAAAGTAAAGAAATGAGCAACCACTTTCAAAAATGGTGGAATAATGTCTATCAAGTATACAAAATAAAAATAATTTCATGTGAGTGCAAAGCTTTATTTGACAAAATATAAATATGACTATACAATAATCTACTCATTGATGGAGTTTTAAATCTATGATGGCTATGGAAAAATACCAAGGAAATTACTCATTAGCTGAAATTGTAATCAATTGGTACTAAGAATGGACAGTAGCCAGGAATACTTCATGTTATAAAAATACAAAAATTGGAGTATTATGAGTTAAAAACTAAAATTTTCTTTCATAATATTGAAAATTAAAAAAAAGCATATTGTTTACTATCTTTTTAGGTTAGTCACTGTTCTCAGCAGACAGCAAAACAAGCCTCTAACACAGAATGCCTATTCTGTGCTTCTGTGCCTCTATAGATCTTCCAAACACTCAGGTCAAGTGACTACTATGAGTAAAGCAATAGCTCAGTGGTCTGTGTATTCAAGTTCCACATAGGTGACTGAGGTTCAATCCTTGTGAGCAGTGTAAATTTTTTTTTCACTGAATTAATATTTCAAAAATATACTTTTGAGGAAAAAGATTCATTTAGGACAAGTTCAGTTGAAAGTACTTTCCTTTATCATTCAGAAGTTCCTTTCTCATATTACCTTAGAAGTCTTATAAACATCAATAAACTTCTGATAACCTTGAGATTGGAAAGATTCACTGCTGTAACAGCAAATTGATTGAGATTAAGATTAAGAAGTTACAGCATACCATAATAGTAAACAAATAATTTAGTGAATCTCAGTGGTATATTCAATTAAAATGTGCTTATTATTTTTGTACAGGGTGATTCACCATAAATGACCCCCCCTTTAGCTCACTTATTATTGAAACGATTCAAAAATTTTAATAATCATCTAAAATGATTTTTCAGAACTTTTTTTTCCGTTGCGTCAGAAAATACAGGGTGCTCGGACCAAACGATCTACAGAGTACTACTCGATTTTTTCAAATGGAACCCCCTATATTTCATTGTATTTTTATATTCTCCCTGAAGAGCTGATTTCACCAATATATCACACTTGGGGTCTAGCGGGAATGATTACAGAGATGTAGGGTGTTCAAAATCGAGATTTTTCAACTTTAGGATTTTTTTGTGTTGAAACTATTCATTATTGGTCGAAACGGCTTTCATGTCCGTATCTCTCTTTTGATTCACTATCTACTGACATTTATTAATTGGAACAGATACAGGGTGGTCAGAATTCTGAATCTTGAATCACACTGTATATGTTCCAATTGAATGTCAGTAGATAGTGAATCAAAAGTTGAGATAGGGACATTGAAGACGTTTTGACCAATAATGAATAGTTTCGACACAAAAAATCCTAAATTTGAAAAATCTCGATTTTTATCACCCCATATCTGTAATCATTCCCGCTAGACCCCAAGCATCGTCCACCAATTGGACGATGCCCCAAGTGTGATACATTGATGAAATCAGCTCTTCAGGGAGAATATAAAAATACAATGAAATACAGGGTGTTCCATTTGAAAAAATCAAGTAGTACTCTGTAGATCGTTTGGTCCGAGCACCCTGTATTTTCTGATGCAACGGGAAAAAAATTTCTAAAAAATCATTTTAGATGATTCTTCAAATTTTTAAATCGGTTCAAAAATAAGTGAGCTAGAGGGGGGGACATTTATGGTGAATCACCCTGTACACTACTTCAAATCAATAAAAAGATTGTTTTGGCTCTTCAAATATAACAACACTTTGAATATGTTGAAATTGTTGTGTGTTGTTTGAGAACATAAAAATATATAGTAAAATTGATTTTTAAAAACTCAATATTATCTCAATCAATCCTCTACTGCTCTAAATGTTGTAATTCTGCAGTCTGTGGTGGTGAATTTCCATTTTTAGTTATTCCAAGATTCTGCATCTGAATCCCATCTGGAGCATCACCATTTTGACACATGCACAAATAAACAGTGTCAAGCACCATCTGAAACCATTAAATTCAATGATTCAATCACCAGAACATAACATATAAGATGAGTTCTCACCTCATATAGAGACAGAATGCAATGAGCAACAAAGAACGCAAAAATGCAGATAAGAAGAGTTGGTGCAGCATAAAATTTCAAGTCTTCATTCCTCCTAAAGATCGCTAATCCAACACACCCTGTCACTGCAGTAACAAAACACTTGCCTAAAAACAAGATGAAATCCCCCAAACTGTTAATTGTGGCTACTTGAAGAGCATGTGACGTCAAAACTTCGAAAGCCTGAAATATACATGTTTTTTGTGAACCCTTATTATTGCAATAATCTATGTTGCAATGAAAAAACAAGAAAGGATGAATACCCACATGATAATATCAGTAGAGATGGAAAAATGAAGAGTAAGTTTTGCCTTCTGTATTAACCATGGTTTGGCCTAACATCTGTTTATGGCCAATCACATTATTTGTTTCAAATAATCACTTTGGATAAACAATGAGCTTTTATAAAAATGTACTAAACAAACATGCATAGACAAACTCCAGTACAGGTGAATCTGAATAAAAGCTTGTAATCGTAAAATAGCCGATCACTCAAGCCCTCACATACCAATTTTGAATATAATCTGACCATAATCCCAAAGCTCATCCGCCATTTTGAAGCCGCCATTTTTAATTTCTCAATTTTGATGGAAGAATCATAAATTCAGACCCATAAAACCCACAGATTCCAATTTTGAATAGAATTGGATCCTAATTAAAAAATTCAGTCGCCATATTGGATCCGCCATTTATAATAGATTTCACTTGATTCAATAAATGAATAAATGAATAAAAAAAAGAATGATAAAACAAAATAATTGAACGGCCGCAAAATATCAATGTGTATTTAGTTGCACAAAATGGATATATTTTAATTGATGATTGACTTGAAAAACTTACTGTTCCTGATGCTTTACAAAAATTGGAACCATCTATTGCAATCACTGTATATGCATTATGGTTCAAATATCTTATGAATTTCTCCAAACAGTAAAAGCAACAGATGCAACACCTCAATCCACATGTTGCACATTCACTGCCTTTATCTTTTCCAAGCCTCCACCTTAAAAAAAATATGTTCATTCTTTAGCCAAATCAGGATAATTGGCAGACAGGACATAAAAGTAAACTGAAAATTATTTCCTCCAAAGAAGGGTATTGATAAAATTCTCATTCAATATATACTGACTTTTTCATGCAATGTTCACATACTTTTCATGGAGATACATCAGAATGAGCCTTGGTATCTTGAAAACTGTGATAACCAAAGACCCCAGGGCTACAGAGCCAAGATGGTACTTTATCAATTTTCCAGTTGCATAACACCAATGGTCATTATCCTTATATTTGTGCCTGTAAAACCAGTGTGCCACTGAACCAGCAATAACCATTTGCTGACATGCCATGATGAATTCTGAAGTCCAGATCAAGCCAATGAAGTAGATCCACCACATTCCTTTCACCCAGGAGGCATCAACATATTCAACAACACTAACTAAAAAACAATGAAACACTGTACTAACCAATGTCACTGTTTCAGTAACCTATTACTTTTGATCTTGTCTGCATAAGAATCACTATTCATTTCATGAGAATTTGAATTCATAATACTGACACCCTGGAAACCACTAGAATTGGTCAAAGCTGGTGTTACCCTTGATTTATCTGGATATGAGGCAGTTGCTAAACATATCTGTAAAGTGTTTTGAACAGTTTAAAATGTTTAAACATAACCATTCACTGATGCTGACTTACCACAACAAATATCCAGAACATGAAGAATATCACAAGCATAATGAATGTGAAAAGTGGTTGTAAAAATAAAGCTGGTAAATGCATCAAACATTTTGATGTTTCTTGGAATAATTTAGCCAAGAAATCCACTTGTTTTCTCATGAATATAATTATAACAATTATTATTACCTGAAAAATAATATACCTAATATAAGGAAACTTCCTTAATTGAGGAATAATTATTTTACTCACTGTTATGATTGATGCTACAACAGAGTACCAGAAGAAAGCAGTTTCATTTCTTACAGATTCTGATAATAGCATATACTTGTGTGTTTTGTCCAAATGATACTTGATATCAAAATATGTATACCATAGAAAAGCAGTGCCTCCTATACTAGCTACTGAGACTCCTATCATTATAAAGTAAGATACTAGGTGAGCTAGACAGTGTAAGATGGAGATGGTGAGCAAAGAAATAACTATAAAAAAGATTTGATAGTTGATATTTCAAGTAGTCAAGTAGTACTAGAATATTTACTCAAAGACAGAAATGATAGTCCCAAGATTTCTTTCCAGGTTTTGTAGAGATCTCCTAAGATTTGTTGGATTGTGTCCCAGCTGTTCAGAAACCCATAAAAATTGGTCAAAACTGTTTCTGTTGCTTCTGCAACATGGATTGGAACACAGCGATTTAAAACTGGTGAACTGAAATGAATACATATGACCAAATCTCTCTTTGTAACTGACCAGGGGTCCTATTCCCAACTTCCCCAAGTTGAGAATAGGATAATAATATTACATATTATAGCATTTATGAACATAAATAACCTTTCATAAACTGGAAGTATAGGGCATGGCCCAAATGACCCAGTGAGAGAATTAGCTGTATTTGTAGCCAATTCTCTATAATTGAAATCATATCTGCAAACTCCTACTCCTTCTCTCTGGTAGGCACTTATATCATGTACTGTATTCAGTGTTCTTGTAGGGCATTCTTTCACACATATTTTCAATGATTGTTTCAGATGTTTTATATCATAAAATAATAAGTATGGTTTATCACTAGTGTCCATTCCAGTGAGAGGCATTGTTCCCATTACTTTGTTTTTACTAGTACCACAAGTGTTACCAAATGAGTCATATCCATTAATGATTCTTAATGGATTTCCGTAAACGAAAGAAAATGCAGCTATTACAACCTAAAATTTTCAAACTCATCAGGCACTCAAATCATATTTTGAAAGGATAAAGCCAACCCCCAGAACCTACCATTAGAAACCAGAACAAAATATATAAAATTAACCAAAACACATCAGTGCATTTCCTCTCTACAATTTCTTCCGGATTTTCATCCTCCGCATCACCACCACAGCAAGCCATGATAAATGAAAATAATGAACAATATCACAAAATTCAATGTTTATTATTATTTACTTTCGACTCTCGTCAACTAGTTTGACTTTTGAATGATTATCTAAATTTTTTTTGTCATCGTGCTTTTGTCATCCATAGGAAGAAGGGGACGTAGTGGTAGAGGTCCATATTTATTTATGATTTCAGCACGATTCATTCGAGCCTCGAGGTAAAGGAAGAAAGAAGATGAAGATAGATAAGAACTTTTATAGGTTATATTTTGAGTTTGACATTTCAAACGTCAAAGAACGTGTTCATCATTTTATGTCAAAATACTTCAAATATTTTGCAACTGGTTTGCAGTTTCAATTAGCAATATTTTTGCGTAGTTCCTCTAGTTCTAGTGTATATGGATAACGTTCCTGAAACCATTTATATACAATGAAACATAAATTTTAGAAAGTTGACTTAGGTCCTCATTGAAGTGTCTTTACAACCCACAATTATGGCTTTCAGACCATTAACAGAAGCAGAGTGTGGCCAGGCAAACCCTTTGTCAAAGTTGACTTCTCATATCACACATGATCACACATTTGCTGATAGTCATGGACAACTTTTCCCAAGTAGCTCTGATCAATTGGTTGAACAGTTCCTTCAGGAAACTAGAGCTATACCACAAACTTTTAGAATGGATGGTACTAATTCTGTCTAGTCTTGTTAAAATATTCATCTGGAGTATTCATTGTTTCTAGATTTGATGAGGGAAATGCATGAAATAGAGTCACAAAGGTCTGCTCTGCCTCCTATACCAGCTTCAACAGTCAAAGATCAACTACATGATGATGCCTGGGCACAACAATATATTGATGATGGAAAGCAGTTTGTAAGATATTTCAATGTATCTCAAAGAGAACTAAGGATAACACTAGTCTTATACATAAATTCATTGCTCAATTTGATAAGAAATCATAAGTAGCCAACTGAAGACAGTCTCTAAAATTGTACTGTATATTCAATTATCCATGTCTATAGCTTTCATTAAGTTTTCAAGCTTATCCAATGACTGAACATATTGCATAAAATTGTAGCAGGTGGCTCTTCATGTTTACTAAATTTCCAGCCAAACAAAATATGAGTGAGAAATATGTTCTTATTTCACTGACACAATAAGAAAAAATTAAAAATATGGTGTACATTTAAGTAACAAATAAGGAGAGATTCTCACTGTTACCTTACCTCTATTTCAGATTTGTGGAATTGATAGGTTTGCGATACAAGAAAAAAAGGTATTTTTTGTATTTAAATGTTTCACTCTCAGTCACTATTAACATTTTGTTCATAAAATTTAGAAACAAAACATCCATATCAAGAAATTATAGGTAGATGAGACATGAAACCATTATTTTCATATAATGAATAATTTCATGAATTGGGGGACTGCTGGACAAATATTACTGATAAAGTGTCAAAATAATGTGCTTTTAAAATTTCCTCATAGCCTACAGCAAGCAATGAGAGTGTATGGGCTGAAATTATCTCTCAAGAACAAAGCCAACATGACTTTGAAGCCCTAGCTGATGTGTGGAGTAATGAGATGTTGAATGCACAACCAGGCCCTAGTATGGATTTATTTTCATCCAATGAAGAGCTAGCAGCAACCTCTGCTGATGACAATTCAAAATATGTATATTCAAAGGTGAATATATATGAGTATTTGAAAATATTGTTTCATGTTATAATGTTTTCAGTTCATGAAATTTATGAAGGAAGAAGGGGATGTTAATTTAGAAGAGGGCAAACTAACTGAAACTGAAGCAGTAGCATGGACTAATGAATATTTCAGGACAGAAGGGAAAGAAACCACACAAACTGTTGCTGGGAATTGGGCTGAGGAACATCTTCGCTCTAAAGGTAAATATTTTATGTGAACAGTTGGATTTTTCAAAATCATCATTGCAGAAGAGGAGTTCAACTCTACATTTTGGAATAAACTGCAAGAAGAGTTCAAAACAGTGAGCCAATCTGAAACTGATCCTTCACAGTCATGGATAGATGAATTTAATTCTTATTATAATACTGCTCAAAAGGTAAATCTCAGCATGTTATTGTGTCAGACTTGGTGTCAGATCATTGGAAATTTCCGGTAAATTTTTTTGATTCACAAGAATAACATAAAATCTCACTTTTTCAAGAAAGTTTTTCATATTTATTGTCTCACCATTCATGGAATTGCTCATATTATGCTTATGCTAGATATTGTGGAATTTGCTAATTGTCCATTGTTTATGGGGTATAGCTATCACTATACTTACTACTATGATCAACATCAACCTTATTGAAAATATCTGAGAATTGAAACAAATATGACTAAACTCTAAAAGTATGATGGAACTACTAGTGATATGCCAATTACCATCTCCATAATGATTTTATGCTTTGAAATTGTACATGAATAATAATTCTTATTTGTATTTTTCTTTTGTGATATACATGAGCATGAGACCAGACTCATATGTCTCCAGGTCTGTTAAGTACTCACCAAGGAAGTTTTTATTGACAATGTTGTGATATTGTGAGAAAAGTCTCATTCTTATTTCCATAGGTATCATTCTATCATTTCTATCAACTTTCAATCATCTTCCTCATTCCTAACAAACAAAACACAAATAGATTCATAACAGCAAAAAAATACATCACATAATATAATGTATTAATTGAAATATGTGTATTTCACTGTGAATTCCTATTTTTTTGATATTATCAATCTTAATTCATTCTCATGAAGTAAAGTAAGTGGAATATTATTCAGTTTTGGAACTGTATGCTATATATTCAGAAAAGGATTGAATTTCTGTAAATATATTTACATTAATTTTCACATTTTCTATCAGAATCAAAAAATATTTCTTCAAAGTATAAAATGTTTGTTAGGAATATGAATTCAGTGAAGAAAATCCAATGTTGAATTTACAAAAACCCCTGGAAAAGGGCAAACAATTCTTGGAAGAAGGAGATTTTCCTAGTGCTGTATTATGCTTTGAAGCAGCAGTCAAACAAGAAGCTGAAAATGCTGAAGCCTGGTTGTTACTTGGCACAACCCAAGCAGAAAATGAGCAGGTATAAATAAGAGTATAAATGAGTGAATATTAATAATGAAATTGTCAGGACCCATTTGACACAGTTTACTGATTTTCAACATAGAAAATGTTGAATGTATCATTAAAGTAGCAGTGAAAATGTTGATGAATGTCAGTGATTCATTTATCAGATATTTCAATTATATTAAACATACAGTGGGCCTGTTTCACTGATAAAAATTATTTAATTATATTTAGAAGAACTAACCCGAACTTGTTCACTGTCACAAACCAATTTCTCTTCAAAGCTTTGTAAATTTTTGAAATTCCTTGCAATCCATATACTTACGACTTATGTATAGTGTATATTTCATCAGTACACTCCTGCTTTGGAAATAAATTCTTATACAGAGTGGGCCTTTGAAAACGAAACACAGGCTCTGTAAGTCGCCAAAACCGGATTATCAAAAAAAACTGAAACAGGTCAACTACATTTTCGAGGGGGACATCTTTCTAAAATATTTTCAGCCCTGCGGCGTTGCCGCTCCTAAAGAAAAGAAGCAACAACTTTGTTATTTCAAATGGAATACCTTGTATTTTATTGCATTTTTAGATTCTCCCCGAAGAGCTGATTTCATCAATGCATCACACTTAGGGTCTAGCTGTAATGGTTTCAGGGATATAAAGTGTTCAAAATCGAGATTTTTCAACTTTAACATTTTTTTGTGTCGAAACTATTCATTATTGGTCAAAACGGCTCTCATGTCCCGATCTCAACTTGTGATTTACTATCTACTGACATTTATTTGAAACAAATACAGGGTGATCAGAATTCTGAATCTTGAACCACCCTGTATTTGTTTCAAATAAATGTCAGTAGATAGTAAATCACAAGTTGAGATCGGGACATGAGAGCCGTTTTGACCAATAATGAATAGTTTCGACACAAAAAAATGTTAAAGTTGAAAAATCTCGATTTTGAACACTTTATATCCCTGAAACCATTACAGCTAGACCCTAAGTGTGATGCATTGATGAAATCAGCTCTTCGGGGAGAATCTAAAAATGCAATAAAATACAAGGTATTCCATTTGAAATAACAAAGTTGTTGCTTCTTTTCTTTAGAAGCGGCAACGCCGCAGGGCTGAAAATATTTTAGAAAGATGTCCCCCTCGAAAATGTAGTTGACCGGTTTCAGTTTTTTTTTGATAATCCGGTTTTGGCGACCTACAGAGCCTCTGTTTCGTTTTCAAAGGCCCACTCTGTATCTAAGTAGCATGTGGAAATATTTTCATTGGTTGTTGAGCAATAAAACACTAATAGTGCTTATCAGTATGTAACTTGAGAGCTATTGTTTTTGAGAAGTAATTATATTGTTCACGGAAAAAAAAAATTGTTGATTTTAAATAATAAATAACTATATCAAAGACCTTTAATACATGGAATGATCAAAATAAAATAGATATATGGCGTTAATTCGAATATAGTGTGTATACAACCCCATTCACACATGAGATATGATGTCATATTTACTTATCATTTTTTCAGGTATGAATAATATGAAATATGAATTTTGTTTTGACTTGGCGCAATCAGTAGGTTTGAATTTTGTGTTCAACATAACAATGATCAGTTTGCACATATCAAACCTGTTTATCAAAGAATTGAACCAAAAATTGAAAATAGCATTTTGAAAGTCATATTATTTTTTTCAAAGAATATACCGTTAACGGATGGACATTCCTTTCACTCACAACCAAGTATATTATGTAATATTTATTCAAGGATCCAAATGCTATACCAGCACTAAACAAATGTCTCCAGTTGGACCCTACCAACCTTTCGGCGTTAATGGCACTGGCTGTCAGTTATACTAACGAAAGTTACTACAACCAGGCATGTCAGATGCTGTTGAATTGGTTGAAAACCAATCCGAAATACAGTAGTATGATACCAGAAAACTTGAAGCTATCTGGGCAAGTTACAAGTTTGGTAGTTCCGTAAGTGAAGGGCAGGGCTGCATGTGCATTTTCAGTTTCTCAAGTACTTAGGGGCATTAGTAGAGTTTTAGCAACTGATATTGATCATGCCAAGGGGAATAATAATGCAAAAGATGCCAGAAAACGATTTAAATTTTCAGCACCAGTTTCTTAAAACTTGTAATGTTACAAGCAGTGAGAGATGATAGTTTAGAATGCATCATAATAAATAACTCATCTATTAACCTGGTTCATTTTTATGGGATATTCTTCATATTTTGTGTTTTGTTCATTGAAGCATGTTAACCATTAAAATAATATTCAATTCTGTTGATTATCTACCTCTCAATATTTTGTGTATTTTGTAGTCTATCTGTATTTCTAGTAACACTATCCAAATATGCAATTCATCTCAAATGACACTGTATTATTATTTGGCGAATATGTATTGTTATACAAGGTGTCTCGTAAGTACACGGCCAAAACAGTAGATTTTTGAAAAAAATTTAGTCAAAGCCATCAGATGTCCCGAAATTTTCTGCATCAAAAAGATAGGTACTCTTGTTTGGTATTGATAAATGGTACAGTTTTCCAGGAAAATCGATTCAACTAATAGAAGAACACAGAATAAGTTTTACCAACAAAATTTTTAAGGACAGTTACAAGAAACGCTGGCAAATTCTGTCAAGGTTGTCATTATACCTAGTGAGTCATTAGACTTACTAGACATGGTACCAACACTGAGAAAATACTCGTTTTGAAGTCATAATTTTCGTCAAGATAAAAAGGTCAGAAGCATTTAAAACAAATTATCTTTTCAATATTTTGTGTTCCACTAGAGTTGAATCGATTTTGATGGAAAATAATTGGGTTTCGGGTTCATTAACAAAAAATCGAAGAAGATGACCTTTCTGTTATAAATACTTATATAGACCAGACATCTGGTCAAAAATCTACAGTTGAGAAAATTTAGGATCACGCATGATAGGACTAGTCCATACTCTGCCCCTGATCCTCTTTTAGAAAAGTTCTATGGGTCTCATGAGGTTAATCCATTGACTTGCATTCTATCTATAGATCGAATTGGATTCCATGGAGCATGCGCATTTAATTCTCGCATCAATCTGGGTGTATGACATATAGCAGTCGAGATAGTATCCAATATGTTGGTGGGTTAATCTCATACATAATACTAGTCCAGTTTTCACGTGAAAATATATTAAAACAGGAATAACTTCGGCAATAACCGTTGAGAAGATATTACTTATAATACCACAAGAGCTTGAATTATTACTGGAAATTTCATCGAGGCCACTAATATTTTGAAAATTTTCCCGAGTCGCAAACGAGGGAGAATTTCCTAAATATTCGTGTTTGAGAAAAAAAGTCCGGTTTTTAATTGAGGCTAGAGTAGTATTCGGTAAGAAAATTTCACACCACAGTTTTAAAAAAATTCTAGGGTAAGATTACGCTAAATAAAATACAAAATACCGACTTCAGTTATGCAGAATAGTAAAGTTGATAGAAAGATATTTTCTTCTAAGGATTTCATCAACCTCATAGAATGAATTCGACGTAATCTGAAGTTGAATATAAATGTCATTTTACCTATGAACGTCAAAAAATGTTCAGTGTAATTTCATGCTCCTTTCCCCGAGGAGGAGGAAAAAATTTCCAGATATTTATATTTTTTATAATAATAATAATGTGTCTTTATTTGTCCTCACAAAGGAATGAAAAATATATACTGAGGGCAAATGGACGGTCCGAGAGGAATCCAGTATCTAACCATATGATCTCCCAGTATTATTCTCATCATGTTTCCTCTGAAAGTTAATTATGCCAAAGTATTTTTGAAAATAACTGTTAGAATTCTATTCAGTATAGCTGGTCTACATAATGCCCCTGATTATATGATCGAATGTCAAATAATAACTATCCTTTCTGTTATTTCTGCTTTGTAAATACACAGCATACAAATTCATTTTGCTTAAGCTTGCTGTTGAATTATAGTATGTAAACTTGTGAACACTAATATAAGATTGTCTTTACGTTGAATGGACATTTTAAACATTAACTATTGAATGAAGTTTCAACATGTTTCTGTTTTTCGTTCTTTTAATTCTTTGATATTTATTTTCAGTAGGTGGGTAGATATAATGAATACATCTAATATCAAATTGTGACCTGTATTTGAGGAACCCTCATTATAACCAAGATTTGTATTGGTTCCGTATAGCATTCATTTCACCAAGTATATTTGTTTTATTGATACTTTCGTGTACAGGGATGATCACAGGACAGTTCAAGACCTGTTTATAAAAGCTGCACAAAGGCATCCAAATGATGTGGATTATGAAGTGCAGTGTGGATTAGGGGTTCTGTTCAATCTCTCAGGGGACTACAATAAGGCAGCCGACTGTTTTTCCACCGCTCTTTCTGTAAGACCAGAAGTAAGTAAAGAATTTGGGCGGTCAGGTTAGGTTTGACAAAATCACATTGGTATATTTTGGGACATGAACAACGTTTCAATCAACAGCTTATTGAAAGCATTTTTCTTCCGCAAAAATTTCAAAAAATCGCATTTAGGTTCATAATTTTGATGGTGGTTGGTGTTTTTTTGGACACTTCACCTACCAAAATATACCGAAGATCTGTTGGCACACCCTGTAGTATAGAATAGGCGACTGAACTGGTATAAATTTTTTGTTATAAAAAAATATACATTATATTGTTGAAGACCGTTTTTGTATTGTTCAGAGCTATTAAAAAATATTGCCAGATACGAAATTAACATTTAGATCGTCAAACATTACTACACCAACCACGTTTTCAAATCGCAAAATATTTTTCAATTGGAATTCAGAAAGCGTTAATTGGAATTCAGATATCGTCATTTGTAATTCAGATAAAGTAACTTGAAATTCAGAAAATATCATTGTAATTCGGATTAGTCAAGTCAAATTGAGATCAGTCAGATGAAATTCAGATATCGTCAACTGTTATTTAGAATTTAGAAGGTGTCAATAATTGTAATTCAGACTGATGGATTGTAGGTAGGTATTCAATATTTATGTAGTATTTGGTAGTTCCGAACTAATTTTAAGGAAATTCATCCAAAGGAAATCTTTCCTATTTTCGTCGGCTTGACTGAAGCTGTGATTTTTCACCTTAAACTAGAGTTCTTGAACTATTGAGAAATTTTCTTGAAAATAATAAAACTGGAAGCGATAGTGTGAAGAACTTGGTATGCACTAGCCGAATTATTCAGTTGATATTATTGTGATAGCAATATCCCAAAAATGTGTCGAAAATATTAAAGACATTTGCGCCTGCTTATTTTTCATTTTCAATTGTTAATTTGGTTTGCATAAATGGTAGCATTTCAGCTACTCCTCACTTGATAATTGAACTTATATATTTGAATTGAGACATCAATCATGAAAACAAATAAAAAAAATGACAGTTATACCAGTTATGCGCAGAACAAAACGAGTTTAAACTTTCTGTCGAGCACACCATGCATGATCGTTATATGAAGAAAAGTAAGGTTAGGAGGTACCGGTATACGTACTTATTCCAGACATTCTCGAGGAGCACACTACAATGTTGAAAAAAATTCGTGAATATCGAATCATTTGATCATAGAAGGTGGGGTGTGAGCAATCTTTCAAAATAACTTGCCAGGTTTGCCTGTGTATTTTGTTTACAATATGAAGGTCTAAGTAAGCTAATTTAAATGAAATAACCCCTGAATCAGGCAAACATGTTTTTTTTTTTCAATTTTTACAAAGGTCATATTGTGATATCTTGTCAGTCATGAGCTGGACATCAGCCCTCCAAAGGATAACGTTGAGTTTTGGGACACCTTGTATACAAAAGCTGCAAACTAATGAAGTTCAAAGCCCCACCAATAAAATGGATCTTGTTATAGCCCTGGTCACTAAAATCATCATGATGAGACAAACATATTTTTTATCTCTTGTCATTGGTGTATAGTTTCTAAATAACTAAAAATTGCCAGTCCACTCGCCCATTGAATAATATACAGTATGATGCAAATGTATGGAATAAATTCATTTCAAAACAAGACGACTTTCGAAAAAAAAACAAAATCTAGAGTTCAGAACTTTTTTTTCGACGTATTTTCGATGATCAATTCTCAGTAGCAGACCTCTGCAAGATTCAATTAATCACATGATAATCCATTTTAATTTCAATCTTCTTATGCAACATTTTGACTGTTGAATAGACGATCGGTAGACCTTTCAATCAAGGTGTCAAATGACCGCTATTTGTATTTGAAAAAATCGTCCATTACGTCTTTACTTTAACACCGGTGACGTAACATCTCTCATATGAATATCATGAGATGAGGCTTCAGAAATTAAAACTCACGTGTTTTTGGAATTTTTTCAAATGTTGCCCATTTCTCAAATAATGAATTTATTCCATACATTTGCATCATACTGTATAATGAATCTTTCTACATGAACATTGTTAATGATAATCCACTGTTAGGATGCCAGGCTGTGGAACAGGTTAGGAGCAACTTTAGCGAATGGTTCCAGACCTGAGGAAGCAGTTGATGCCTACCATAATGCACTGAACCTTTCTCCAGGTTTTATTAGGGCAAGGTACAATGTTGGAATCACCTGTATAAATTTGAATGCATACAGGTTAGTAGTTGAATTCTATCAGACTGATCATGATTGAAAATGAGCCTAAATGGTATAGTCCATCTTCATTTACATTTTTGGGTATTTTTTCTTTGTTTGGTGGTGGTTGTTGTTGTTGTTATTATCATTGTTCATTGTTATAAATCCGTGTATTGGTATTAGAGATCCTGACCTAACAACGGAATTTTTGTTTTTATTATTTATAACATAATTTATTCAAAGTATTGTTCCTTCACACTATGATAATTATTCGTCCAAACAGACTTGTCCAACAAAAACACAAGTTCACACCACAAAACACATGCATTGAAGAAAAATACCCACTCAAAAATTTTTCAAGTAATTGTCGTATGGTAGTGCTTTGTTAATCTGTGGTATTGCTTCCATCTTATTCATCAGAATCCATATTTTGGCGAACCATACAATTTTATTAGAAATGTAATCATTGAATATTCATTGACATATTACCAACTATATACAGGGTGTTTGAAAAAAACCTAACCTCCTTGCTAGGGTAGGTAGAACATTGCAAAACGGAATCCGTTTTCATGATACAAGGTGTTGAAAAAATTATTTTTTTACACATTTCTCACGATTATTCCAAAACTACTGGCAACATTGTAATGAAATTTTGTATGGATGTTTCTTGAAATCTGACACATCCCATGGATTTGTTTTTATATTTGACTCTCATAGAGGGCGCTAGTTATACGGTTCGTACCGAGTAGTTTTGAACATAACTTTTTTGAGGTTAGATTTTTCAATCCAAATATGATATGAACTTGAACATCATTCAATTTCACACCAAAAATGTACTCCTGGTGAAACTCGATACTATGTTCCGTTTTCGGAATATTTCAATTTGAAAATAACTGAGTAGTAATGATGCTGGTATAAAATTAATTTTATTGAGTTCAATCACCTATTTATTCAGGTTCAAAAACAATAAAATTATTCTTGTGCTGAAGTTATTGATGGAACAAAGAATTATAAGTAGAAAATTAAGAGATATTTGACTAGAAACATGAAATATTGAATCAGTTAGAGTAAGTGTTCAGACATGATCCTATATTCTTTTTTTAAGAATGTATTATTCTTCTGAACAGTTGAGGATCAGCTTTTAGGTCATTTAAGTGATGTTCAATTATGTCTCACAACTCTCGACGTGAATTTACCTATGTAGCATAGACTTTCTGATCAAGATACAACAAATCTGTGAAATTCATGTTCTTAGTCAAATCTGTTTCGATGTTATTGTTGTGATTCATTGTTAAATCAATGAGTTCTGCATCAGAAATGTATTGTCGTTTAATGAATAGGTGATAATTTTTCAAAATACTCACTCTAATACATAGCTTTATACTAGCAACAGTTACCACTACATCATTTTCAAATCGAAATATTCCGAAAACGGAACACAGTATCGAGTTTTACCAAGAGTACCTTTTTGGTGTGAAAATGAATGATGTTCAAGTTCACGTCAAATTTGAATTGAAAAATCTAACCTCAAAAAAGTTATGTTCAAAACTACTCGGTACGAACCGTGTAACTAGTGGCCTCTATGACAGTCAGATATAAAAACAAATGCATGCGATGTGTCAGATGCCAAGAAACATCCATACAAAATTTCATCACAATGTTGCCAGTAGTTTCAACATAATCGTAAAAAATGTGTAAAAAAAATATTGTTTCAACACCTTGTATCTTGAAAACTGATGACGTTACGACATTTTTTTACTGAGCAAACCCAACTTATTTTGCATTGTTCTACCTACCCTAGCAAGGGGGGTTAGGTTTTTTTGAAACACCCTGTATATCTGTTTTTTTTTGTATTTAGGGAAGCTGCAGAACACTTCTTGACAGCACTAAACCAGCAAGCTAGGGGAAAAGACATAGCAAATTTGGGATCCATGTCTCAAATGTCTGACACCATTTGGACGACACTCCGTATGTGCATTTCATTGATGAACAGAGGCGATCTTAAGCCCTTAGTAGACAGGAAAGATTTAAAAGGGTTGAATGAACAATTTGCAATAGACTAAAATGGGGCTAACCTGTTGTGGCATAGGGTGGGATTGGTCAAGTTTCAAAAAGAACGAAATTGAAATTGTTATTTTTTTAAGAATTAAATTGATAGCAACATTATTGGTTTCAAATATATTATTACTGTTGTATAAGGGTTTTGTATTTCACCACTGAAAATTGATAGAACCGGCTGCCAAGCTGAAATTTGTCTGATTATATTTTTGTATTTGACAAAAATGCGAGTCACCACGACGAGTCCCTTTGGCTTAAATTGGATGTTGTTAATATCACAATAGTGCACAAGTACACTTTTATTAATAAGAATTTACAGTGTCCTGGTTTCAATCTGAGTGTATACATCTATAGTTTTTTAAATGAACTGGAGATTCTACCATAATGTGATTGAATAAATAGTTTTTATTACCTACCTTTGAAACGATCGGGATGTATGTTTAAATGTTCTTAAAATGCGATTTTCTCAGAACGGTACATGATATCGATTTAAATAAGGTATACTATTTTCGTAGAAGAAAGAATAAGGAATCAAACGGTGGAAGCAAAATGTCAAATTTTTCACCTTTCGTCCCATCCTGTATAAAACATAATCACTGAACAGCCGTTTACATAAAATATAGAAAGGACAATCAGTATGAGTTGATTTAGTTGCCCGAATATCAGTGATGCCATGGCGTTTGAAAATTATACATGAATTTTTTTTATTCAAACTTTCAAGGTCAATTACTCCATAACGAAGTGCCATAGACATTGTTTTATATATAAAGGACTAACATTACTTTGGGTCCCTCTATCAGCCCTATCATTTACGACATGATCTTTCCAGACACCCTGTATAGGTAGAGGAAAGTATGAACGTTTTCATGGTTTTCAACATGAGGGCCATGAGAACAAAATTTTTATCAAGCGTTCCAAACACAAAAATTATTCGGATATTTAACATTACAAGAACATAAAAATGAATGTTTCCATAATATTTTTCCATGTTCAGACATTTTCAATAGAAATTGAAAAACTCCGAATTATATAAATATTAAATGATGAGCTCGGCCATTTTTAATCGGGAATTAAATTGAAATAACTATCTGAAATACCTATTGCATAACCAGCAGCCATAAAATCTTGATTATATCATCAAATAATGTTATTGTGGATTCAAAGAGGTCTAATTTTGAGTCACTCACTATGTTAGCAGAATAATACTGCTTCTCTGATTTCAATGAAAAATTGCTCAACATTTTTTATTGCCAAGAAAATACAAAATATAACTACATGTTGAAACAACTGGTGTGTAGAAGCAAAATAACTTTTCACATTTGTCTCAAAATCAAGTTTTATGAACACCTGATGAACGCATCTACAGTTCCCAGCACACTGTGTCACTCCTTCCGGGGACAGCTACAATAATGATAGGAAATTAAGAGAACACAGGGTGTAAAGTGGGGTCAACTTCAGTGATATACACTGCTCGCCAACGGCCATGGAACCACCCCAATTTCCGGAAAATGATAGGAGTCGAAATAGGTTGAGAATCAATTCGGATTCGGAATCAGGACGCCCAATTCACTAACTATTCATATTATTCCTGGAAAATTTTCATTTCTTAAAATTAAATTTTGTTGCACTTTTTACGGAAGCACCCCCGTATATTAGGCATTCCAGAACACGTGACTTTTGACATATTTCTAATGACCGCCAGTAGGCACACAAATATTTTTTGTCGATTTACGTAGCAGCGGTATAATCTTGGGTAGATATATCAAATAATAATAATGGCTGTTTTGAATAAAAGTGGATATTTATAATCCTTGGATCACTATAACAAAGATATTGCGACACGAAAGTATGTGTGTCTACAGTCGGCCATATTGATTTAGATGGTTTGACAGCATCTTGGATAGGTCAATTACGTAATTGACTTTATCTTTGGACTTTCCCTTCCTCCTGCAAATTTCAGAACCCTTCCTCAATAATTACGTAAGATACGGGGGTGCTTCCGTAAAAAATGCGACAAAATTTAATTTTTCAGAACTGAACATTTTCCAGGAAAAATATGAATTGTTAGTGACTTGCGCGTCCTGATTCCGAATCCGAAGTGATTTTCAACCTATTTTGACTCCTAATATCATTTTCCGGAAATTGGGGTGGTTCCATGGCTGTTGGGGAGCAGTGTATAACACTGAAGATGACCCCACTTGTTGATAGAGTGCATTTTTGGTATATCTCTTTGTCCAACAAAATTTCAGGATCTTCACCCAACGAGTACATAAGATACAGGGGTGTTTCCATTAAAAATGGGTCATACTGTATATTAAGGACGAAGACAACAACGTAAGATTATCGCTGATTTCTCAATATGAGATGGACTTTAGTGTCGCATTCATAATAAAAGATGGATGCGTAGAAGACGACTTTGAATCAATTTGGTCCAATTTTTCACCTATTCAATGCATGTGAAAGCAGTGCATCATCTCTTTATGATTGAAATTATGAGTGGAATTCAGAATAAAAAAAAGGGGTTCTACATATGCACACTCAGCCTGCCTCACTTAAAACGCCTCCCCACCCCACTTATTTCAGCTATTAGTCCTGCGTTCTTATCGAAATGAAAACTGGTTGATTTTTTATAAAATCTTAGAAATTTTTTGTAAGAAAAATAATTCCATATTATTGTTCCTCATGTTTTCAAACCACCACATGCAAAAAGCACTTCATTCTGGATTAACAGGAACAGCTTGATTTTTTAGCAAATTTTGGAAAGTTCAAAATCTCTGGTAGGCAGAAAATTATGGTTTGGAAAAAAAAACAAGACTTTTTTGTTGAACTCAGCGTTTCCCAGTAAATAATTAATTACCTTCACAAAAATGCTGATTATATGTGTATGTTTTCCTGTAAAAAAATCCTAATGTTCTCATGAAAAATTGATTCCTTTTCATTTCAATAAAAATGCACGGTGTTTAGACTTAGAATGTTATCACATTTTTGGTATGAGCTGAACCTGACTGGAAGGCGATGAAAAAAGCTGAAGAAATTGTCAGAGCAACGGGACAACAAGATTGTAATAAAATATCGAATCTGATATGACATATTTGAAATTCTAAAAATAAAAATAGTTTGAATAATATCGTGAATACTTGTGTTTTCCCCGCAAGGGGTGGTCCTTCGACTATATTGAACCATCGAACGAATCCTCGAACGAAATAACACAGGGAACTGTCCAAAATGATATTGGAATGGAAACAAAAAGTTGGTGATCTCTGTGTCAATTATGAACAAAATTCTTTACTATTTTTGATTCAACTAATTTTGTACCTGGATTTGTTTTTTTGCACCTGTGTGTTCGTCTATTTTCATATGCATGTCTAATGATAATTTTCTTCCAATGCTTTTGTAGCAGAAATAACATTTTTTGCCACATAGAAAATTACACTGGAAAATGCATCTGCCCATACTGACATCTAACATCCAATTTGATTAAATTTGAACAAAAAATCGGCCAGTGGCACATATTTTTGTAATTAATCATTTTCTTCTAACTGCCCCATGAAGTGCCACAGTATATTATCTGAATACACAGTTACCTTAACTAAACTCACCAATTTTCAGAATTTTATTATTAGATAAATCACATAAAATGAACTTAGGGTGAATTTAAATGATTCAGATATTTCAACAAATTATTGACATTTCATTCATAAAAAAATGTTTATTTGAATTGCCAAAACAATGACAATCCCCCTGGATTTATATATTCCTGACTGCATTGTCACCTGTTGTATCATTGTTGAAAGTATATGGCCTACACAAAATTACTTCTGCACCTTTGTAGGATTGGTAAATCACCTAGAAAAACCTTTTTTGTAGATTCCAAAATATCTAGAAATATCTTGACATATTCATCTGAACTTGATGTGATCCTGAATTATTAGGAACTGTTTTAAATGCTAACAGATAATTATAAAATTATAAACATAAGAAGTAGACTAAAATTCTAAATAAACCTGGTGAGTTTATTTGAATCACTGGGCCATAGATTTTCAAGTGAATCCAGCATTGTACTCTAGGTACTAGGTTTAAATATACAAGAACCTGCACTTATATCTGTTCATATTCACTCTCCTTCATTATCACTATGTAGTAGCACACTCCCACAACAGACATTATATCTGTATACTTGTCTATTGATAAGATCATAGCAGACATATGAAGGTGCCAATACTAGGTTATCCATAATAATGATGATGATAAAAATCAGTTGCCTTCCATTCGATTTTCTGAAGATAGGTGTTTTTTGCATTTTTGGGCATAAACTTCTCTTTCCAAACGGGTCTGAAGAAGGGAGAATAGCCTAGTTGCTTCTTCAATATTACTCTGAAATAATAAATATAATAATGATGATAAAAAATTAATAATGGTACTAATATCATATCAATGAAAAGACAATTTTGAATGAAATAAATACAATGAAGAGATATTATTTCTTCTTTTAAGGTGCAAAATAACCTCTTGCTACATATTGATTGATTGATTGTCTTTATTACCCCAAGAAACATGTTTGTTTATAATAGGGATATATACAACAAAACATACATATAACATAATAAATCAAAACAATAATGATTGCACAATTATTGTTTTTCATATTTTTATTTTTATAGAAACGAGGAGAGAAAATCCCAAAAATTTGGAATAATGAATAAAATATAAAATGAAAATATTATAATCCATTACAAGTAATCAAATTGTGAATGATTAGTACTATTAGTTAATGTGGAATTAAAGTTTACTGAGCAAATATTTCTTTAATTTGATTTTAAATTTTTCTGCTTCTATATTTTTCAACTCATTAGGTAAGGAGTTATATAAAATTATTCCATTATGGAATATTGATTGTATACCAAAATTTTACTTATAATTATTTGCTATCAATAAATTAAATTGCCTTGTTTCATGGGCGTGAATTGTATTAACTTCATTAAAATTCACATTCGAATATTCTCAATTCCTTACTGACAAAATGAATAAAACAACAAATTTTGAGTTTATATATTGAAACTAGATTCAGCAAGTCTTTAGGTTTGTATAGATTCACAGTTGATTCTAAAAGAGGTAAATTGAAAATGCACTTTATTGTTTCATTTTGTAATTTCATTAGTGGCTTCAAACATGAAATATTTGTACTTCCCCAAATAGATATTAGATATTGTATATTTGAATAAAAAAAGACAGAAATAAATACTCTTTAGGTATCTAACAGGAATGAAATTTCGAATTTTATATATAATACCAGCAATAGGATTCAATTTTTCCTCAATTGATCTATATGTAGAGTCCATGATAATTGTTCATCAATATAAAGACCTTAACATTATATGAGATCATCCTGTATAAATTGAAGCTGTCAAGATATAAGAAAGGTTGTTTGTTTCAGAAAACTATTTTGCAGATGTGTGAGTTTTATAAGTTTAATGACAACCTATTGGCCACTGTTTTCAATAATCTTTCATATTATGGAAAATCCAGATAACACCAAAACACTCTAAATAGTGAAAACCATTCATGGTGTACTTATGATGTTGAGAAATATAAAGCAACAGCACATCCTAACCTTGAAATATGTTAAACAGCACTATATCAAAACTCCTTTCTCTATAGAACAGGAAAGCTATAGAATTCATTGCCTAAGGAAGTATTTCCAAGAACTTATAATCTCCAAAAGTTGAAAAAAAAAATTCCAACACCTATATAAAAAAGTTTACAAATAGAAGTTCCCCAAGGCACATCCCTTGGTCTAATGCTATTAATCATGTAGGCATAGATTCATGTTTATACTGTCAAATTTTGCATGTTTCAGAATTATACCATGGTATTCTCTGAAATTATGACCATTTATCTGCACTTCCTGATTCAGCTTTTGAATTTCTTTATCATACTCAGCGTAGCACATATACAATGGTAATATAAAGTAGGATGTAAGAAACACTTACCATTATTAGAAAAACTTTTATTTCTCCATTAGGATCAAGAGCAGTTATTCTAACACTCTTTTCACTTGCCTTTTCTACCACCATCTCTGCCCAAACCTGAAACACATTGATCTGTCATAGAGGCAATTGAAGAACAAAAACTCATACTTTTGTATTAAGAACAACCCTCAAGCTGCCTGTAGTCCTGAAAACAAGCCTGCTGGCAATATGATCATCAGATTGAAAATCATTCAACCTAAGAGTTCCTCTTCCTCGTTCCTGCCAGCTGCTGTTAACTTTATCAAAAGCAAATAATTTACAACATATTTTCATAACATTATTTTCATCTTCTTCCCCTGTTATCACTTCCACTTCTTCATACTTCCTTTTACTTGCTCTGGATTCTTCATACTCTCTAGCTGATTCACTCAATGATTTTACTTCTTTTACTATACTCTCAGCTTTAGTGTCAGGCTTCAAAGCACTACTGAAAAGCATTTCAGAAGTTCCATTTGTGCTTGAACTTGTTGATGCTTTTGGTTCTTCTATTTTATTTTCTGCATCCATTACTCTGTCATGCAAGTTTTCTCCAAATACAAATGGAGCACTTGAAGGGTTGACAGCATTGCTAGATGAGGAAGACTGATTTGGAGTGCTTGTTATGGTTTGTTGTGTTTTATTTACTGGTACAATCAAAGGAACAAACTTTGGTTTATCACTTCCATTTGCATGACTCACTTTCTTGTCACTGTGGATTTCATGTTTATCACTGTTTATATTTTCACAATTATCAGATTTAGTAGCTACTGAATTGAGCTGACTTGGTTTCAACATGAATGGTTTACTATTAGGGGCAGTTACACTATTGTTTAGATTAAATTGGGGTGGTTTCAGAATACTTTTTGATACTCTGTTTTGTGAGATAGCAAATGGGTTGTTTGGAGCTGTTATTTGAGGCCGAAATGATGGACTGCAAACCTTGAACTCTCTGTTGTTTACATTATCTTCATTTTTCTCGTTGTCATCAATTTCTGCAAAATATAATGTAATCAAAACGAAATGTACAACATCGATGATTTACCTTTTCTATTTGACTCTTCTGAGTCTTCTGGCCCATCTATTTTCATTATAATGGGGGGCTGCTGCAGCACTGCAGGCTTCACAATACTATCATCTGAAAATAAAAACTCTTATTTGAATTGGCAACAACATATCGAATTGTCTAAAAAATCGGCACACCCTTCTGGGAATGCTGCAGAAAGAATCTTTAGATAAAATTTATAATAAACATACTTTTATGTGGCTCCGCCATTTTTAGTAATGGCAAATGTTCAAATGAAAATGATAGTTCACACTGACACTGACACTAGTGACACTACTGACAGTAGTCAGTTCTGACACAGGACAGGACATACAGATCACAGGACACACAAAACACATACACACACGAAATACCACAGAGCACATTTGACAGAAGAATGAACTATGAACCCAGGTGGCGCCCGAGGTCCTGTAATGCAAGGTTGGTAGAACTGATGATTATAATCAGTTCTACCAACCTTGCTGTAATGAAATTTTAGCTCTGCTTTTCCAAAATCTCGAGTTGCGATACGGCGGACAAGTTTTGTAATTATGATCCGATCCTATTCAAAATTGGTATCTGCTTTACAAGAACAGGATTTTATTCCGCGCGAAGAGCTACTTCACACCTCAACAACTTTTCATGAATTACAAAGCACAGGTACGACCTGTTCTAGAATACTGTTCTCTCATATGGGGTTCAGCACCCAAACATACTCTGATGCTCTTAGATTCCATTCCGAGAAGAGCCATTCGCCTGGTGGGTGATCCACACTCACTAACACTTTGACATCATTGGAACACCCAAGAAAATTCGGCGACCTTTCACTTTTCAACACCTTTTTATTAGCTTCCCCTGTATGTATGTATGTAACCGACTCTTTTGGATTTTTTACCCATTTTTTAAGCAGACGGATTGATTTGAAATTTGGCAGGAGTACATAGATCGGGTGGCAATCATATACGTATTAATAATCAATACGGATAATCTCTATCTGTTTCCATAGCGAAACATGAAGCCGATTTTTGAAGACAAATGACTATCCATAAGGAAAAGTTTTGAAACGATCAGACACATACTGCTTTGATTGAAAGGCTAGTAAACGTCATTGATGTCCACCGAAACGCATGTCTTTGATGACTACTATAATAGCGCATGGCGCATGCGTATCATGCCACCAAATCCTTATGGATATTCATTTGTTTCATATTTTTGGCTTCATCCTGGCACCCGTTATGATCCGTATTGTTTATTAATACGTATATGGTGGCAATGCATCATGAAATTTTTGTTAGACAAAAAAACAAAATGGCGGCTCCAAAATGATAGGTGGACGAGTTTTGTAATTAGGTATGATCCGATTCTATTCAAAATTATTGGTATCTAGGGGTTTTCGGGGTCGGAGATTATGATTCATTCGTCAAAATTTGTAAATTCAAGATGGCGGATCCAATATGGCGAACGAGTTTTGATATTATGATCCGAATCTATTCAAAATTTGTATCTGCGGGTTTTCGCGATCAGATATTATGACGATTCTTTCGTCAAAAGTTGAAAATTCAAGATGCCGGACGAGTTTTGTAATTATATGATCCAATTCTGTTCAAATAAGTTGGTATCTGGTAATTGAGTCACTTTTTCTCGATCCAAACAGTTCAATATAACATGTGTTGATATATATTTGTTATCGTAACGCGGTGTCTTTAATAATTGACAGGGGCCACATTCATATTATAATAATATCGATCAAACTTCCGCTGTATACAGTGTGCAGCACTACTATACATTATTTCTCCCACTAATACAACTAATAACTAATAAACCGAAATAGCTTCAAATCTACATATCCGCCTACTTCGAAAAGTATATGTATAGGGTAAGGTGTATAGGGTGTAATAATTATGATTAATGGTACACACAGTCAGTAAAACTGCAGATTCCTTAGGTGAGAATATTGCTATTTGGCCACACTTAGCTCAGTTCAAAAATTTAAAAGTGAATGTTTAATCTCCGATTTACTCATTTTCAAAGCAATATTTTTGTTTACAATTTTTTCAATATGGCTGTTCTGGATTGAGGAATTAGGAATCGGTGATAATTTTGTTGGAATCTTTAAAGACCAATCTCTGCGGCACCCTTATGGGTGAAATAATTGCATTATTCTGTGACAGTGTAATTATGTTTTCATTATGGATATGTAGGTATATTAATTTTCTCTCGAAAATTTATAGGTAATTATATTTACCTACTTTATAAATGTCGCTCCAACAAACCATTTCCTTACTTTTACAATTTTTGCATTCGTTTAAATTTTGATTTGCAAATGTGAAATTTTTCATAGTAAGCTTTGATAACAACAAATGCAATGAAAGGGCTATTAAACTTTATTCCTGTTAAATTATCCAGGGCATGATTTTTTCAGCATTGGTGGGTGTTCTCACATAGAAATCCTGCATCTCGATCGGTTATAATCCAACTTTTTAACTGATAGTATTTCTCAAGGAATATAGTTTTACTATACATCATCAACTGTGGGACATCCTGTATATTTAGTCGATGAAATTGGAAATGCTAGAATCGACCCACATCGACCGTGCAACCCGTTCAACCTTACATGATCGAAAGTGACATCAAGAATCATGATTTTTTCTTGTCACCACGATGACAGAAACCCAAATCAACTCTCAAAAATTCCAATTGAGGAGAAAATCTCTGGGCTCTCCAACTACTAGAAAACCGATCTTGATATCACCCAAGCGCAAGACTCTGCCGCTGCCGATCATTCTTCGTGATGGAGTAGATGTCACCCCGAAACCTCTTAACCCCGAAATATTCACCGGTGGTAGAGAGAGGCAACTGAGCGTTTATGATATCGGCTTAGAAAGAGACCGTTTAGAGACCAGGGCCTCAAGAAGCCACAGCCAATCCCTCAATGTATTCAGGACACAGTCTACAGTTCGGTTCAAACCAGAATATGGTAAGACCAGGGATGATTCCAATCAGTACCGAGGAAGTGTCAGCCAAGGAAGTAATTTCTTTGATCCGATTATCTCGGACATTGAGGATGAGCAGGCATCTATATCGAATATATCAGTACCGTTGGAACCCAGTAAAGAAATACAGGAAGACAGGGTAAAAAAAATACCTAGTCATATCAGTCTGATTCTCACTGAAACTAACACATTTTTTATATTGGATATGCCCAGTTGCACTGCCATAAAAGATACTGATGAAGGTTAGTTTTCCAAAACAACTTCAATTTATAATAATAATAATTATAATAAGAGGTCTGCACAAAATCTTAGCACATCCTTAGTCCTTAGGTCAAAATAAGCCGATTTAAAGCAACTCACCTCATTCCGAAATTGCTCCGAGATACATGGTGGTAAATTTTAAAAATAAAAATCGACAAGTACACTCCGAAAAAGTATTTTGAAAAATCCATTTTTGCACTGCTCATTCACTGATCAAATATTAAATTCTCGAAGATTTGCATCAAACATTAAACATCGAACACTAAATATCTCGAAAACTGCTTACTTCAGAGAGTTTCTACAAGTGTAACTTTTTTGCTTGAAAATAATCAAATTATTTCCTCAACGAAAAAAATAAAAAACTACACTGAGAAAAAAGTTGTGGCCATTCTAAACCATATGAAGTGCAATGGTAAGCGCCCTCTAATGACATAGTGAAAAGGTGTCCGTATTCGGGTTTCATATCCCAAAAAGTGATACGTTTAAAAATGTTCACTCGAAAATGGAGCAATTTCGGACTGAGGTAAGTTGCTTTAAATCGGCTTATTTTGACCTCAGGAATATAAGTGCTGAGATTTTGTACACACCTATTAGGGACACCCTGTATATTGTTATTATAATATGTATAATGGAATATCATGAATGAACAAACAATTTATATTCATACTGGTATGACGCTGTTCATAAAGCTTTTCTAAAATTATATATCATAATTGCTTCTACCTTCCTGCTGATCAACATCAGATGCTTACAATATCAATTAAATTATGATTTTGAAGGAAACCAAGTGGAAGAAGATAATGCCCAATACGAATTTCTAACGGAAGGTAAGGGAAAAAATCGGAAAACGCTGAGTGCAGAAGTCCAAACATTCCCGATCGTTATGAAAACTAGAAGCACTTTCCCAGAGAAAGTGAAAACCCAAACTGGAACAGCGTTCGTTTCCAATTGGAATATGTATGACACCTACCAAGCAACGAAAGAAACATTAACAGAAGAAAGTGAGGAATCTGATGAAGATTCCGATTTTGAATATCACAAGTTAGATGACCTCAGTTCTCTGGATAGTTATAAATTATCAGCGGATGAAAAAATGATGGCCAAACTGATGAAAAATCCTAGATTTTTAGAGGCAGTATGTGTAATCGAAAGATTGCTGGCCAACAATTGTTATAACGAAGAACAAAAAATATTTCGGGCGTTATCAGTCCCTGACGACTTCCGAGAAAACATAGAATACAAGTACAAACTTAGACTGTTATGGACTTTTTCCAATGATAAAACTAAAGGTAATACTGCAATTATTTTACAGTCGCCCAATTTTCTAAGACCAAACGAAAAATCTGAATACACTGGGTGATCAAGTTTTAAAGACTCATATTCCAGGAATCGATATACAGTGTCATTCATAAAGTCAGCATCATATGGGAATTTTTTTTTTCAAATTAATGCCTAAAAATGGGAATATTTTTTCGAATTTGAAAAATTTTACAAAGAGAAGTTGTTTCTATTCCAATTTTACATATGTGACTTCCTATCCTGTTCTGTTTGTAAGTTAAATAGGGGAAGGACTTTACGTTCTCACTGTATACAACATTTAAACAAACTTAGGCAGTCTTTGATTCAACCGTGTTTAAATTATTGTTTCCATTTATTTTTCATTTTACGATTCAACTCTTGAGCCTTTTCTATATCCTTTAATCTAAATGGAGATCGACAATAATGCCCTTTATTAAATAACTGATCATTTTCTCACCTAAGCCATTTTCCTAGGTTTGAGTGTGAATTCAGTACACTGGAATCCTGCAAATAAGGATATATGTGCAGTTGGATATGGAAAATTTTACTTCCATGACAACTTACCAGGTTTGGTAATGATTTGGAATATAAAAAATCCGGTGCAACCTGAGAGAAATTACTCTTTCGATGTACCAGTCACCTCCGTTTGTTTTTCATCTTCCAACCCCATTTTACTCGCTATTGGCTTTTATGATGGTTCAATCAAGGTTCTCAATGTTGTTAGCAGAGACATAATGATAATAGGAGAAAAAATGCCTACATATGAACCTGTATGGAGCGTTCTCTGGCAGTATGGAAGAACTGAGAGAGTACATGAGGAACTAGTTGGGGCTACTTTTGATGATGGAAGGTTATGTGCTTACGCCGTGCAAAGAAAACTGCAAGAGGTAAATAAAAACACTCATCGCTATATTGAGCCAAAACCATAAAAATCTTTCTTTGTCTGGAAATTCATGATCTCTACATAGAGTGCCATAGGAAAACTGATCGACATATGGCAATTTTGCGTTGAAGTTTGATAGTTAACCAGACTCTCTTAAGCTAAAACAATCTTCACGTTTCTGGTTCGTTTAATCGTTTCTCCAGAGTATTTCTACTGGTCTAACCGTGTCAAATTTGTAGACATTAGACCTGAGAAAATAGATACCCTTCAAGGTTAGATGATGTTCATTGAAAGAGACATTGATAAATCATTAACTTTTGGGCAATGCTCCATGTATTTTCAAGGCTGAAGCAACTTCAACAGATTTGAACTCTCCAAGGCACAATCCTCCAGGTTTGTTTATCTTTCGAACTTTTACAAAAGGAGAACAAAGCTTATCTGTTTCATAATGGATTAGGTATTCTGTATCCGCAACCTTACAGCAGTCACTTTTCAACCTCATACACATGCCTTCTGAATGATTTTTAATACCGATTTAGAAGCAACAATCACTGCCAGTTCATCAGAACTGTTCTCCAAATCACATAATGACTGTACCTACATAAGTTATTGCATAATTGTATTTAACAATGCTAAAAGACAACTGACATTATAGTTCTTCGATAGAAGGATTATACATTCTAACTATACCAAAATTAGAGATTTGAGTCGTATCAATTAGAGTCACTGTATCAATAATACAAAAGTAGTGTTCATTACTCGCAACGAAATGGGATGTCGACTTGCTCATGTGTATGACTTCACTTTAACTCCTTTCAATCGACAAAACGTTATAATATGTACTATAACTATCAAGTTTCCCTCTTATATGTTGTGTTTCATTGCATATGATGAATTCATGTTTTTAATGATTATATTAATTCACACTAGAGATTTCGTCCGGTCAACGGATTGTGGGCGTTGTCTTGTCAGTTCTCAGCGTTTAGCACAGGAACGCCAAGTCTATAGCCTACCCAAAATTAACATATGATGTTTTGTTATACTGCAGGAACGCCAAGTCTATAGCCTACCCAAAATTTACATATGATGTTTTGTTATGGAGTATGGAAAATATTTCAACAAGCTGATGGTTGCTTAAAAAAGTCACAGATTAAGAACTATAACATCATGGCTTCCTCCTGTTAGATTAAATGAAATATTTAATTTGGATATGATTTTATTCAACGACCGGGCTCTAACAACTCTTTGATAACTTGATTATAATTGGTGACTTGACAACCTTGCTTCATGAGTGGGAACAGAAGATCACCTGACTAATAATGAAACAGGATAAGAACATGACTGCACGTTTGAAATGAGCTCTGAAATTCAACAACTTCGAACAACGCAGACACATTATATACGTCAATATCGCATAAGAAGTGTTGCAAAAATTATTTTAGGTCCCTAACGATACAATCATATGGCCACTTTTTACAATGAACGCTGAAAAATATTCCTCTGCTACTTGTCTTATAGGTGAAGCAGATGATGAGGGTGGCAAAAGCTGATGGAAAGCTCAAGGGGTACGACGTGATGAAAAAATGCTCAAATTTAACGATACCAGCATCTCGATATTCGTCAGCACTATTCGCGAGACCGCACCCCGTGAACAATACCGTATATTTTATTGGAACCAATGAAGGAACCATTCACAAGTGCTCTGTGAACTATCTGAATCAACATTTAGATATTTTTCTTGCACACGATGGACCAGTGAATCAGATGAAATTTTCTCCATTTAGTAATGATATTTTCGCAACGTGTGGAGATGACTGCTCCACAAGAATATGGGGAGAAGGTAAGAAATCACTGTTAATGTCATACATTAATTGAATGCGTCAACTCAATTTTCAGAATTCAACACTCCTACTTATGTCATTTTCAAGTGAGGAATACGATTATTCATACGTTTTTAATGGAGTAGGTTGTCGTTCAATCAGCAGCAATAACATTCAATCTTACTGAGCTTGGGAAATTTTATTCTGAGAAATAAGTAGCTTGTACTAGAGGTATTCTATAGTTATTTATTTTTGAATGAAATTATCTAATATAATTTGATTTGGAAACATATAGAAAGGTACATATCAAGAAATACATTGAGAATTCGCATTCTCTAACTGATAAAAATATAAATTATTTTTCGGTATATTCAACAGAGAACAACTACTTTCCTTGCTATATGCCACGACGAACATTGAATTATATATACAGTGTGGAGACTAACTGGAATAAATTCGTTAGCGGGGAGGTGAATATTTTTTCCAAAAATTCCCGACATACGTCAACGATTTAACGTATTTACCTACCTTTTGCAAGCAATATCGAGAATATATCCCTGATATTTTCAAATTCATTTTTTTTTCAACGTATCAATCGCTCAAAATGTGTGTTGAACAATTGATGTCAATTTTTTGCCACTACTGCTATCTGCTATTGTATTCCAGTGTTCTTATGGAGCCGCAAAAAGAAATTTAGTTTTTTTGCCATATTCACAGTTTGAAACGAAGTGTTATTGCAAACTGGTGGAAATGCCCTATATCACGGCTGTGTCAAGTCTGTGGTTTGACCGGACGCGATTTTACTAAATATACTGTACGCTAGCACATACCACGCCCACCGTTATATCTCATCTTCAAAGTACTTAGGCAAAACTCAGAGACTATTTTTCCTCAACGAACTAACCTATCCCTGATTGCAATATTTTTGAGGAAGGAAAACCGAATGGAGTGTAGAAACACATTGATTAATAATATATTTCAAAAGTTGAGTTCTTCAAACAAAATTGAATAAAATGAGACTGTTTATCCTAAATGCACTAACCTATTTGACTTCAAATATTTTATGAGAAAGGAAAACCAGAATGAAGTAAAAAAACGTTGGTGAAGAAAAAGTTGCAAAAAAAAGTTCAAGTTCACAGCGATTCGAACCATGGACCTTCAGACTGAAAGTCGACAGCGCTATAACTAGTAGACCATTTGGGTGTATGGATTTACTGCTTACAAGAGATTGACAACGAGAGAGCTTCAGTCGAATTCGTGTCAAAATCATAAAAATAAGTGTATTCTTGCGTTGGAGCATAGTATATTTAGTGCGATGTGCTGACTCCGAGTATATCGGTAATGTTTGGAGATATGACGTATTATGGTGGGCGTTCAGTATAAAGTCTGACCATCAGTTTGACCAACCAGCTGTTTGGGAATATCGGTCACGTTTCAAACCTGCCCGAGAAGTTACCACGTTATTTTTTATGAGAGTCGAGTCAACCATTTACCATTCTGGTATCACCACTGTGGTCGAACGGATGACTTGACACGGCTTATCACTAGTGAAAATTTTGATGATAATACGTTAAAAATATATTGAATGTCTCGCGAATTTTCAGAAAAATCATTCATTATGTTTAGAACAAAACAGAGATTTATAAATTTAATTTTGATCGAAAGAATAATATGTTGGTTATAAATGAAATAGTATACAAACCTCAGTAGGAAGTTCATGTCTCGAGATCATAGTTGACCTCGATGCTTTGCGTCTCGGTTAACTAATATATTCTGACCTCTAATCACAGAATTATGATTGGGTTTTCTCGATTCAGAATTTTTTCGACGACCTGTACGATGGATATCAATTCAGCATACAATATAAACATAGTTGTTTTGTTTGAATTCTTACCCATCCTATCACCCTCGACGGATGAAGCGGATGAAGCTATTATTTAAATCCTTACGGGCTGTGTAAAATAATCACCCGTGGAAATTTGCGTTGATAATCTTCTCATCAAGTAGATTAATGGCTACACCACAATACATTGTTTTTTCAGGTATTTCTGAACCTGTGCTGGAATTTTCATTAGCCATGAAGAGTGTAGAAGGATTCGATTGGAGCCCATCGCACTCCACAGTGATCGTAACAATCCAAGGGACGGCCATACAAATATGGGACTTGCAGAGGAAAGCGTACGCTCCTCAGTCGATCACTGAATCTCCCACAGGCTCCAGAAATTCAGTGGTCCAATTCACCGATTCGGGAAGGTGTCTTATAGTGGGAGATGTCGACGGATATGTGCATGTGTTTTCGTTGGAGGATATGCCTTTCCCGGCGTTTTTCCAAGAAAACCTTCTTTTCGAGTCGATTGCCAAGGCGCTGGTAACGAATGTCGATCTTCTGAACAAAGTGAAGAAATTGAGGCGATCAGAAACTGAAGAGGAACCTGAATAGTTTATTGTATTATTTAAATTTGTAGGTATATGCTAATTCGAATATTCAGCATGTCCCCGAAAAGGTCAGTCTGTTAAAAATATATTCCTTCAACAACATAATATGATATGATTTTATCTCATGCCATTATGTCTTTTGTGCCAACATACAGGGCATCAAAGTTCGGAATCGGAAACCGTTTTTTATCACGTGTCCAATGAGGATCAAATGCAAATAAAGCATCGTGCAATAATAGGAATCTCTCAACAAATAATCTTAGTGGTGAAAATTGCTTCCTTTTTCTTGAAGTGATTGATCGAAAAAAAAAATACTGTGAAGGCGTTTACTGTTATTAAGGCTGATAAGGCTGATAGTGATTCGCTTTTTCAATTATGTTTTTTTTTCAGGATCAGTCAAGAACGAAGCTATCGGTCGGAAATTTTCTGTAAACTTGTGTCCGCACGGATTATTTGTTGCACCTTGTCTCTTTGCGTTCTGTCTCTAAACTCTTTCTTACAGGTGAATTCGTGAATTTCGCACATTTCAAATTCAATAAAGTCCTCCAATGTAATCACATATTCTTGGCTGAATAAAACAAAACTCAACTATCAAATTATCAAAATAGGAAGGGTTATCACTCAATCGTCCCCTCCTCCCATTCCCGTTCTTTTTCCAGTGACTTCCACCCAACTGTCTCCAATGAAATTTCGTGAGAGCATTTCCATTATCAATCCAATGGTTCCGAATTGATCGTCATTTTTTTGTAAACAATTATAATGTATGCTGTTATGAATTGATTTTATTAAGTTCATCTCAATCACAGATTGTTTTTTAATAATAATAATAAAAATTAGCAATTTTCTGTAACGCCAGCTCTTGATGATGTGAAATATCGATAAGGAGAAGCTAACTAATAGTGCGTAATACGCACAAGAAGAATTCTAAACCATCCAAAAAGACCATCCAAACCAAAAGATAGAAGAAGAACCTCAACAAATCTAGTGGATTATTGAATTTTGACTTATAAACTGGGTCAACAATAGTTATTTATGTATAAAGGAAATTATGAGGGCCTTAATTACCGATGACAAAGTTTGCGTCCCGAGGGCCTCTGGCCCGAGGGACAGCAATTGCCAGAGGTTATCAAGGCTCTATAATTCCCGTGGTACATAGATAATTTTATTTCTGACCGATTTTCATAACAATATGTCCATATTTAGAACGCAATAAATGTTTAAATTCATAACCTTTCTGGTATATTTGAATTAGGTAGCGTTGATTGTAGCATTGTTGGTTGTTGCTAGGTTGTCGCTATGTTACATGTTTATTTTTTTTTAAGCGGCGGAAGTAATTTTCAGGGAACATTTGAAAATTGTACATTTATTATTTGTAATGACGTGAATAAGGAAAATATGTCTTAGTTGTCATCACATATAAACGTTTATAAGCATTTCTTGTATCATTTTCACCTGTAAAAGGTAAGAGGAACCTTAATATCCCAAGGGAGTTATGACCCTCATTATAGATATCGTAAATATGACGATATAAGCTTATAATGTCACTGTCAGAAATAAATTCTATTTATTTCACCAAAAGATACTATTTTAAGATAAAATGCTCGTGTGAACATATATGCATAGGAGCTCCTTTTCCGATATAGAGGGGATGTGATATTTTTATTTATTGTAATTTTCAAGTTTTGCAATTGAGTTTCATTAGCACATTTTATGCAAGACCAGGCGTAAAATAACAGATTACCGCCCGGTTTTGGGGGCGTAAGTGGCAGTTTACCGCCCGGTTTTGTGGGCGAAAAGTGGCACTTTACCGTTCTGGCACTTCAACCCCTTATCACCATCAATCTTCGGGAGGTATTGAACGAACTCACAGAGTTTTAAACGAATATCTAGTATCATATTCTAACAGTTCCGATTGGGACAAATATGGCTACCATATTTTGTTTTTGCATACAAAATCACGCCTCATAGTGATACAAATTATTCTCAATATTAATTATTAGTGTTTGAAAAATTGCTGATCTACCCCATAACAATTCCATTAAAATTTCATGAAATGAAATCAAATTCAGATTACCCGCAGCTCACAAGATCTTGAAATTAGCTAAGGAAAAACGTAAAATTAATCATGATAAAAATGCAAATCCATCAAAATAAATGATTTAGTTATGTTGAAAAAGGGTGCAAAACCAAAGTTAGAGGCACCTCATGAAGGTTCACTTAGGATTATAAACAGTGATGAAGTTCTACAATTTTTCTAGTAGATGATCATAAGATAACGATAAAATTTCCACAAAATTCTTAATATCACGATATATTTTGCTAACACAGTAGCGTCTTCAAGAGAAATACTCGTACAATAAACTGAGTTTGTGTCCGTGTTCGTTTGTGAAGTTTTTTTACATTTACTATGGATTTACATCAACTAACGGCTTAGTCAATTCAAAACAATCTTGAGTATTGTTGATCTCTAGATTCGGTGTCATTCAACCGATCTCGAACCTTGGAGATACCATGGTCATGGTCTACCCATGGTATTTGGGAAGTAATACTGTTTTACTTGATGCCCAATGGTGAATGTGGAGTTATTGAGAACTACTTTTTTTTAATAACATATTTAATTATCAGCAAGAATCTGGGTACAAAAATTTAAATGAACTAACCCTACTTTTTAGAGATCATTGGCGAATTTAAAATAGGACGATTCTCAAAGGATATTAACTCTCTGGTAATTCTCAAGTTTTCTTAGTGGTTAACCATGGTGGTAAATTGATTTTTTTCTGTTGATTGTTCTCACTCCCACTTACACTTGTCTGCATAACTTCCTTCTTAATACTACTCTCTACATTTACCTGTCTACCATTCAACCGGAAATTCGCACCATCCATACTATCCTTAACATCACTTTCTTTCTCCTCTTTTTTCACACTAACTTCTGTCGAATCACAAACGGGCTCTTGACTTGGTCGATTATGATTATCTTCTAACGTCGATTGCCGTTCAGGGGAATCCAGAACCGAGTAATTGATTTCAGATTTTACAGGAGAATAACTGGGTTTATGTCGCTTGTGTTTTGGTTCTCTATCTTGAACATCTGCATCATCAAGCCTATCAAAGCAATGTTTATTTAATGCTTCCGGGTCCATATCTTCGAGTTCTTTCAGACACTTTATGAATTGTGTTAGATTTCTCTCTTTAAGATCCTCTTGTTCATGTCGTTGTGTTGAGCAATCCGAATCCACAAGAATGGTATCCTCTTTTTCTTCAATATCGGACTCCACAAAAATTACATCCTTGTCTTCTTCATTTATACATCCATATTCAACATCCTCTTTTTTCTGTTCTTGTGTTAGGCAATTCGACTCCACGGGAATACTATCCTCTTTCTGGTTTTTCATAAATTTCCCTGGCTTGTACATTTGATAATAGTCAACATCTTCAAAGTCCTTATATGGCAAGTTTAGAGCGTCCAGGTGCTCACGAACTCGAAGATAACTCTGCATTGCATGAAGGTGTCCATATTCAACTTCTTCAGGACATGCCAGTTTTATAGGTTTCAACAATGAAAGTCCTGAATACAAATAGTATTTTAGTATCACGATGAAACAACTACCTAGTATGTTTTTGATTTATCTTTAACTTGAGTGAATTCAACATTAGTACATGGTTCCCCATAATCGACTACCCATTTTGAGAGCTCCATTAAATTGTTGAAACTTGATCATATAAACATTTTATTACACCCAATTAAAATCAACTCTTTAGGATTTACTCTGTCACATACATATCCATACTTTCAAGAATAATGTCTTTGAAGGGACCGCCATCAACTTCAAAGCACTTTACAAGATTAGACAAGAAATGATGAACCAAAGTCTGTTTGTCTCGCATTAACTGTGTCAACCTGTGTGTGCATTAAACTCAATTGTGGCGTACGCTTTAGTTGTGGCAACTCACATTCGGATGTCACTGCAAAATATGTCACAACTTGGTTATATGCGTATTTGATGTGTGCGTCTCTTTAAATTAATCGCATCCTTGACGATAGTATGATTAGTACGCCAAATTTCACTGAAAACCGAGTCGCCACTGTTTGGGACATAGCGGGAATTTTATCTGGGTATAGTATATCATCAATCAATCAAATTCTGACTGCCTGTGCACCATGATGAGGTGGCTCCCTCTGGTCACACACACTATATTAATTAATTGAGAGTTAGGTTAAATAATCAGTCCAAGAATCATGCTCATCCCTATAACTTTTTTGATTTTGATGATATTGATTCGAAATTTGGCAGGGATATACAAATTATTGATTCTAATTCAAAGATAAAAAAATTATTCGATTCTAAATTGATATTAATAGGAGTATTCAAGGAGTTTATCCATTTTTAGTCAAAATTTATGAATTCAAGATCGCAGCTGCAAGATGGCGGACGAGCTTTGTTATTGAGGTCGAATTCGATGTGAAATTGTCATGTGATGGTTTTCGTTGTCAGATATTATAAATCTTGTATGGAAATCCATAAATGTAGGTTCATATACTAATCTATTCGCCGAACTTCTTCAGCAATTTTATCCTAGTTTTGTGACAGGCGCCTACCCGAATAATAACACGTTGATTAAAATTAAAATATACAGAAAAACGTACTGACTTATCTCGAGTAGAATTAATTTCAATATCAAAATAGGTGATTTATTATGGTGAACTCTGTATTACTCACCCGTCTCCACTGTTTTCAATGCGTCTAAAATAAGATGCGCAATTTCTTTATTAACGCCTAATCTTGACAACTCTACGTTATATCCATATTTCATACAATCGACGAGATGTCGGGTAATTGTTGCGGCAGTCAAATTCCTGAAATCATTAATGATAACAAGTCTTTAATCTTCGGAAGAAGTCCATGGTAACTCGAAGATAAGTGGTGTAAACAACTAGTTCATAGATGAAAACCCAAAGTCATCTACGCAACTTTTATTCAGCCTCCGATTTGAAAGTTAGAATTTTTTCTCAAACCTGTATACACACTCTAGGTAGACACCGTAAATGTAAGAATTGGCAACGCTCAGTTGTGACGTAACAAAGTGGTGGGTAATCCGCTGTGCGCATCCATTCAAAAATACGGCATTGGATTTCATCGACTCGATATTAATATTTGTACAACTGATCAGCACAGCCGATGAACCACAGGTCTGTTACATCCCAAATGAACGTTGCCAATTTCTATACAGTCATTGTCTATCTAGGGAGTGTATAATCTTTGCTCAAAATAATCATCACGGTCTGTCTGTAAGGCTTCAATTTTGTATAGTGTTGAATCAAAGGATGTTAGGTAGGAAAACTTTACACGTCATCATTCCCCATATTTATTAATGTGTAAAAATAATTAGAAAGATAAACTTGGCACTGTAAACTTAAAATTTTATTATGTTATTTAGACATTGTAGAATGATGAGAAAAATTGACAGGCGGTTTGATGAGCAGAAACACTTAGGAGCCAGGCGAGTTCAAAAGTAAGGGACATGTGTATAATTTGCTGACGAGTGACGAGACATTGAAAAATTAAAAAAATAAAGCCAATCCTGGTGAATTGGAATTAGTCAATTTTTTGCATAAATATGAGCATTCAAACGCATGAAGTTAGTTTTCCTGCAAAATATGCCTAATAGGATTTCATTAAAAACGACCCCTTTTTATTTCAATAAAAACGCACGGCACTGTCAATGATGATGTTTGTCTCTGAAAAACTGATCATATTGATGGTTATTTATATCGATTCAAATTTGGTAAGAATCGCACGACTAATGGCTGAGATATAGAGGGGGGCCGTTCAAAGTGAGACACGCTGTATAGTGAGAACGAATGCACAGGAACAAATCCATTTACAATTATTGAAAGGTTTGTTTTTTGAAAAACGCTCGGACAAATTAATGTCACATACCTGAAGAAAGCAATATGTTCTTTGAATCTCGCACCATCACTTCGACGTGTTTACCCAATATATTTAACGTTCCAATCATTACAATAATTTAAAGTGACTGCCAAAAAATGATGACTAGCGTTAGTTTTATTTATATGAATGCTAGAAGACATGATATGATGTTAATACTCTATTGAAACTGTCATGATAATGTCGTTGTCAAACTTAATCTCTTACCAATAAAACAAAATAAAACCGAAAGTTCGATGAATATCATTGACAAAATAAGGCTCCAATTAATTACATATTTCTCACCTGTTTTCAGCAATTTCTTCCAAAGATTTTCCACTCCGATAAAGGTGATATGATATTGTTATGGAATCGTTTAGTTTTGGTAGACCAGGTAATGGGTGCAAACTCAAGACTTGTTCCATTGAAGGACGGGATGACAAAATTACTTTCAAAAACTCCCCTCCATATTTGGTTATTTTCACAGCATTCATTCCATCAACTGCAAGGAATATACAAGCAGAAATTTCAGAACAAAAAATAATGTAAGCAGAGACGAAAAATATATAAATTACAAAAAGTAGTTTAAAAACTAAAGAAACGCCTTTTAATAGAGAGCCAAACTGAAAAGGAGTAGAAAATAAAATGATAATGATAATGATAAAAACACAACATAGAAAATATTATCATCTCCGTAATCAGTACATTCTATGTTGTGTATTTATCAACACACTATTATTATTTTAATTTCTACTTCTTTTTAGTTTGGCTATCTATAAAAAGGTGTTTCTTCAGTTTTTTAAACTACTATTTATTTTCAATTTTTTAGTTCGGCTAACTACCAAAGCGTGTTTTTTAGTGTTCTTATATTCTTTGTAAGAACCCAATTTTGACGAAAGAATCATAATCTCCGACCACGTTAACCCCCAGATACTAACTTTGAATAGAATCGGATCATATAATTACAAAACTCGTCCACCATATTGGATCCGCCATCTTGAATTTTCCAATTTTGACGAAATAATCATAACCTCCAACCCCGAAAACCCACAAATACAAATTTTGAGTAGAATCGGATCAATTACAAAACTCTTCCGCCATTTTGAATTTTCAAACTTTCACTAAAGAATCATAATCCCGATCCCGAAAACTCCAAGATACAAATTTTGAATAGATTCGGATCATAATAACAAAACTCGACCGCCATATTGAATCCGCTATCTTGAATTTACACCAAATTTGATGAAAATATGATTATATCCGACCTCGAAAATCCCCAGATCAGATACCCATTTTGAATAGAATCAGATCATAATTACAAAAATCTTCCGCCATATTGGATCAACCATATTGGATCCGCCATCTTGAATTTTTAAATTTTGACGAAAGAATCATAATCTCTCATTTTTTGTTCACACTCAGCAGTATAAGAACCCCTCAAAATTCCACCTTCTAATGCATTCATATAACAGTTCTCAACTTTCAAAGGCAACATTAATTATGGACGAAAAAGTGATCATTTTAGGCAAAAATGTCAATATATTATTAAGTACCGTGAAAACTAATACAGCTGGCTTCTGTACTTTGGTATACATATAATTACTATTATATACTCACATTGAAATTTTTCTACTTCTTCCAAAGATTTGGGTTTCTTTTCAGCCATATCTAAAATAGCTTTATTAGACGCAATCATGTAAGGCAAACAATTCTCTTTCTGAGCTAATTCCAATCTTTTGTTCAGCAATGCCTTGTACAACTTCAGGACTTCCTTCTTTCCTTCATCATTTTCTGATGGAGGAACCAATACCTTTGCAGTACCAGGAGAACCAAGGGTACTAGCACTAGAACTAGCAGAACTAGTTTGGCATTTATTGCTGATCCAAATATTCCTAGAACCAGCGGTACTAGCACTAGAACTAGCAGATCTAGTTTGGGATTTACTGCTGATCCAAACATCTCTAGAAAGTTACAATGAATAAAACATGATGAAGTTGAAAAATTAGCTGATAATGTAGTAATACTATTATCTATTATAGAATCATTTCAATACGTCAGCTTTCTTAGGGTTTGAAATATTTGCACTTATTTCAATGCTACCCAGATAAATAGATAGATAAATGGATAGGTGAATATATGAAAATATGGGAAGATGAATAGATGAATGTTGCATGTTTATGATTGTTAATATCATATTTTGAACGATAAGGCGACTAAGTATGTATGTAATTAGGTATGTATGTATGTATTCTATATCGAATGATAGATATTTACCCTTTAATTTTCAAGAATGGAGTAATCAAGGGTGAAGGGGTATCTTTCATACAACTTGATGGATTTGTTAAGAACTTCTCACCCTTCCGAGTTACTTCTACAGTAGTAGACATGAAACTACTAGGTTGAGGTATAACTTTCGTAGTTATGAATTCATGTTTAGTCAACAGTTTACCTAAAAAATATCATTGAAGATCATGGTTCAATCAGATACAGGAAGGTGCCTGCATGGCAGAAGGCTAGATAAAATGCTGTAATAGTTCAAAAAAATATTTTTCAGCATTTTTTAGGGAAACTTATTTGGTAGAGGATTAATTTTTTTCTTTTGTTCAGATATTTTATTGTATTTTTTTAAGAAAGAGCATACCTGACCAATAACCTAACCTGACCGTCGTTAGATTGGAGTGATAAAGGAAATGGGCAATGAAAGGCGAATATTAAACATTTGCTTGTTTTTGTTAATGAAAAGTGTGTTTAGAATATTGAAGATCAAATATCTCACTATGACGTTACACAACAATTTATATTGATAAACATTTATAGAAATCGCGATCCATTAAGTATTATCTATTCATCTGCCAAGCCCAAAATTCCTATAACTTCGAGAGGACCATTACCGACCCCAAAAAACAATAATTCCTTCAAGATGAAGACAGAAAAATCCAGACATTTGATCAATATTCAGAAAAATAAAAAGTGATTTTCTAATGTTTTTTTTTTATTAAACTGAAACCAGACAAACCTTGCCATGCTTAGTAAACACTTGAAATGGGAGTTGAAGAAACTTCAAAATGGAACCCTCATTTTCGTCAAAATTACGATGTTTTCTTTGACTGAAAACGGGTGCAAGCCACTTTATTTCTACATTTTTACAATGTTTTCATCAAGTGCGATGTTTAAACTGTATATTTTTCCTTTTATACATTGTTTACAAGATACGTCAACATTATTTTATTCGAAATTGAAAACCCCGGAGCTCTGGATTTGAACAAAATCTTTAACTTTCTCGAAAGTATCATCTTGAGGCTTATATCCTCGTTGCCCCAAGGTCTTCAATTGTTCAAAATTGAAGGACAGTTTCCGGTGTACCATTTGTGGTTTTTCGACCATTTCATATCGATGCAACACGTTATACTAAAATACTAATGAAATACACTCCAAGAAAAAAATATAAATATATATGTATCATCAGATTTATAGTGTATTCAGATATGCAAACTACCTACCTATTTCTTTCCACCATATCTCGCTTTTATCTTTTCCAGATCCGAAATACGGATTTTGAAAGTGATTGGAAAGTTTCTTTCTCTTGGAACCTCTCAACATATTTATGAATGTACTCATGCCATATCTGTGATCAATAGATTTCATCAGTTTTAGTAACAACTTTGCATCATCAGTGAAATCATAATTCCCATTTTCATCAACGCCTTCATAAATCTTATGATCGTTTTGCTCTCTCGATCTGAAATTAAATATATTAAGATATTGAATGTTAACATCATGAAATGTTGAAAGAAGTTCAAGACTGAATCATTACCCTTTATTTGAACAGTTATCGCAACAATATGACTGATTTTCGACTGGAACCTCTTTTCCCTCAAAGTGAGAAATAATAAATTTCCTCCTACATTCTTTCGAGATCAGGTAAGCCTCAACAAGTTTCAACATTTGTTCTCTTCTAATTCGATTAGCCTCTGATATTTGTGATTTCCCTGCCAACATCCTAAAACATGATAATATATACCAGTTATTATAATCGGATTTCGACAAAAAATCAGTGTGATAAACAGTACAAATAGATGTCTGTCCAAAATTCCCCAAAGGACCCCGCACAGATCTTATGGGAAATAGGTTTCGGTAAAATTGGTCGAAATTTGGGTAATGTGTATAGGTGATGTTATTCTGATCAAAATTTCCCATGGGCCCAAACTTCTCCTATGTACAGTTTTTTTTATACAGAGCGTGGAATTGTGACTTTCGTGAAATGTCCAATTCTCTTAATTTTCTAGTAAAACAAGTGATTGTATTTGGATTCAGTTTGACATAATGAAGAATGGCTGTGGTGCCATTTCAGTATTTTTTTAATCACACCTAATGCATAATTTCGACGCGTTCATGTCAAAACGGCAAAAATGCCATCGAGTCAACTTTACAGGAGGGAGAAAAAACTGATTAACTTCTTCCGTAATTGCCACAAAAATCTGATTAATGTCTCAAATGAAAGATTGATTTTTTTCATTATTTTTGTTGAATGTCTGGTGAAGACTATGATTCTCCCCTTCATACAATAAATTGAACATTTAAAAATGGCGCTTGTGTCACCCCATACAAGTAGAATATGTTTGTGCCAAAAGTGACACTGGCGTTTGTGTCATTGAACAATCAAGGATTTTGATGAATTTTCTCAACTTATTGAACAACTTTCAGGGAAAACTTCATTTCTCCATATGTCCCAATGTTAAATGAACAGCATGAGAACATTTATTCGATGGATTTGGCAAAGTTATTTTTTTGTGAAAAAATGTTTTTCTGCTTTTTGATTAAATTTATCGAAATATTTTGTTCAATTTGTTCCGGAGATCAAATTTCTCATTTTGTGGGAAGTGTTAGAAAGATAATTTCATAAAGCGATCTATCTGTAAGAGGAAACTCAAATAAAATACTAGCTATTTTCTTGCTGTTTAGGAAGACTACCTACTCATACAATAATACTCATAATATGGCAAATAGCTTGCAGAGAATCAATGTTAATTCTTTTGCCTCTTTATTGTTGTTGAGAACAATGAGTGGAATTTCATTAGCGCTGTTAGCGTCGTTTTCGATTGATAGGCAATTTAAAAAGAATTCGCTGTTGATAACTCACACACCTTTTTTATTTAGTTTCAAAATCTACCTACCATTGATGAAAAAAAATTACTTTCAATTTGAAAATTTGCGCAAGGTATGTCATTCGAGACCTTACGTTTTTTTAGCGCGATCTAATGGACAATTTAAACATGTTAGGCTTCATTGAAATGGAGCTAGGGGGAATTTTTTCGTTCATCCAAAAATTTTCACGCACCCGAATTATATTCATTCGAAATATATCATTTGAAATTTGACTCAAGTTCTTGGCATGATAGTTAATCTGTGACGATGGTGGTTTATTTACTGTTATTTTGTTCATGATCATTATTGGGCACTTTTTGAGATATATGACTGATCGTCAACAAAAAATCATGTTCACAGGTCATAATATAAGGTTATAATAATGATAGATATTCACTATTCAGTGACAACAAGGCTATCCAACTTCAATGAGAGATAAAACTTTCGCACGGAAATATTCCCGCCCCAGTCATTTTGAATATATTTGGACAATAAGATCATTTTATGATCATATCTGATATCGCTCCTTCAAACAGGGTTTCAATAAATTATTTCTATTTGCTACTTTCTGCTATATGACAGTGATGATTGTTAAATTAAGCATATCAGGAAAATATCTATTTACAAAATCCATGAAAGCAATTTTTTTTATAAAATGCTCAACTAGTTCAAAATACAAACCTGAGAGTAGAGAAATCTGTGTCAGCATAAAACAGTATACATTTGGCTGGTAAACCATCTCGTCCTGCTCGGCCAACCTCTTGATAATAACTTTCGATGCTCTGTGAAATTCCATAATGAATCACATTCCTTACATCTGGTTTATCAATGCCCATACCAAAGGCTACTGTTGCTATCACAACGTCCAAATTATCTTCCACAAATCCTTCGTGTACTTTTTTTCTAACACTAAGTGGTAGACCCGCATGGTATGCTTGACACTTAATACCCATGGCTGAAAATCACAACAGTTATCAGCATTCAACATTATGAGCTGTAAGTGTTGTTCCTACATGTCAGTACCATCGCTAATTCTTCCGTTTTCTTTTTCGTGATGCAATATATAATAGTGGAACCAGAAAATCTATAACCATCCTCAGTTCGTTTCATAACCTTTTTCAGATCATTGCATACAGATAATCCTTTTCTGTTCACTTCAAAGTAGAAATTTTCTCTGTCAAAACTCGAACATAAAACTTGAGGATTTCTAAAAACAGATTCACATCAAATTATTTAACCATTTTTCGAAAATGGGATTAGTTGCCTTAATTTCAAGGAATCTACAATATCTTGCCGAACTTTCTCTGTTGCAGTGGCTGTAACTGCCAAAATAGGAACTTCAGGCATTAAATCTCGCAAAATTCCAAGTTGTCTGTATTTTTGCCGAAAATCATGCCCCCAGCTGCTCACGCAATGGGCTTCGTCTATTGCTATCAAAGTAATCGACAGTTTTTTATGACACTCGACCAAGATACCTTGAAAAACCATCGGATAATCACCTACTGAATATTTACTTATGGATAACCAAAGAACGAAACAAAAAACTACTGAATAATCTAGGAATCTACCATATAATACAGACTAATACAGGCTGATTTAATCATAAAACATTTAGAAATCCAATATCTCTAGAAAAATAATATACCTTTTGGTTAACTAAGTGCATCAATTTGTTCTGACTGAAGACCACCTTATATTCAATAGTCTGTTGATTATGTCTAATAAATAGTAGTTTAGCTAACAAGTGCGGAAACTTTACTTTACGCACGTGTTAGAAACACTATTTTTTCTACTAGCGTGCATAAAGATTCCAAAAGTTAACATAAAGAAACATTTATTATCAAATACATATCAACAAATTACAATTTACGTTTTAGTGCGGAAACAGTTTTTTCTGCACTAGTGAGGAGAAGTGACTCTTTCAACACTCGAATGAGTGGGGAAAAGTGGAGTAAAGAGAGCAAGTTTTCCAATTCTGGAGGATAAAACGCCGATTTTGGATTGTTGCAATTAAAGATCAAGCGAGATATGATAAGTTACAAATAAAGTTAGAACCATAATATTTTTTCGTTCTTCAGTAGTCTCCGGACATTCAAAATGGATAACAAGGCCATGCATCTGAAGTCAACATTAGCCATTTGGGCCCCTCCCACCATTACCTGCAGTTTAGCAACTCAACTGGCATTAAGCCTCTGGAAGCTGGATCAGCGGGGTTATCAGAAGAACGAACGAAATTCCAAAGTAATGGGCTTACTCTATCCCGTAAAAGAGACACGCGATTAGCTACCAACATTGTCCACTTATGAGGAGACAGTTGTATACAATATAATACTACCGTGGAATCAGCTCTGGCTCAAACTTTGTTTGTCTTGACTTTCGGTTGCATAGCTTCCTGAACGAATTCGAGTAGCCCAGCTAATAATAGGACAGCACAGTGCTCAAGTCTTGGTATTGAGATTCTAGACAAGGGAGCTACCATGGGAGCTTTCATGGACTTGGCACAAATCAAGGAGGTGTGAGTATTATTTTGAGCATCTATGACCTTGAGATATACTACAGCAGCGTATGCACGCTCCCTGGCTTCACAGAAGCCGTGAAGTTCGCAATAAGAGGAATTCTGTAGCAATATTGGCCGTGGTATTTGTAAAGTTTCTAGGGAAAATAACTCCGTAAACAATGGTTGCAAAATTTCAACAGTTCGAGCAGAGGGAGCTGAGTCTCAATCAGCAACAACAATATTCTTTGGAGATTGGAGATTCGCCTGAACAACTGCTTAATATCAGTAGAGAATACAACTGGTAATACACGAAATCTCACCAAGATTCCTAAGTGCTTTTGTAACTTTGGACCAGTTAAAAGAGTGTCGTTGAGAGTGAAATTCTTAGTACATCGACTAGAGGCGTCGAACACGACAAGAATCTTTGTTGTAAGTGGGAAATATAGTAGGAGCGTGCGTCTAGAGAATTTCTAGTAACGGGGGCCATATGGTTTGAGTAGAGGTAATCTTTCATAAATTCTTTGTATTGCTCATAGAGAGTGAAAAATGTTCCTCAACCCCATCAGTTGGTTCCTATATACCTATCAGTCCGGATTATCAACTAACGTCACGTCTCGTCATACAATGAAAAACAGGGCCTACTAGATATTTCATTATAACTCCAAATAAACTCAATAAAAGTTACGAATAATAATATCTACCTAGAATTTCGATAAAAAAATAGCCTGTATTTTTCAACTACTCTCTCCTGTCGACTTTAATCCTACGAAAATTTACAAAAACCAATCAACATGATCCCAGTTGGAAGTTAAGAGTTATCAGCCTGGTCAAAATTGAAAATTCATTGGAAATATTTTGTTCCATATTTTTTTATTGAACTGGTCAAAGTGTGCCGTGCATTGAAGAGCAGTTCTAATGGCGTTTTGTCTGATCTTTCTGAATCTGATGAAATTCTTCGAGAAAAGTGATCACAAAGTGGATTTTTTTGACATAACAATGAAACAAATTTTTCCCAAGTCCGGATCTGGATTTTTTTTTCATCTCAATAGAGAAACGTCGCTGCAAAATTTTAGCCGATTATGATGAATCATTTCTGAAATATCGGCCAAAGTTATATGGCCATTTCACATAATACCCTCATCTTCATTATGGAGGGTAAAACAAATTTTTCATATATTTCATACATTAACTCGTCCTGATTTCCCCTATTCACCATTTGGCTATGCTAGTCTCCTCATGAATCACCCTGTATAGCCTGAACCTGAAAAGTCACTTCGGCCACTTGAGTAAATACTAGTATGAGCTTCGAAATCGGGCTGATTCTGGGCAGAAACAATGGCTACAATACTTCGCTACTTCGGTGTATTTCTTCTAAATTATCCTACATTATTTCAATATGTCTGTACTGACAGTTTTAAATTATAATGCAAATTCTTTTTATCAAGAGACTCATTAGCAACTTTTGCTTGAGAGCTTCTAACTTGAGAATTTCAGTAGATCTCTGAGCCGTCACAAACTTGAGCTTCTTACTATCTGCCATAGTCACTAAACAAGGGCTGAACTATGGGGTTATATCCTTCAGTATGAACGCGAATACATTATTAATTCTACCAGTTTCAAACAGTTGGTACACTGAGAGATGACCCTGTATTTGCGAGAACTAGATGGTTATTTCGTTATTAGGACATACACCTGCTCAGAGCCGCTTAAATGATAAGTATAACTAGAGAGTTGAACACTCGAGATAATTAGCATTAGTAAACAAGAAATCTGCAAAGGATACCCACAGCCAACACTCTTATGAAAGTACAATATATCGCAACTGCCGCAGGAAAAATAAATTGAATATTGATATTTATTTAAATAATTTCAACAAGATCGTTGAGTACTCAGGTGAGTATCTGTATGTCATGACAGAGCGATGTGCAAAGGGTCGTGAATGTATTCGAAGACCGGTAGGTAGGAGAGCGAAGTGATCTTGACCGTCTCAGATATTGACCTATTTTAATTAATTCATCAAAATTCAAAATGAATCATTTTTGATGAGGTAAGTAAGATGACAATGATTTAGGTAAGATAACACTGATTTAAACGATAAAGAAATCCGGCTCGAAGGACCAATGTTTGGGCGAGAGAGAAGCTAAGCGGATTGTAGTATTATATGTATTATCTTGTAATATCGAGAAAAATAATCAATTTGCGGCAACGACAAGATTCACTCATCAATTGTTTCAATGGCCGGCGAAGGACAGCAGCACAGGTGATTTCGAAAACGGCCGTCTGATGATTGATGATAATGCACTGGCAACACTATGCACCTGAGTTCAAGGAATAGTACTGCAATGTCCAACACATTAGGACACTGCTGGTTTTAGGTTGATTCTTGGAAAAATTGATAGGAGATCAATCAAATAGCAGTGCTTGGTATCATATAGTACCGACAAACACATTCATAGGGAAAAGTCGTTGACTCCTGGTAAAGAGCACAGAACCTGTCCTTATATTTTAGCATGATAATCATTATTTATTATACAGGGAGGTGAGTTTCTCTCAAGCTATAGGAACATTGATCTCTATACTGTTGATATAAATTCTAAAGTATACCAATAAGTTCCATACCTTTGGCAAGGATAGAACATGCTGCATCTTCTGAGTAATTTGAGGTCAGATTTTGAAATTTGCTGGGCAACAAGTATACTAAACTGCTTTTTATTGACAAACAATATTTATTTTATCACTTCCAGTGGCATTTTGATCAGGTGTAATACAATCCTTTGAATCCAACCATGAGAAAATATAAAGGGTGTCCTATTTAAATATCAAAACTTGGAGTTGCTTCCAGTTGAACTGGAAGTGATGAAACAAATATTTTGTTTTCTAATAAATTTTAATATCTATTATCTGAATGAATAAGAAGTTACTGTAGTGGCAATTTTTTTGGGAAATTTACTGTATGTTTGTACTTTCAATGAAAAAATACAAAATTCACCACTATAAGCTCAAAAGCCATTGACTGATATATCATAGTACCTATCCGAAAATATTGAGGCTTGTGTGTGAAAATATTCAACTGATCTTTTAAAAAACAGGTTGAATTCAGTTGAGATTTTCACTTGCCATACCATTCAGAATCCTGTCAGAAGGGGAGAAATGGAACAGACTTACTGTATCTTCAGAGTTATTAGAACAGAATAATGTTCTATGAGATTACAACATGAAAAGCTTCTTTGTTCATATTTTAGTAAACAATTCACCAATGATGTATAGCACTATAACAAAAAATATTTTTACAAATGGACCTTACTTCTGCCATAATGTCCAGTACAGAACTCTGGGGTACAATAAACCAATAAATATTTGTTATTGAAAATCTCCTCAATGGTTTTGTTTTGCTCTTTGTTAGCAGTACCTAACAAACAAGCAGGAACATTTGCAATCTATAATCAACAAAAATTCAATTTATCAACCTCTGAATAAGTTACATAATTCACTTGCCTTCATTGACAATACTTGATCTTGCATTAGTGAAATTAGTGGAGATAATATTATAGTTATGCCACCAGTATAAACTGAAGGATACTGGAAACAAAGGGACTTTCCATATCCTGTCATCATTACAGCACAGCAGTCTCTCTTTTCCTTTATTATAGAGCTTATAATGTTCCATTGCAATGGCTTGAATTGCTTGTGGCCAAATACTTGGTTCAAGACCTTAATGTGGTCAGGAGATGGGCCATTGACTTCTTTTTGATTTGAAACCTTCAAGTGTTCAAGTGATGGAGATGGGCCATCAACTTCTTTTTCTTTTATGGTGGAGTCTTTCAACATGAAGGCTGCCTCAGCCTCCTCTACTTGCTATGAATCAAAAACAATGGAAATAAAAATGAAAAATATAAATAATACACTCACACTCAATACAGTTTCGTCCCACTCTTCTCCAAAGTGAGGGTCATCATCGAAATACGATTCATCCATATTTTGCTAAATGTCTCCAAATTATTAGATTATTACATATCAAGAAAAATAAGTCCAAGTGATTTTGATTTTGAATTGTGAACCTGTTGCTTCTTCTTCTTTTCTTTTTTTTTGTTTAGTATGCCACTTTGCGACTTTAGACCTCCCCTACATACATACTATTACATACTCGAGGCGCCCACTGAGTAGGGTTACAGTTTAGTGGAGGCGCCTCGACCATCCGGCATTTCTGGCAATAAACACCCCATCCGGACCAAGGCTTCCGGACTGCATGGAAAATAAAAGACGTAAAACAAACCATAAGAAAACTGTCTGCATGTGCATTGTACCTTTGTGCCACGATTCCGCAAAAAAACGAAAATAATGTCAAGATTGTCAAGTCAATCTGACAGAAGATGGTGGAAGGTGGAATCAAATCTAGGTACAATAATAAATAAATAAGATTCAAATTCTGTATAATTCTTTAGCAAATAATTATGTCAACACCTGAAATCACAAATATGTCAAATAAACTAAGTCCATTTGGAAGTGGGATAAACAAAAGGCTTCTAACTCCCTGCAGAAGAATAGGATTATCAAGAAAAAGAAAAACTCCTAGTAGTATAGTAAAAATATTATCAGAAGAATCTGGAAACACAGCTGAAAATTCTCCAACAACGCCAATAAACACCAAAAAGAGGTTAATTATAAAAAGAAGCAATACAAATTCTGATAGTTTCAGTCCATTATCTATACTGAAAATAGCAGGTCCTTCTGTGAAAGATTCTATAAAAAAAAACTTGGTCCAGAATTTTTCTAAAGATTTGATAATCGAAAAAAAAACTATCATAGAAGACATGGAACCTGGTATGTGTTCAATAAATATTGATGAAGTGATGCTTGCAGAGCCACAACTTCATTGTGAAATAGAAACCAAGCTTAATAAAAAGAGTATTGCTGGAAACATATCAAATAGTAACCCTTGTTTGGAAGAGAATGAATGTAGATCAGATAACAGTTTATCTGATGATGATTTTCAAACCAATGTTAAAACTGTTAAAAAATTGAAGACAAAAGAATCATTCAAAGACAAAAAACTCAGTGTGGCTAGAGGTGTGGCTAAAATGCATACAAAATCAAAAAGTGAGGATCTTGTTGAACATTTGAGGGAGTGTAAAATATTCATACCTAAGTTGAGTAATGAAGATATAAACTGCATGGGGAATCATAATTTGAGTGAAAATATTCCAGATGATTTATCTGATGATGAGATTGTGGGGAAAATTAAAAAAAAAAGAATGATTATATCATCTGATGAAGAAGGTGATTTTTGTGTAGTACCAAAAAAGTGTAAAATCTCACCTATTGAGGATGAAACTGGACAAAATAAAAAAAGCCAAAAAGTTAAATGTAATAGCCCAAAAGTTTCTAACACAGCTACTAATTTGCCAACAGTTATTAACATATCAGATGATGATGACTTCACTTCAACACCTGACCATGACAAATTTCAGAAGAGAGATTTAATGGACAAAGTGAAATATTTGGAAACTCAAATGAAAGAAAAGAGAAAAAAACTAGAAGATCTCAAACAAGCATCTGTTTATAAAACAAAGCACAATGTTGAAGAGCTCATGATGCTAGTAGGAAAATGGAAAGAAGGTTGTGTTTTGGGTCTAAATGGCTTATTAACTCAGTTAAAAAATCATGGGCCTATAGACATGCCATTGCTTTTAAAAAATCTACAAATCTCTAATGAAGTAGTTATAAAATTAGGTCTGAATGTGCCTGCTAACTAGTTTTTGTATTGAATAATCATTTCGATGAGAATCATGAGAAATTAAAACTATTTTGTTGTACACTTTTATGCTCTAATTCTTGTGAATTTTTAATAAACATGGCTCCGATTTGGGGAAACATTGCTGACATTGATATGATTATAAATAATAATCATGCTCATGAAATGTGATTATTATCCAACTATATCCAATGGTGATCCAATGCTTATGACTTCTGTCTGATATATTAGATCTAAATATTATAGATCTATGGTCTGAGCAAGCCATTGCTCAGTGGTCTGTGTATCCGACTGAGATTGAGATTATCCGACTACCACGGTGGTGACTCAGGTTCAACCCCTGTCCTGTGAGGCCTATTTTTTAATTTTTTTCACAAGTAATTTTTCGAAAAATATACAGGTAAAGGTAATCGCCGGCTGTTGTTTATTATGGGTATCGATGTAATATCTTACCCGACTTATATCTAACCACTGGGCCCTGCGGCGGTTGTTTGGCTGTTCGCTGTTGTGTCAGTTAGAGTCCCTGTATGTATAATTCCCTGTATATATTTGTCAGTTTTGTTGTAATAAGAGTACGGACACTATGACAAGTAGTGACGGAAGGCATAACCCCAAATTCTCAAAATGACTTTTGAACAAAGACATGGATATGCTTTTCCATGCACTTCGGATCTTCTATCCTCTACTGCCGCGGTGAAGGGTACATCCATATATCTTTCTCAGTCTTTATTTTCATAAAGAAGTGGCGTCTCATCTCACTGGCAAAAAAGGGTCATAGTTTGTAAATCAATTTGTTGAAAGTATTTCTCGATATACTTAACAAAGGGTATATGTACTTGTTGGTTAGAATGGGGGAAATGGAATAAATGAAAGGACTCGCTTCCATTTTTGCAATTCTCCACTACACAATTAGACATTTTAATTCTTGAAAACCTGAATTTTCAAATAATTTAATGTCATGTACGTTCATGAACTGTCAGTGCCCGCCAAATTGTTCATGTCATTTCAAATTTTTTAGGGTTATGCCTTCTGTCACTGCTTGTCATAGTGTCCGTACTCTTATTACAGCAAAAGTGTCAAATACATACAGGGACTCTAGTGTCAGTTAGTCACCCCTCTTTGGTCTCTTTGGTTACGTTTTGTCATGAATCTATTACTATTTCCAGTTGGATCCAAAATTTGCTGTTTCGTGAGTAAAATATCTAGTTCCTTGCGGATGAATCGGATGATTATTTTCCTGCTCTATGAGACTATGCTCTATATTGATATTATATTATGTTCCGTGATTCGTGTTATATTCCTATCTGCTGCAAACATTTCTGGATCGTCTTAAGTTTTGGATGTCAGGCCAATGACGGCTAACCTGTCAGACAGTCTAGATATTTAGCCGTCAATGGTCAGGCTTTTCCAGTCTATTACGTTCTGATTCGAATCTGTTACCTTTTGGTAGTCCGCCACAGGAGGGTAGTCTGTCAGTCTGTCAACTTCCAACTTCGCTGTAGCAAGCTGTAGCTTGAAGTTTTCACTTGAAGTTAAGGTTAAGATACAACTGATACAAGATAAATAAAAAGATGCCAATTCCTGCAGATCCAGAAAGTTGTTCACAGTTCACAATATGAAATCCCAGTCGACAATAGTTCGTAATGTTCCACAACAAGACTTATCAAATGAACTGAAATTTTTTGTCAAGGGAGCAACTAAAAAAGAAAAATGCAATCCTCTAGATTTGACAAAGTCTGCATTGACCCTTCTGAAATCTCTTCCAGCTTCTCGGGTGGCTGTGCTAGAATATTTTCGCTTCATCTTTGATAATGCTGCTTTGAATTACATCAAAGCAATAGAGGTGATCAACTTAAATGTCTTGAAGTTAAACTGAGTAAAGGTAGTATACTAGAAATTCTCCATTTTCAGACTGAAATCAAAACAGGCAGTTTTTTAACAGTTCCTGAAACAGATGAAGTGATAGTTTCTGAAATTCACACATTATTAAGTGTGCTCATTTCAGGTAATTCAGTAGCATGGGCCCCTATGATCAGTACTTGGTCACTGGAGCTATTAGGTGAAATTTCCAGTAAATATTCAGGTCGAGCACACTTTTCAGCAAGTATGTTGTTGTATAAGGAGTTGTATGCTGTTATAATGATTAATTCAATTTTTCAGATCTTAATGAGACTCTACAGCTATGGATGGCATGTAGAGCCACAAGAACTCTAGTGGATATCAACACCAAGTGTTTATCAAGTCTAATATACTCAGATACTGAGGCATCTATAAGTGCTCTTCTAGACACCTCCATAAAACATTCACCTCATTTTGACTGGGTAGTAGCTCATGTAGGAAGTTGTTTCCCAAATACAGTGATAACAAGGGTTCTTTCATGTGGTCTTAAGGACTTTTGTCAAAATAAATCATATGAGCAGGGGTGTGACTCACCAAAACTCAAATCAGTTGTTGGAATATTGGGGCATTTGGCTGGCAGTCATGTTGAAGATATAAGAGAAGCCATTTTGGCCATTTTCAATGTAAGAATTAATAAAATAATTTGATTTCCTTATAATTGATGAAAAAATTGTTGATTTAGTGGAGCCTGAGAGAAACTTTTGAAGACACAGACTTGCATAGGTTACAGAAAAAAGCAACAGTTCCTTATATTCTTCAACTCTTTTACCTCTCATCTACATTACTATCAGCAGTTTGCATGAGCATCAAAGATACTTGTAAGTATACATCCAATTTCATATTTTGTTCCTAATTCATTTGTATCTTTCATCAGTAACTATAGAGGTTATTGGCAGATTATATCATTATGTTGAAGATTGGTGCAGATATTTTGGAACACCAGAAGCTTTGGAGGTTAGACATATATGCACTTATAAAATGTTATAATGGATTGAACATTTCTAATTCATGCACATTTTAGGAATTATTAATGACTTTGATACTTCGTTGTGAACAAAGTGGTGCACAAATAATAAAACTGCTCCTGAACTGTATCCATTTAACAAAAATCAGAGGAAATGATCAGATGAAACTTAATATTGTGGAGAAGTCTAAAGATATCCTATGTGAGTTAGCCAAATAGAAATAAAAGTATAGTTGATTTCCATGAACATCAAAATATTTTAGTTAATGTGTTACAAGAAATGGAAAAATCAGTTAGACATGCCAATCCAGTGGGTATTGTGATTTCTATATCAAAAGATTTGAAGGAATTGGAAAACATGTTTTTAAGCTCTGAAAAACTTGTTTTTGAAACTGCTGGACACCTTGTTATACTCTTGGGTATGCCTTATTTTTTACTGTTCAAGTTTTCTTCATTCTATAAACATATTCTATTGTTTAAGGTCACATGAATTCTTCAGCTATGGTTACCTCAGCACAGTTTTTGTTACAAAATGCCACAAATGCAGATCAACTAGTATTATTCCTGAAATGTTTGACTAGTGATCTTATTGATAAAACTACTCCACCATATTCAGAAAAAGGGGGTCATTTTTCTGTAGTCCTGGAACAAATACTAAGTCGCAATATACAGAAATTTTTTGGATCCAATGAGGAAAATTTGGATTTATCCCAAATGTGGACCAACCTGTTGACTTTACTACAGTGAGTTGAAAATCAGTTCTACCAACCTTGCTATCACCTATCAAATCTTCCCCATTACAATCTGAAACATCTCTCATTTGATTATTTTTTATTTCTATTTCATCAATAGTATGGAGATTTGTACAATGAAAACAGTTTCTAATTTCATATTTCCTGATGTATCCTTTTTCTTACAACATTACAGTAATTTCATAATCCTAACAGAAAACCTGAAAGTATGCATCAGTAATATGTTATTATTTTTGGATGTATGATAAATTGCTATTCATCATATTATTCTATTCCATTTGAGAGATGTCAATTCTCATATTTCAGAGGATTTTGATTTTTCATACTCTCTTTTTAGATATTCAACAGATATAATTCAAATAGCCAGGAAAGTAGTTGTTTTCTGTTGAATATTCAGAATGATATTATATGCATATCTTTATATGAAGGAGAATGCAAATTCTCTGCTTCAGAAGATTTTGTTTTCAAATTCTTATCATGTGTGTTCAATAGATGTAATTCAATATTGGTCGTGGCATATAGCCAGGAAAGTAGTTGTTTTCTGTTGAATGAACCGAGAAAGATTTAATATTTTCATCACATGGAGGATGCTAATTCTCAATGTATTTCTTAATATATATATATCCATTTTTTTGTGTTCATAAATATATCTGAGAATATTCCTTTTCAATGTTATTATTAAAGATATGAAGTTGACACCAAGCTGTCAGTATTCTTAACTAGAAAAATGTTCCTTTCAAGCTTCTTCATCTAAAACTAGAAGTTCTAAAAAAATATATAATAATATGATCTGAGAATAATATTATAGGTGTTAGGATTGCTGAGGATCTCCTCAAGAACATTCCTTTCTAGAATGGAAGGGCAATCATTGTGATATTTTTCTCCTATCAAGTACATGTGTCTTCATGTCTTCAATATAACGTAAACCTGGTTTTCATATATTATAATAATATTTTGAATATTTGTTTTCACTTTTGGTGCTTTATGGCTATGAGTATTAATTCCCCTAAATGAGAAATATTACTAATGATGTTAATGTTCACCAATTTCATACCTAGACTGAAGATGGACTGTCTAGTCCAAAACATGACTCTGGATGATTGGTTGCATCCTTGAATTGTGTGGAATAGTGTGAATGACTTTTGATCATTTTTCTTTTATACTTGAACACTGAAGTATCTTGAATTTCTCTTTTTTGTGCTTAACTCATTGCAAGTTCAATGATCACGGCGACTCCGGCCAATTGATAACTGTGAGCTCAGACTGCCAGCAATTGTTTTACTTACAGTTACCTATATCAAAATGCATCATAACACACCATATTGTATTTCCACCATGCTTGAAGTTTCAATGGATCTCCTAGTACAGGGATGGGGAAACTTTCCTCACTATGCCAATATTTACTACTGAAATAAAAATATTGATATGAAGTAACAGGGTTGAGGAGCACTAGTCTATGTGTGGAACTGTTTTTTTTTCTGCATGATTAAATTTCATCATTGTTGGAATCCACAAAATAACGTAGTTATAATATGATGTTTTTGTTTGGGTTACTATGTAATAGAATAATATGTCAGAGTGGAAGCGTGCTGGGCCCATAACCTGTTAAATTATATCTAACCACGGAGTCTTTCTGATCGGTTCTTAATTATTTGAGAAAATATATAAAAATACTTTTATATAAAGCTGACGTATATTTCTTTCAACTCAACACTCTGACATATTATTCTATAACATAGTAACCCAAACCAAAACAACATATTATAACTACGTTATTTTGTGTTTCGTCGACGTTGACATTAAAAGGCATTGAAAAAATATTTAGTGACGGCTCAATCCCCTTGGAATCTTAAAATCTATTCTCGAATTCCTCCTGCATTTCCTCCAGTTGCTGTTGAGCAAACCTATCTAATTTGTCGTCTGAGACAGGTGAAAATAAATAAATAATCCAATCTCCAAAGCAATTGAAGAATATAACAACTTACCAGCAGAAATTAAAAATAGAGAGAGTTATTCATTATTTGAAAATGACCTCAATGAATACTTCTGTTTGTGAAACCGCCCAATGTGTACCTACTATGTTCTGTTAACAGCTTGCTAGCTGATTTGGAACTGATCCCAACTTGAATATATTGAAAAAAACTACATTGTCTATTGTTGTGTAACTGTTATTTATTTATATTTTTTGTCATATTATATAAATACTGTTTTTAATGATATATTACATAGTTATATATTTTTATATTATATTGAATCATATTGTATATCACTTGATTACTATTGTATATTACATGAAATTTGGTAAATTATGGACTTTCAGCTGTCTACTTTTTCTTTTGAATTCAAAAATAGGAGAGGTTGAATTGAATTGAAACTATTTTTTATTTCACCAGTGAATAATTGATTTGTATGAGTTCCAGTATCCTTCTTATTTAAAGTTAGATCTTTTACTTATGCTATTTAATTCCTCTGAGAATAGTTCTGTTATCTCAGAAGAGTGTCAACCTTGCTCACTCTCTAACTCATCATTCTCATGGATATAGAGCGACGTTAAATATTAAAAGTCTGTTAGACCTTGTATGCAACCAGTTTCCAATGTGTAATCGATCATTTTCGTTGCTTTTCCAGGTGGGAAAAAAGTGGAAGAGTACCTTGCCTCAATTCGAAAATCATTACAAGGGCTTTGGAAGCCAATTTGACCAATTTAACATCACTGTTTTCTAGTGAAGTGTTGCATATGCATGTTATCGCAGATATTTTAGATACGATGGAAATTCCTAAACCAACTGAATCTTACAGTCCTCCTATTCAAGTTATTTTGAATTTGACTCAATCAACTGTTAATTATTTCTTTGCCTGCTGTCATGATGATGGTAAATATTTTTAGGAGAGTTGAGAATTTTATTGATTTTAATTGATATGAAATTTAGGTACATCAAAGAAATTGAAAGGATTCCAGAAAGTTTGCCAGATTCTCAAGAGGCTCTGTACATATTCCAAGGTGGCAAAAGTGCTGGCATTGAGAGAATTATTAGAAAGTGCCTTATTCAGAAGTGATAATGTGCTCTTTGGGGCCAACAACATTGAACATGATTATGAAATGGATAAGGGCCTTTTAAAACAAAACAAAAAGATCGTAAGTATATTCTGAAGGGAAAGAATATTGATTGAATAGAAACCAACTCCCATTTCAGAATAAAACAATACCCCTGACAAAACATTCATCAGTATTCAATGGTGGAATCATAGGCACAGGCAAAAGAAAGTCCGTTTGCTTTGATGAGCTTCCTTCTCATGTTGTAGCAAACAACATTTATCAACTGATTAATGCTATAAAGGCATGTTGTGCTTTGCTGGAAGAAAATAAATATACTGATATGTCATGGGATAGTATGACATTATTATCGTTGCTTCTCGTTCAATTTGTCAGCCCTGATGTGATGTATAATGGGTTGCCTTGGCCAGAGGAAGATTTTTCAAAGGTAAACAAATATTGTCATATGCAATACTATATTGCCAAAAATATTAGGCGATTGCTTGGACAGCTTGTTGCCTAATAATTTCGCGAATGACATTGTTCATTAAAACTTTCGAGCCGCAGGCGAGAAGTTTTGGATCAGTGTCATGAGCAAAATTAAAGCAGCAAGCTGGAGTATGTCAATAGACGGATATTTCCAGGAAATATAGTATCATAATTTGTATTTCTATGATACAAATACAACTCATGATACTATTTTTCCTGGAAATTCATATGCATATTCCATGATTGAGACAATAAACGAGCGCATCTCGAGAGTTGCGCAAACTGCATCCATCATTCTGGCTTCCAACATGATTGACGTTGTAATGTCAGATTGAAAGAATATCACTATCTATAGTTGAGATCAATTTACCGAATCTCACTTTGGGATTGAAAGATTAGACATTTTGTGTCATTTGTTGGCGGCATTGACTTTTAACAATTTTAAAAAACAAAGGGTTCAAGAAGTTGACCCTGGAAAAAAAAGGGCTACAAAGTTTCCAAATGTCAAATGTGTATAAAATCAGCGCCACTATTGAAACCATTTTAATTCTATAAGATCACAAACTGTTGGATTGTTAATTATTGAAAATTAGCGCAAGAACAACTTCTTGGACCATTTGTTTTACATATTAATTATAATTGACATTGACAAAGGACAAAATTCATTCAATATATTATGATCCAATAATTCAATTTAAACACATGAACATTACCCATTCTCACTCTTTTGCGATTATAAACATATTGTAGTAGATATTGTTTTCGCTTCAATTTTAGTTTTGAACAGCATCCCACAAATTTTGAGGATTACACAATCATCAATAATTGTTTTCCATAATATTTTGATCTCCCTCTGAGAACAAAATAGACTGAATAACTCCCTTCACTACACATTTTCATATAGGAAAGTCATAACAGAATAGGTAATTTAGTGAAGGAATCTAATATGAGAAATGAAAAATATTTGTGGTCCAATGTTTCATATTCCATTTATTTGTGTGTTCATTTTATTGGTAATTCACATTGACACTCATCATTACTTTTGAATTATTCATTCAGGTCCATTTTATAAGTGCATTTGATATCTATATAAATCAGATTTCAAATAATGTGTCAGCGTTTTTTACAATCATTCCCCGTGAATGTCAAATTTTTGACGTTTCAGGAACTATCTGTCTTTAGGTAACTCTTTATAAGAGGCATGTTCACCAACACGCATCTATTCTAGCTGATTTTTAACTTCTTAGCTTCCTGGCAGTTTATTCGCGAGATTCACGAAGTGGGCGACATCTAGGTTACATAATACGAACTTATAACTGGGGGAAAACAAACTGTTGTTTAAGGATAAAGTGCATAGTCTGCATTGCATTCAGCTTTCTGTAGCTGTAGTCAAACTTGTCAATGACATAAAGTGTTGGCACTGTTGGTAATGATGATGGTTGAGTTGGTTAATTTTTTTACATTAAATTTTTATTAGTTTAGTGAACAGTGAACGGGTGAAGAATTGGAGACAGTTCAAACAATTCAAACTAATTATGACGAGCAAATCAATTGACATATAAAAGAACAGCTACCACATGTTTACAATACCCAGATTGTCCTGCTTCGCATGAACAAATACAAATCTATTGTTCTACAGGAGTTCCTCTGGACCCCAACTTCAATTTTACTTCATGTGGGGAAGATTTCATCGCCGAAGTTTGTAGACAAAGTGCAAAAATGTGTCTTTTGTTGAAGTCTTCTGCCTCACACAAAATCACATGATTAGCACGGAGAACTGCTTCTCCTTCCACTACTGGTCGGCTTTTTCCGTCTAAATAGAGCAAAATATCTGCAAAAAGAACATCTACAACAGGCAATATTATCGTTTTCGATCGAATATTGACAATTAATGTCAAGAAATTTGAAAACTTATCACTCTTATCAGTACACAGTATACAAGCTTATGGCACTAATGGGATTGAGTGAGGATCAAGTTTGTTTTCCCCCAGTTTTGACGTGGCTTTGACATGGAACGATGAAATCCGAGCGCCACCTGGTAACATTGATTCCCGCGAATAGGCCAGCAATATGTTCCGTGCTGATTCGAGCAATTTCAAAAATTCTTAGTGAATGTCAACTTTTTGAAGTTTGACGAACAGTCTGTCTTTAGGTAACTATGGAAAGAGACCTCTTTATAAGACGCATGTTCACCAACACGCCTCTATTGTGGGAACTTCTTAGCTTCGTGGCTGTTTATAGACCAGCCATATGTTACTGTTCAGTGCTGATACGAGCGCTCACAGCCACATTGATGCACCAATGGAAGAGCATGGGTGAACAGAGCAAAAGCGGATTGTCGGAGAACTACAAAAATCTCATGGACACCACAATAAGGGTGATAGATGTTATGGCATTGGGTCAGCTTTTACCGCCACCTCTGTCTAGTATTCGTGATGTATTACCGTACTTGAAATGTCATGAGGTGAGTCAGATAGGGAATTTTGTATCTTGAAAACGAAGCATTTCTGGACTTATGTTTTTATGAACTTTTCGTCTTAAAATCACCCTAATAATAGCCCCTTGAAGTTTGGCCAGATACTTAAATAACACCTCGAATAACACCCTCTATAACGGTTTGTCTCTAAGGCTAGAAATTTGTATGCTGATGAATCAATGGATGTCAAGTAAGGAAACCAATACCTAACGCCTTACCCTTTCACGTCACTATCCCCCATATTTTTTAAAGTGTCAAGATTTTTGAAAAATAAATTTGGCGCTGTAAACTTTGATGTATCATGATGTTATTTTGATATTGTGGAATGACCAAGAATAAGCTGCCCCTTCAAGGACTGTATCAAAATAATTCCATTGGTGGCAACTGAATATCCATATGCGATGTTCGAATATTTTGAAGAACAAGAATAAACTACCCCTCTTGAGGGATAGATCGAGATTATTCATTAAAAGTCAACTGAATAGCTATATGAGATCTTCAAATATGTAATTTGACCAAGAAATGTTGGGCGTGTTTTTCATCCCATCAAAGAAGATGCGCACTGATAGATGCGCTTTTTTGTTATGACGTCACCAATTGTTCTGATGGAATTTATGTAGGAACGATGGAACCATGGAATATACAACACATTGATGGAAAAACGGATTTCGTTGCGTGTCAGTCGGTCATGTATCTTCATAATCAGAAGTGGCTGATATGATTTTATATGGATTTTATTGATTAGCAATAACACCATCTTCTGAAATGTCTCAAGAATATCAAAAATCCTCTATTTTGTTTGTTTTCTATCAAATCCAAACAAAGAACAATACTTAAAATGTGTCAATTGTCATGTAAGTTTCCTCCAAACCACTGGAATCTTGCAAAGCAATTTGCCAGCAGAATTTTGCAACACTTTGATGGTTTCTTCGATTCATGCGAAAAACGCACCCGCTCGGTCAGCAAGTATTTTTGATAAACAGCTAGAGTAAACTACCCTTCTGAGGGAGTCAATTGAAATTATTTTACCAGTAGCAAGAATGTATCCATTCAAATAATTTTATTATTAGATAAGAATAATCGAAATGTCCGGTCAGCAAACTTTAATTTTTGCCAGCAATAGTTATTTGTTTAACTAGGCAGCAAAGTAGTAGATTGACTGCCGTGGCTGAATTCATAGCCGAGCGTAGCGAGGCTAGGAATCCAGCTAAGGCAGTCAATCTACTTCGCTGCCGAGTTGAACATATAATTTTTTTTTCGATTGTTCATAATGATATGGGAGAATATTGTATTTGTGAATTAATACAATTCCCACAATCTCTTTATTCTTCCTGTATAGTGTTCAATTGAAATAAAATTTGATAGAAATCGCAGTTGTTGGTTTGACAATTCATGAAATTTCTGACAGTTGTGCGAAAAAATATCGGTATATTTGAATTATTATATAATGGACAGTGATAGCGACCTGGAAGTATACTTACACCTCCATTAATAAGGGAGGTGGCAAAAAATATACAGTTGAATTTGTTGCCGGAAAAGTCTCGGATGGAATATGAAGGAAATTATAAACGATTTATGGATTTTTAATTTTGCTGATACATATCAATCAGCAAAGTAACCACTTTGCTGCCTAGGCAGGAAAAGTAATACTTTGCTGATCGATATGTGTCAGCAAAATTAATATTTGCTGCCAATCGGAGGAAAATAATATTTCCCCTACTTTTGAACTCGCCTGGTACCTACTTCTGCTCATCAAAATCGCCTGTCATTTTTTTTTTATTCTAGAATATTGAAATAACATCATGATGAAATTTCAAGTAAACAGCGCCGAGTATAGTTTTCTAATAATTTTTACACTTTAAAAAATCTAGGGGATGGTTACGTGCGAGGGTCAGGCCTGTCAGGTCATGGTTTTCTTACTTAACACCCTTTGAGTCATAACTATACAATTTTTTAGCCTTTTACAGAAAAACCGGTATATAAAAGGTTCACGAGCATTTGGACTATCGCACTGAATAGTGAATAATCATCGATTTTCCTGGACTACCAATAGCTGGCCAGCGCGTTAATGTACTTGTGACGTCATTACCGCTGACGATGTTCCTGTGTGTTCTAACGGGAGCATTTCTTTGGGAATTTATTTTGGAAAGTCTAGATGGAATTGAAATTTTGAAAACATTCTCGGAGAGCCTTTTCTCATCATAATGAACGTCATAGTATTTTTTCTAGAAATTAGTAATCTTGCCTATTGTAGAATCACACACTATATGACCACAGGATAAGGTAATAAATGATTATTATTGTTCCCTTCAGATTGTTGCTGTACTGAGAGAATGTGTGTGGTGTTACATGAGGGATCATATTCCATCCCCAGCACTATTTGGTTGTGATTCGAACTTGGTGTATTGGCGAGATCCAATTATTGCAAGGCCACCTGAGATGTACACCAATACCTTGAGGATAATAATGCAGAGGAACATCAAGTCCTTGGGCCATATGTATGCACAAATGTTTATCAATATACCAACTCATGATACTTGAATACAGTTTTTTTACTGAACATTGATTAAGGAACACTCCATTTCCTTGAGGGTTTATCAGGTGTGTTAAGTGTGTGAAAATGACAGACCAATAAAAAAGACGAAGGGAAGTGGCTTAGTGACCTTACCTTTGTACACTCTGTAGAAGAATTAACGACACCTTTGGGGACTTCTGTGGAATTAACAATGTGAGTATAATTATTGATGAATAATATCATGCATGGGGGCTAATATTCCCAAGATCATCAGTTATCGCCAGTAGAGCGTGATGTATCTGATGGAAGTCAAAATTCTCCAAAGGACCCCGCAAATTTTCAAGGTAATTTGGGTCCCGGTGGATTTTTCTCAATTTTTGGTATGATGTAGTTCATTCGATTCAAGTACATATTGGCATTGCGCCAACCCCCAAAAATGAACAGTTTTTTTGCTAGGGGGGGTTGAATTCACATTTTGACCGAATTGATTATTTATCTCTGAGAGAATGAACAATAATCTAGAATTTTTTATTTCACCTAATTTCTCCTATGAATATATGCTTTTTGAAAAAAATATAGTGTGGGGAAATTATTACCCCAAACTCCCATTTTGAAAAACGAAAAAAAAAGAGAATTCGCCTAACCGTTAAAAGTGATAGAAAATGTTCCATTACCCAGAATTATGGAAACCGCCTTTTTGTATTATTGCCCCTCACCGAATGGGAGGCGCCCATGAAAAAAAAGTTCGGTGGATTTCGCTGAATTTTTGATATGATGTACTCTATATGATACTGATCAGAAAATAACTGGGTGACAATCCTGAAAAATGGACAGTTTTCTTGCTACAGGGGGTTCAATTCACATTTTGAACACATAAATAGACTAGATGAGTACCTATTTGATTCCAAACTTCTTTTCAATATATCATCTCCATTCCCTATATTCCCTAACAATTATTCATCAAAAAATATTTTGAGGGGGGGTTCCTACCCCTTCAAAAAGTATTTTGAGAAATATAAAACAAAAATACAGTGCTACCGTGAAGAGCATAGGAAAGTGATTAATTACGTGAAATTATGGAAAAAGCTCTCATGCATGATTGCCTCCTCTCCACCAAGTGAGGGGGTGCGCATGAAAAACATCTTTGGTGCATGGATTTACACTTTGGGTTCATGTGCACATGTGGCAAGTGTACTATGGTTTTTGGGCTTTGCACGCCATGAACGAAATGTGAGATACCCATGGATCACTTCATTAGATACAGTTATGGATGCCGCAAATAGGCCTGCACAAATTGATTTGAATCAAGCACCACCACGGATTCAAATAATTGATGTTTAGGACTTGTTAAGTCATTATGTATTCAGAGGCATATTGAACAATGGTGATAACATACATATAGTTTCGAAGTGTAAATATTCATACTACTCACTCTATATGCCGTCGTTACCCATTGTGAATTGATACTACACTTACTACAGTTCCGTCTATACCTCATAATATCAAATTCCATTTTTCTCAGTCGTATTCCATTATACCTATATTGAAAATCCAGTGTAAATCCATGCACCAAAGATGTTTTTCATGCGCACCCCCCCACTTGGTGGAGAGGAGGCAATCATGCAAGAGAGCTTTTTCCATAATTTCACGTAATTAATCACTTTCCTATGCTCTTCACGGTGGCACTGTATTTTTGTTTTATATTTCTCAAAATACTTTTTGAAGGGGTAATAACCCCCCCTCAAAATATTTTTCGATGAATAATTGTTAGGGAATATAGGGAATGGAGATGATATATTGAAAAAAAATTTAGAATCAAATAGGTACTCACCTAGTCTATTTATGTGTCAAAATGTGAATTGAACCCCCTGTAGCAAGAAAACTGTCCATTTTTCAGGATTGTCACCCAATTATTTTCTGATCAGTATCATATAGAGTACATCATATCAAAAATTCAGCGAAATCCACCGAACTTTTTTTTCATGGGCGCCTCCCATCCGGTGAGGGGCAACAATAAAAAAAGGCGGTTTCCATAATTCTAGGTAATGGAACATTTTCTATCACTTTTGACGGTTAGGTGAATTCTCTTTTTTTTTCGTTTTTCAAAATGGGAGTTTGGGGTTATAATTCCCCCACACTATATTTTTTTCAAAAAGCATATATTCATAGGAGAAATTAGATGAAATAAAAAATTCGAGATTATTTTTCATTCTCTCAGAAATAAATAATCAATTCGGTCAAAATGTGAATTCAACCCCCCCTAGTAAAAAAACTGTTCATTTTTGGGGGTTGGCGCAATGCCAATATGTAATTGAATCAAATGAAGTACATCATACCAAAAATTGAGAAAAATCCACCGGGACCCAAATTACCTTGAAAATTTGCGGGGTCCTTTGTGTTGATGGTCCTGAAGGCTAAGGCGTGTTTTAACGAAAATAATGGTATTGTAAATGTGAATGAAAGTTTGTTTGTCGGGCTTTCACCACTGAAGTATAACCCTACAAATGGAATGCCGATGCATGATATCAATAATACGCTCATTAGAACCCGGTCTTGCCAATGAACGATTATTTCTTGCCCATTGAAGTAAGTTGAATTATAATGTATAATAGTGTGCGAATTTACATTTTTCAAAGACTGTTATCAAATGATGACATTTGAACACAAAATACTTCGGCGTTATTTCGCTGAGTTTTGAATCATAATGTATAATACTATGAGAATTTACGTTTTTTGAAGACTGTCATCAAATGTTGACATTTCAACACAAAATACTTCAGTGTTATTTTGCCGAGCTAAAAATCTAGAAGAGAGAAAATGACAATTTTTTTGAAACTGTGTCACAATAGTTAGGTATTGATTATTGGTGGGAAAATAACACCAATTTGTTCATTTTTTGTCGAATTGTCAGCCCTCTCATGAACTCAGTTTGTTGTCTTTCAAGGTAATACAACTTTATTTTCAAGTATATCTCTACGGTAGGTTTCATAAACCTGAGTTTGTGATTTTCTAAAAGTGAATTGTCAAGGACATGATCATAATAGGAGAGGTTCAAGTTTCGTTTAGCTGAAATCAGTTATGGAAAATTTGTTGCTATGACAACCGTTGTCATGGTAACTGGTAAATAGTAAACAAAATCCCGTGGTGAGGAAATGCATGGTTGCCAAGTTGTATCGGGTTTAGTATAGCTGAAATCAGTTATGGAAAAACTGTTGCCATGGCGACGATCGTCATGGTAAGGAGTGAACAGAAACCCGATTCCCGTGGTGAGGAAATGCGTGGTTGCCAAGTTGTATCGAGTTTAGTTTGCCTGAAATCAGTTATGGAAAAACTATTGCCATGGCAACGATCGTCATGTTAACGAGTAAACAAAAATTCGATTCAAGTGGTGAGGAAATGCGTGGTTGCCAAGTTGTATCGGGTTTAGTATAGCTGAAATCAGCGCATTCTTCGACCCTCAAATTTTGTTTCACAAAAGTTCTTGCTAGTATTCAAACAATAACTCGATTCGAATGAATACTCTCCTTATAAATTTCTTGAAGACTGTTCGTCGTTGAAAAATTCCCTAATCACTACTTCTCTGACGATCATATATGGAAATAACGTCAGGAAAAAATATGCTTTGTTATTGAACAGAGCTAGAAAAAATAGCTAGCGACGAAATAGTGCGGAACAAATAGAGCATAAGGAAGGATACTACTTTTTCTAAACAATCTAACCTACCTCGGCCTGAATGAACCTTCTTAGAAAAAATATATTTTTCAACATCGATCAGATTTGGTAGCAAGGCATCGTTCGTGTGTGTTTGGAGACTGCATAAAAAAGGACACTACTTTTTCCAAACAATCTAACCTAACTCGACTTAAATCAACCCCTTCTTGAAAAACATATATTTTCCAACATCGTTCAGATTTGGTAGCAAGGCATCGTTCGTGTATGTTTGAAGACTGTTGCTGAATCAAAATGTGCGCGTGAAAAAAGGTATGGGTGAATCGAAATGATGGCAAATGGAAATGTTGGTGGGCCTAACGAGATGTTTCCATCTGTATTAGACAATCAGTACCTATACTCTCTCTTCCTATATCCTGCGGGATACCTCGTTATGAATATTAAAATGGCTCTGTTCCTTTTTGATTTTGTCCAATAGCTCGGCACGCGAAGGATGGTTACATTGAATAGTGTTTTTGAAATTAATGAATGAAGCAATAATTCTCCGATTCAACTTGGCAGCCACGCATTTCCTCACCACGAAAATCGGATTCTTGTGCACTCGTTACCATGACGATCGATGCCATGGCAATAGTTTTTCCATAACTGATTTCAGCCAAACCAAACCCTATACAACTTGGCAACCACGCATTTCCTCACCACGGGAATCGGGTTTTGGTTTACTCCTTACCATGACGATCGTTGCCATGGCAACAGGTTTTCCATAACCGATTTCAGCTATATTAAACCCGATACAATATGGCAACCACGCATTTCCCCACCACGATAATCGGGTTTTTGTTTACTCGTTATCATGACGATCGTTGCCATGGCAACAGTTTTTCCACAACTGATTTCAGCTATACTAAACCCGATATACAACTTGGCAACCACGCATTTCCCCACCACGGGAATCGGGTTTTTGTTTACTCGTTACTATGACGATCGTTGCCATAGCAACAGTTTTTTCATAACTGATTTCAGCTAAACGAAACTTGAGCCATAGGAGAAACCTTGATTTCTTTTTCCATTTCGGCACAAGAACGTTATGCATCCCTGACCCATATTGTCTAAATAATGGTCTTTTAAATGAGAAGCCACCAAAATCACGGTCACAACTCAAAAATATAAACGAACAAAATACCATCCAAGTACCAGGACACAAACACGATCATGAACAATGAAACAATGGAAATAAAAACCATATGAAAACGAACAATAATAAAAGCGTGGTAGATGATGGGTACAAAAATATCTAAGCCTCTCCTGATGAGAGCACACCTAATCAACGACATACGTCTGCGGTTGTAAGCAATTTCGATAATCACGGACATTCTTTTCATATCTTGGTTCTACTGCGTCGGCGCAGAACCTTAAAGTCATGATCTCCATGGGAGGCGTAAACTATTAACGCGCAGGTAGCTGTATCAGCATTCCATTTGTAGGGTTATAGTTCAGTGGCTTTCACGCCTAAACTACTCAACAGATTATCATGAAACTTCGTATACATATGTTAGATATAGGTATTAGAAAGGACATTGGATACTTTTTATTAGAAACAAATTTACGGAGGGTGAAGAAATGTTCCATACCCGTTTTGTCGGGAGAAGGTTCGTTCTCAAAACGTCTAAGGCTAATGTTGCAATTTGATATTTTTTTGATATACATATACCTATCCCGCTTCTTTAAAACAAGGTGTCACCGACTATTGAATTTCTCTTTTAAGTTTCTAATAATGACAATTCGGTGCAAATCATCAGTATTGTCTTTTACTATACATAGATTGAAATGATACTCATATTTTTATTGATAGAAACAAGTGGAGAAAAAAAATCAATCACTCTCCTTGTGTTCATTATGCCTCAAGCAAGAAAAAGATGAAACAGTCAACAACTTTTTAATCGACTTCATTTGTTTCACATCTCCAATAGTTTCTCATAAATTGATTTCACTTTAAATAAACTGAATCATTCATCAATTCTTGTGATTCTATCTTATTCACATTTCTTTTTGAGATAGCTGGAATCATCATGATTTTAGATCTCAGACAACAACTTCTTGAGCTTTGATATTGCTCAAAACAATAACATTCCATTCAGTAATCATGTAAATTGACTTTCAAACCCTTGAACTGCTTATCTGTCAGAAATCTCCACTTATAACCCAATATTTGGGACACTTCATTTTCCACAGATGCATATGATCTGCTGTTGACCTTGAGCCAAGTATAAAATTCCTGCGTCCAATCTGGACTTTGCTTCCAATCGGATTTTATTATCACAGCGTTTCCTCTGATCAGCAGCCATTTCAAATTCCTCCCAAAGTACGCTAAAAGTAGGACGGTTGATGTCGATATTCTTTCAGCTATTACCTGTAAATAATAATGTTGAAGAAGATTAAAATATCTAGGTTTTGGATGATTTATACTTACAAGAGTTGATAAAAATTTACATTGTCTTATGAGCATCATCAAGTTTTCATCGATTCTTTCATTGAATGATTTGGATCTGTGGAATCGTGGTATATTCTTGTGACCGTAGATTCTCAAATCTTCTTTGTACAATTCTATAGCTGTAACGAGATCCTCAGTTCTTAACTAAAAAACTGAAGTTGTTGTCATGTAAATCTATTATTGGAAAACTGTTACCCCAATATGCGGTGAATCATATAAAAGCGTTCTAACAGCTGCATTTTCTTGCCAAATAACAACTTTCTCTTTCCTACTCTCTACTTGCAAATGTACACTGAGAAATGCATTATTTTGTCTACATTTTTTCCAAACATATGACGATACAGGGGTGACGTAGATATCGTTCGAAGTATACCTATTCTGAACGATATGCAAATGCTTCAGTTTGGTAAAGCCAAGTAGTTCCACTAAATCATCTCCGAGGTTTTGTGGGCTTATGTGTAACTCCTAAAAACCAACTGAAAGTTAAGGAGAATGCATTGTTGAAAAATAGGTTACCCAGAGGTTCAGGAAGATTCCTGCATGTAAGATTTGATATGGCACCCTTGTAGTATTTATGACGTGAAGGGATCTTAGAGTTGTAACGCAAGTATCGCAAACTTCATCTAACAGATGTTGAGCTTCCTTAGCATCAAGCATCAAATCGATCAACTGCAACTCTTGCAACTTCTTCAAATTACCCATGAGTCTTCTCAGTGCTTGAAGAAGTTTGCCGCCGGTTCCGAATAGTCGAATTCGTTCGGCATCAGCTCTAGCCGTCATGTTACAGGGAAAAGTGAACTTCAAGAACTTGATATTGCTGCCGACGCCTAATTCGACATTCTCTTTTCTTTCTCGCTGTTCTGTGTACCATGAAATCATATTCATGAACTCGTAGAGATTGTAGAAGTTCAGCATCGGCTGTATGGTTAGGTGTTTGAAGTGTTTCCCAACAGAAGATAGACACATCTGGCATCTCAAATGATCCAGAACATACTACGGAAAGCGTATTGTGATTTTATCATGAACGTACAGAAATCAAAATGTCAGACTATCGTAAAAACTTTCAATTCTATTATAAGAGATGGCAATAAAAAGTTACAGGCGAAATAACAACTTTTGGAATAACTTTCACCCTGTTTTTTTTATTATCAATATATGACCTTAGTTGATATTTCACTTTTTTCCTCAAGTTACCCAGTATATTTAAAAATAAAAGCATTTACTTGAAAATCTCCCACACAAAACGCCGAGTTCATAGTACCTTAATGAAAAGATAAACTACAGGATGATTTTTTTTATAGTTGAAAATTCTACATCTCATCAATGCCGATATAATAAATAATATTATCACATCCTAGGAAGCTTCTACATCAGTCTGAATTTCTGTTTTTTTTTTTCAAAAGATAACAACTGAGAAATTTGGATTTTAGATAACCCTAAAATCTACATTTATTGACAAACGCCAGGATATCGATTTTACAAGAATATAGCTTGGTTGAACAAGAAGATATGCAGAAAACTGAACTATATGTATAACACAAAAAATATTATTTGTTTATACAAAATTTGATATGATAGCTCAGTTTTCCACAACATTTCTATTTTCGACATTCTGTATTAATAATTTTCAATGTTATTTATTGTGTTCAAAAATAGGTATATTGGCTTCGAATAATAATGATTTAGGCACATATGTTAGATGATAATTTGTGGTTTCTGCAATTAAACATTTTTCATTTTATTCTCAGGATTATTTATCAAACAAATTGTCGCCATGCAAACTTTTCGAATTCTGAGATTCACTTATGTTTACTGGTTTGCTACCAAATTGATAATGAAAGTCGCTCATGATGGTAAATACTATGAATAGATTAACTGAAGATGACAATTTTATCTGAATAAGTCCGTATTAAATCATTGCTAAATATGTTCTGTTGTATTTTGGGATATTATTTTGTATTTGAGTATTCAGTGACAGTCTCCTAATTTTCACTCAAAGATTAAATGACATTTTGAAGATAAGTTATTGAGCAAAATAAACCTAGATTACATCCTGTATTATAAAAAGACTTACCTGCCATCCTGAATAATAGTTGAATCTGCTTCTAGTTAAAGTATTATCATCCAGAACAAATCTACTCCACACAAAAGGCATATGAAATGCTCTATACCAGTTCTTACATACCAAACTGGCATAGTATTTTTCCCTTATCCCAAGATAGGAGAAAATATTTTCTAAGAGTAAATCTGGTAATTCTGACCACTTCGAATATTCCCAATTTCCATCTTCATTCGTCTTACTATCCTCAATGTCAATGTAAATCGCTGAAATCGAGCATGTTTATTGAGTAGTCTGGCCAGTGTTATAAGTATTTTTTTGTTACCTTTTTTATTTTAGAAAAACACATTTGGTTGCATTACTTTGTTACCATTATTAAGGAACATCTTGTTAGTAAAAACAAAAGCAAAACGACGTTGGTAGTAGCAAAAATACCTTTGCATCCCTTAAAAATTTTGTCGTCGTATTTTTGTAACCACAAATCTCGTCTCAGGTTGTGTTTTTTTGATTGCGGCCACATTTTTTTAGTTTGATATAACACACACCTAGAAGATCAATAAATGCTAACACAGTGCACACATAAGGTTACTACATTTCGTGTACCCCATTACACATTTCTAAAAAAGTTACTAGAATTTTTGATCTAGTTGTTCATAAAATATTAAGACGTCATAATTCTATTCAAAATACCTTTTGATCCAGTACTTTTTGATGCATACAATTCTGTATACAACGTTCTACAAAAATTGTGATGTCGATCAGTTTTCCCTTGCTTTCGGACTGAAAGTCAAAAATTGTAGTGAAAAGCATATGTTTATGTATCTTTTAGTTGAGTAAGGTAGTGAGAGACTGAAATGTATATAGTTAATTAAATTATTGAGAAAACACTCTTACATTAAGTTGTGTAAACAAATATGATGTATTAATAGGAGTGCAATCACGAACAAAATAACAGTTTGAAAATTCTATTTCAGTGGTTGATTTGAATAAAATCAGAACTATTTACTGAAACCTAGAACTTGTTTACCAATATACCTACAATAACACAAGCAATTCGAGAAAAAAATTACCCAAGTGATGTTTATTATTATTTTGAAATTAACTTTTGTTTCGACCTACTCTTTAGTAAATAAGGGGCGGATCAGATTCGATATTACCTTGCGGGTGGTTTTCTCAGAAACTATACCGGGTGGTTTTTCGAGGTGGCTCATCTCTATAATTTTTTATTATTGAAGATGGAAAACGGAAAATTTAAATTTTTTGACATATTTATTTGCTTTGCCGTACTTCCGGTTTGACCGGAAATGGGCCCAACTTTCGCTATTTAAATGGGACACCCTGTATTTTTTTTTCATAATCGGCTAGGAATTATCATAACGAACTCAACGATACAGGGTTTGATAGGTTTAATCTGAACGATTACGAAGATATTTGCATTCGAAGTTTCCATATGCTCAATGAGAGTGACAGAGAGAAAGAAGTTTCGACATTGCGCTGTCAGTGAGCATATGGAAACTTCGAATATCTTCAACCCATCTATCAACCCAATATCAATAATGACCAACGGTCATGTACAAAAGGGCATGTTTCGAATGATTAATCCTTCATCATCAGCAAATATAGAAGAAAATCTGTAAGAAAAAAAATTGCTGATGATGGAGGATTAATCCTTCGAAATATGTCCTTCTACTCATGACCGTTAGTCATTATTAAATTGTTTATGTGTTGGAGTTGTGACTGTAAGGTTTTTCACCAATCCTGATTCATATCACCTCCACTGATTCATATCACCCCCAAATTTCGCTTCTCCATCTTCAATAATAAAAAAGATATGGGGGTGAGCCACCTTGAAAAATCGACCGGTATCAGTAAAAAATTTTTGAAACTGCCATGTTTTTTACTCAAATGATATATATGGACGAACCTATTCTTTGACGAGAAACATTTTTCCTTGCACTATTCATATGTCGTGTTGCTTTTGTAGAAATAAGTGAATTAACTAATTATTGGAATATTTTATTATTCTGATATATTAGTTGTTCTCCATGTTATCAATATTAGTAGTAGTAGTAGTTTACAGATTTTGATTCCCTTTTAAAAGCCGGAAGAACTAATTTCTACCTTCTAAATATTAAAAAATAATAATCCGTTATTGAAAATACTGGTCAACTATAAATGAGTGAACTTATGACAAAAATGCCGATGATTTTGTTAACAATGTGAGTGAAAAACTTGAAGTCATTTCCACAAGACCATATAGCACGATCGATAGTTCCGCCACTGGTATAAATTCACCCTCTAAGAAGTGAGTATGTTATGTTCATGCCAAAACAGATAGATTTGTGTAATGAAATGAATATACAGTTCTTTAAAAACATGCAACTGGTGAATGTAAATATGGTAATGAAAAATTGACACTTATGTATTATTCTCGTTCTCGTTACCTTCATCATTCTCATCAACTTTCCAGCAACCTTGATTCATTATATACCGGTAAAAAAAAGAAATGCACCAAACTAACTTTTATGTAACATTTAAACCTCTATTTGATGTTCAGTGTTCTAAAAATATATTTGACGATATTATAATTAGATCACACATAATGTCTAGCGTGTACATGTAGGAAGTATAGAAAGTATCTTACATGGCACCACCGGTGGTGCATATTTTTATCCTACTGAAAGGAGTAGATTTATGAGATTATAATTGGTCTAAAATTGTGTAATTTGTATCTTGTATACAGGGTGACATCGAAAAAAATACACATAATTCAAGCCCTAAGAAGGCTCAGGACTACCGAATGGCACCATTTAATATCCCTTTTCCGCGCTAAGTACTACATTGTAGCAATTCAGACGTCAACCGTACAAATTTCCGAGCGGAAGGCACAATATCGCGGATTACCCTAACTTCGATTATCTTGAGGTGGCATACTCAATTTTTTTTAAATCATATGTTCGATTTTCGATATGAATTTCCTTTTTATTCAGAAGACTTGAAAAAAATCTGATATTTTGGGATTATTCGTTGACTGTATCATTTTGATGTATTTATTTGAAAATCGCTTGTACATGTAACAAAATTCTTATATTTAAAAATCATATTTATTGGACTACTCTACTACTTCAGGTATTTACATAATTTTTAAATTTCATATACTTACTCATAATTGTATATTATTATTATTCAATATACACAGAATATTTCATAGTTATTCTTAATATTGGAATCTACTCACAATATACAATACAAATTTACTAGATAATTAACGAGTTACTGATAGAATTGTCATGTTAAATCTGTGCAAAATCTGCTATGATCATATTGTGATCAGGTATTTCATATATTGTGATATGTGCGTAACTTCTAGATAGGTACATGTAGGTATTAAGGAATAGTTACACAAGGTATTAATCAATTTCTATCATGAATATAAACTGTTTTTCTTCAATTATTCGCGTATTTGATGAGATGTTAATCTCAAAATTGGTATATTACTTGCATTGTGTGAGGAAAACAAAACAGGAAATAACTGTCAAATATTCAAAATACTGGAGGTTAACTACACACTTACCCCCATATTTTTTGCGCTAATGACTCCCTATTTATTTTTTTTCAAGTGTTCAATCATTTTTGAGTATTTTTCGTCTCCTGTAAAATTTCGAAAAAATCATTTGTTTTTGATATAATTCGAAAAGTACTGGTTATTGTTTGATGCCTATGCGGCTTACGGTAATCTCATAATGTTCACATACTCCTAATTTCGTCGAAATTGAAATAGTTAAAAAAAATGATAGAAATTCATTTCGTCTAAATAAATTGCTCGATATGACCTCCAATTTTTTGAATACACATGCGAGCCCTTTTAATTGAAGAAAATCTTAGCCTTTGAAAAATATGTGGCTTATACACAAAATCTTTCATACATCTACATCCACAGACAATCCTGATCTGCTATTTCTTTCATCAAAACGTGACAGCCACCTACTTGATTTTTTCGATTTATTTACAGAAGATCCGTTCATGCACGATGTTGTATTGTATTTTTTTATCGGATAACTATCGCATTTACCGAAAAAACATACGAGTCAAAAAAGTTTTGCAATGCACCCAATCTGAGGTTATCAGTCTAATGAGAACTTACACCAATGACTGGAAACCAATAATAACAAACATTGAGATTAGTAAAACGGAGATTCAATAGAAGTATTCTTCTCAACTTAAGGAAAATCCAAATTGCCATTAAACCAGCCAAGAAGAGTCTATTGGAAACAAACTTTTCAAATACGAATGATTGCAAACCAGGTAATCAAAGAGATGAAAAACAAGAAATAAAAAAAGTGAGGACACACGTCGAATAAAATTTTTCTGCCAATCGAACAGCGTGAATTTTTTTACGGGGTCAAATGAAAAAAGTTTTTTTGGAATTTCGGGAAAATGATGATTTTAGGAGGATGGAGGGGGGGTCGATTGACAAGCCCACTCTTTTGAAGAATTATTAAATTCATTTTTTCCGAGAACAGCAAATTTTTTTTTTATTTTTCAAAATCGGTTTGAGCGATTTGGGGTATTTTTCGAGCCCCCCCCCCCCCCCCCGTATGGTATGTCGGGCGCGAACGAACGGGAAATAAAATCGGGAAAAATTAAAAAAATATATTTTCGGAAATTTTCTTTAATTAAATAAAGGGCTCGCATGTGTATTCAGAAAATTGGAGATCATATCGGGCAATTTATTTAGACGTGTTGAATTTCTATAAATTTTTTTTTGTGAAAATTATTTCAAAACATTCGCTCTGAGCACCCGGTATTTTCATATTCACCTTTACGTACGTAGAAAGTTACGCCCTCTTCCAATTTCGACGAAATGAATAGGAGTATGTGAATATTATGAGATTACCGTCAGCCGCATAGGCATCAAACAATAACCAGCACTTTTCGAATTATCTTAAAAACAAATAATTTTATCGAAATTTTACAAGTGACAAAAAAATCTCAAGAATGATTGAACGCTTGGAGAAAAATAGATAGGATATCATTAGCGCACGTACAAAAAAAATATGGGGGTGTGTACTTAACCCCCAGTATTTTGAATATTTGACAGTTATTTTCTGTTTTGTTTCCCTCACACGATGTAACTCTTTGTGCTGAAGTAATGTACCAATTTTGAGATCGATATCCTATTAAATACGCGGGTAATTGAAAAAAAAACAGTTTTTAATTTCCAACTTTGACACCCTGTATATTGAATATGAAGGGCTGAAATGAAAAATGGTATCTAGAAACTCATATTGTTTTTGTTCAAGGAATATATGGTTAATGATTAACCTCCTTCTAGCGGACACCTAATAATAATAATACATTGATCAAAGACAAGCACAGATATGATAACAACCAAATAAATATTTGCATAAAAACATAAAATATCAATTTCAGATAAAATTATCATAAAGCAAGAGAGCATTTATACAAAAAATAATATATTATATCCTTTCATTTGAATTATTACTATTTACTCTTGAAATTACTAACATGTAAATTGTTATTGTCATTTATTTTTTGTTCAAACAAAATTATGAACTATATAGTTTTATGTAATGCATATGGCACAACCCTAAGTTTTATGATTACTGATAGTAACATTAGTAATATCCTTAACTATCATTTCAGCCACTTGCCAAGCCATTTCTTCTTTCTTTTTACTTTCTTCTTCTGAACTGACTACTTTTCTGAGAACATTCTTTAGTTTGAATTCTTTTCTGTCTGGTTCAGGTTCAAAATCTGTCTCATATTTCCCTAACTCACTGATACGACCAAGAGACAGTCTATGAAATTTTTTTCTTTTCCAAAGAGAATCTGGGTCATACAATTCTCTTGTGTCAATATTCATATCTGAGCCTTTCTCAGATTTCTTCATGTTTTGTGGTACTTCAAAAGCCAAGAAAGTACTTTGACTGAAGCTTCTTTCACTACTGCAATCAGAAGGAGTATATTTATTCCCTTCAATTTGTGTTGAATAGCTATTTGACTGGACAGCATTTATCAGATCTGAGAGATACTTGTAGTAAAGTTGGGATGCCAAAAATGGTTTCAAATGATTTTTTTCTAGAGCTTTTTCCACAATTTTCAAGGGGAGATGAAAACAATCCACCATCAGCCCCCTTTCACCACAAATGTTTTGTTCAACTGCAAATCTGATTTTGTCACTGAATCCTAGAGGTGAGAGTGCTTGTAAGGAAAAATATTTATCATATAGTACTACTGCATCATTTTGTGCTTCAATAGGGTCAAAAAATTCTTTTTGATCATGCAGTTGTTGTTGAAAATTGGAAGCAGCTATCCAAAATTCCAGCAATCCTCTCTGATTTTCTTGTTCAAGATATTCCATGAAATAAAATAGTGCTGTTTCGTTGTATAGAATATCATCAAGTATGACACCTCCACTAGTTAGTACATCAATCTGATGTCTACAAAATAAATCTGTTTCCAAAAAAGCTGAGAAATACTCAGTGTCCATCACATTATAAACATATGTTTGAACAGAATCAAAACAGTTTCCAGACATAACCTTTTCAGTAATACAAATATTTTCCATGATCTGTTTCCTCAAATCTTCTGAACACTTTATATTCAACTTGGCTTCTTGTGCAATGTATTTCTTGAAGATTTCCAGAGCATTATCTACTACATTTTGTACAATTTTTTTATCATTTACACTTATATCCTCACCTAAACTTTTCAACTTAACACTAGTATCACTAAGGTCTCTATCACAAATGCCATCATGAGGAGATTTTACCTCAGACAAGGTACTAGTTGAATAATCACAAAGGCTATTTGAATCTGCTGTGAATGAGTCACAGTCTGTACTAACTGATAAACTATCATGGTCAATTTGACTATGTGACACTGACAAAGCCATGTGTTTCTTGACAACTTGGGAGTAGTTATGGAGTTCTAATTTGAAAGTGTCTATATCCAGCCAACAGAGAATGTAAGATGAAGCATCTCTGGATTCCATGTATTGTATAAAATATCCTAGGGCACCTTTATCACAAACAATGTCTTGTAATGTTTTTGATAGCCTTGAATTTTCTTTGGAGGATTCAAATTCTCCTATAAAGATAAATGTAAATAAGCTTCATGCATGATAGCAATTGAAAAAACTACTCACCAATATCAGAAAGACCCTCATCATCAAAAGACAATAGTGGTAACTTGTTTTCAGGAACAGGTTTGTTTATTTTTTCTTGATGATTACCATCCTCAACTATTTGTGCATGAAGAGAAGATGAACTTGTGAGAGCTTTTTCATGACCTATAAACAATACACTAATGAAATTAATGCTTCTTCAACTGAAATGCGTATTTACCGTTTTTTTCCGATCTTTTCCAGAACTTTAACATGGTACATGTCAAAGTTGTTTTTACGGTGAAAACAAAATTAGTTGCAAGCTCCAAGTTTTCACTTGAGCCAAGGAACGATAAAATTTCAAATAATTTATCTTTAATCAAAATCATTCAAACCATTTCCATTTTATTTTGATAACAATGTTATGACTTTTGACACTTTTGGACTTTGACGTATGTTTGACAAATAGAGCACGCCAGATCACGTGACACGTGTGTCTGCAGACAGTTCCCGCAATGCCATCCAATATTTTGGCTTCCAACGCACGATGCGGCCAAGGGATGAGCAGTCTGTAGTGCCGTACCAAAATTATAGGCATCAATGTGACCGAATTGTGACCAATGAAGACAGGGAGTACATTGTAGTACATGGTAGAACTGATGTTGATCGTGAGTGCCAAGCTTGGTAGAACTGATAAGTTCCAAGGTTGGTAGAACTGATTATAATTTGCATAGGAAAATACGAAATGAGCATCAGTTCTACCAACCTTGATAAGTTCTAGGAATCACGCCATCTAACATTCAATATGTGAACCCCACGTCATCGTCTGAAATTCCATTGACCCTGATGAAGTGACGAAACAAATGATGACTGAAGAGGCGCACCAGAAGTGCTTTGGACATTGTTGAATATTGAAAACATTTGAAAATGATCAATAACAAATTTTTTCTACAAACGTCAAAAAATGACAAGGTTCGCGCATTGATAATAAATTGCGAAGTGACACTTTTTTTCAGTTTCCTACGTTACCATGATACCTTGCACAAAACAATGCGCGAAGTAAAACAGTGCGCGAAGTACCTACTTATTCGCGCATTGTTATTCAAAATAAATGGGATATTCATATTTCAAATTTATGGTACTCAGTCGAGCAAAAATCCACGAAATCATTTATTTCTGAATGTTCAACAATAACCTTGTTTTATCTCTTGGAGCGCACGAAAGGAAATTTTTATTATGTTCGTGGAACATCGTGCGTACCTAGGGAGGATAGGGGGAGGCCTTTTAAACTAGTTCAACACTATTTTTTATATCAAGCTAAGCATATTTTTACTTTAGAACTATATTCTTTGACGTTTGTAGAAAAAATGTTGTTTGCAACTCGAGCGCGAAATACTTTGGTCATCTCGACTATTTTTTCAACTCGGCTACGCCTCGTTAAAAAAATCAGATCTCGATCTCCAAAGTAGCATTTCGCGCTCTAGATACAAAAATAACTATTGTGGTTATTTACTAAGTATGGAATTCTGAAATGAATTATTGTTCGTAATTCATTCAATATTCAATTCGAATGATTATTTGATGTAAGATAAACGATCAAAAAACTTATGCATATAGTGTGTATAACATTATTTCGAATAACGAAGAAGAAACTAAAGAGATATCAAAACAAAAGAAACGTTGATAGTAAGGTGAATGAATGAGGATAATTTTTTATCAGCTATAATATTCACCATTAGCGTCTCAATGGAAAACATCTGTAGGGTTCCATATCAGAGGATATGAAGACAATAACACCCAGTGTAGCGCTATATATAAGTCCGCTGTATAAATAGTTTATTCTCGGTAATATGAAAATATGCAAAATAAGTACTTATTTTAGTTTTCTTATTGGAACGATCGACTACACCGGAAAAGTATTCTTTGACCTGCAACACCTCGTTGTAAATCCTAACTGTATTATAGGTACTTTCCATATTAATTGTCAACGTTATATTCCTGCTAATTAAGTTCTTAAATAATCTAATGTGTGAATAAATACATCAATTTATTTTTATGTACAACTACGAGGAAATCGCCGGTCTGTGCAATCATATATTATACAGGGTGTCCCGTGACTCGATGACCATAGCAAAAGAGCATGTTCCTTGAACAATTTCAAGTCGAAAGTGTCATATACCATGTCATACACTTTTGTCTTAAACTCAATAGTTACGGAGTTATGAGCAATTGAATTACAACTTTGCTCACCAGTAGATTGCAGACTACAGCGGCATCCATAAGACAATAAGAGACGACCCCAGCGGGGGGACATCCTGAACAGAACCTTGAAAAAATATGTGTTAGAAATCAAAAATTCTGAATTGATAATATATATAACATTACTCTTTATTCAACATTCTCTTTGCTTCATTACACACAGAGTTTTGGACAAAAGTGTATAACGCACCTTTGACTTGAAATTGTTCAATGAGTATGCCTAGGGGCTATGGTCATCGAGTCAGGGGACACCTTGTATAGTATCAATGAATTTTAAAAATGCCAACAAAGAAGAGGGGAGAAACGTTTATAGGTAATTCTAATTCAAAAAATGGGAGAGGTAATAAACATTCTATATAATGATGGATATGGACTGTGATATGGATGGATAAGATACCCAAGAATATGGAATTCATCTACCTATATGAATAGGTATATAGGTATTAGTATACCTTCCTATGTACAAAGCTACCTACCAATATTTACTAAATTCCCAGAATTGGCTTGGGCATAAAACAATCTATAATCAAATAATCATTCAATTACATGTAGAATTTTTCTATGTACATGATATATAAAGCATTTCATCAAGAAATTTTTCCCATTCTCCTGTCCACTTATGCATAGCTTCTATTTTCTCTGGTTCGCTCATCGCACTATGTTTGATAGAATCCACGGCAAACTGCTTCAAAACCTCTATTCCAGCATTTTCCGGAGTCATCGCCATAAATACAATATACCAATCATAGCTGAGTCCTGTGGCACCCCATGCAGATGGATCATCGTTACAAATCACCACTGGAAGACCTTTTGCCATCAAAGGAACAGCGGGGTGATTTCTGGGGTCATTATTCAACAGCAAGACTTGATTAGAAATAGGAGAGAGTTCTATAGCAATGCCTTTTTCTTTCGCCATTTTGGTCACAACAGGGTGTTTGTCTAAACCAAACCCATGGCCGATCCTTGATGAATTCAATAGTATTGCGTCCACCAAATTGAGGTCAGTGTGTCCGAACCAGTTAGTTTCACCAGCGTGGAAGAAAAACTTCAGATCCTCGCTGAATTCTAGTAGCACTTCATGAAAATCCACTAGCCTTTTCCCCTCTTCCTCAAAACCAACAAAATCGAAACCAGCGATGAAATCGGGAAATTTTCTTTGGAGCTCAGTTAGTTGCTTCAAACCAGACCTGAGATCATCTGTGCCTACGCCTCGGTAGATTGAATGAATGTATCGAGCTCCTACGAAGTTGGGGTGGTCTCTTTTGAACTTTTCAACTACGTCTATGAACACCTTGAAGAATTCTTCGTTGTCATGGACGGTACCGTTGAGATCGTACAGTGGCATGATGGACCCTCTTATCTCGGTGTAAAAAACGTTATCCATATAAAGTTCCTCGAGAAACCGGTAAATGTAATCAATAAAAACAGGTTTGTAAGCTACCATATCGTACTCGGTGGTGAAAATCTTTTTAAAACGAGTCCAAACAACGTCAGGTGTTGGATAGGCTTCACTAGGGTGTTCTACTTCCAGAGATAAGTGTTCCAGGAGGAAAGAGTTGAAATCAGGGTTTTCCTTTCTATATTCTTTGATCTTTTTCCAATTACATTGTGTGTCTTGGCTAGCATCTTCAAGGAACCGTAACTTGAAAGTTCCGTTCAAGTAACATCCGTAAATGTTATCCCTGTAAGTGATGTCTTCTATTATGTAGTTAGGGGATACTCCGGCTAAGAGATGCGTATGTAAGCTCGCCCCTTTAGGTACATTCTTGATCACTGCAAACACTTGAGATTGGTCTATTCGCCGTCTTGATTGGAAGAAATGCTGAGATGGTAGAAAGTCGCTGACGTTTTTGTATCCTCTTGATAATTCAGATTTCTTCTTCTGCAATATTATCTCGTTGACACGTTTTTCTTTGTCTGTTAGCTCGAATTGTCCTCCTGCGAAGAGATATTTCTCTAGTTTTAGGATGCGGTTCCTTTCATTCAAGTAATGATCATCGCTGTGTAACTGTAAATCACTTTCCACTACTGCACAGCACATCACAAAGGTTGAAGCGACAGAAAGAATGTGAAATGAATGCATGGTCGGTTTTGGCGACTGACGAGTCTGACCCCAATGCTCTGCGCTGTAAGTAATAGAGTAATGGCTGTGATCCCCTCATATAGGCGTTCTTCCTAAGGCAATATCACTCTGGCCTGGGATTCCCCGAAAAAAATATATTTCAGGAATCTTCAATTGACCGAATTAATTTTGGATCTATGTGTATACTGATAATTTGTTATTGTTATCAGATAGGTACGTGCGTCACGTTATACATTGATCGCGGCCCAGCTATACAGGGTTTTTCACGATGAGCGTTAAAATTATAAGACGTTTCTGGCAAATCAAGCAACAGCAACAGATGAATCTTATTATTATTTCATAACTTTATTGTTGTTTGTTCGGCAACAATAAAGCATATATTAGAGGACTAGCTTCTCCGTCTTTTAAGGAGTGAATAGTGAATACCTAGCGAACATATTTCAGTGCTACACTGAAAGTGCCATCCAAAAACTAGTTTCTAAATTCACTCAGAAGCAAGATATTTCCATAATAAGTAGCGAAAACTATAATTTGGTTCACATCTTCTGTTCCTGAATCCCACAACAGAAACTCTTCACCTTTCTCTGTTCGTTTATATTTCTCTTCAATCGTTAACTACATCACGAATGCTGTCGCATGCACTGTTAACCAAAGTATAAGCTCCTTGTTTCTCACTCTTTGAATTTTTTTTCTTGCAGCATCATAATTTGGTAATGAATGGTACTGATGCTTCCATCGATATACATGGCTGGGACTGGCTTGTAAAATATTCCTCGGACCATCTTCCGTCGTCCTTGCTATGTTCTTAACAAATTCCAAAAACTTCGTTTTTAGCGTCATTTGACTATGGGACGTTGTCAATTTTTTTGAGTCGCCGCAAACTATAAATCTACCTTTACAATAATTCTCGGTACATCTCCAGGTAGTGGAAGTGAGATGCACCTTATCTTTCATGTATCTTTATCCTTCATGGATCGAAATGGCACCACCTTTTTTGAACGAGGACAGATTCATCGTGATATGACAATTTGTTCTGACCTTCTTGGTGCTATTTAGTTACATTCTAAAAGTCCGGGCGCTGTTTAATACCGCGCGATTTTGATCCTTTGTGAAATGTTCTAGCGCTATTTTGTCGAGCGCTATTTTGTCTAGCGCTGTTTTATAACAGAGCCATCTAATTGTCTAATCGACGGTGACCTGTGATAATGTGACGCAGACATGCGCAGAATGAAAACAGCACACGCCAGACGCCATGTTTTAAGCTGTGGCCATGTTATGTGTATCACGCCTTTGTTGATTCCTCGATTTCGTCAGACTCCGCATGGACTGTATTTCCCTCTAAATTTTCTGTTGGAAAATCTGTGAAACTTAATAGCACATATTAGAGGTAGGTACAATTTTTTAGGAACGATGGTATACAATCACAATATTGTAATTATTTCAACTCAATTATAGTGAATGGTTTTATCACATGACATCTCTGATGTCCTCTGAGATAGGAATATCTCAATCTCAAGCAAGGTGCGGATAAAAGATACTAAGGTAATGTAGTGTATTTGATATGTATCATTATGCATAATGTTATATTTGTACTGCTAAGTGTCATGTTTTACTTCAAAATTGTGATAATAAGTTTTGTATCAACTTTTTAATTTCGAAAAATAAAGATTCTCTCCGTATAGTTGAATAATAATCGCAGTGTGACGTATTTGTAATATAAAATGTACACTTGTATGTGAACTGGTAGTGATTTTTTATGTCATGTCGCATTTCATGTCTGATGTTCCTTGAGTCGAACATTTTCACATCGCCAGGTTATATCGGTAACATGTTTAATATTACACTTTCAGGTGATGAATCTAAAACTCATATATCTACAGTATATTTACCTATTAAATCAATTAGGTACTCACCTCCGATTTTTACAATCTTGTAATTCCAACGCGTCATATATGTTCACAGTAAATTCACAAAATCACCAGACGATCTAATCCTGACTACCATCATGTCTGGTATTATTAAAATTCTTATAATAATTTTTACTGGAAAAATGCAATCATAAAAAATTGTAACGTTTGATAAAAAACACCCGTTACGAGATGATGTTTTGAGAATTGACACACTGTATAATATATTATACACCGTGTCTCACTACATACGACGCCTCCTCCCTCTCTCTATATCTCAGCTATTAGTCGTGCGATTCTTACCAAATTTGGACCGGTATGTATAACCATCAATAATATCAGGATTTCAGAGACGAACATGATTTTGGACATTGCCGTACGTTCTTATTTATATGAAAAGGGGTAATTTTTCTTATGAAATAAATAATTATTTACTTGGAAACAGTGAATTCAACAAAAAAAGTATATCTTGTTTTTCCTCTCATAAATCATCATTTTCTACCTACCGGAGCTATTGAACGTTCTAAAATTTGCAGTACCTATAGGCTGAGAATTTTAATAAGTGTAACTCATGAATTTGTTTTTTTCAAAATTGATTGTCAATAAATTATAATCAAACCACTTTTTGAGAATTGGAAAATCCATTACTACTTTCCTTATCAATGCTTACCAATCCTTTGCAGAGTATATATAACAGTATCATGTGCAAAATAATGTACAGTCGTATTCAATGAAAAAGCGTACAAGTATTAAAAAGAAAGGATTTCGGAATCCTAGTTCTAGTTGTGTAAAACTGGCTCAGCCAATGCTTTGTGTTTTCGAGAACCTATGACAACTTTACTGTCAACATTTGGTGAACAATCATTCCCGATAGCCCGGTTTATGCAGAATAGGATGACGTTAATTTCTCTCTGTGTACGCTTTTTTTTGAATGCGACTGTATTTTACCAATAATTAAATTCACTTGATAGTGAAGTACTATAACTAATATATACTATATACTAATAACATAAAAACCTTTGCAATTGAGATATGGATATCTACCTTATACCAGTTGAAGCAGAATCCAATCGTGCGTTCAGTTCTAAATTTAAAAATACTTTCAAGGATATCAAAAACCTCCAAATGACAAGATATTTTTGACCACACTAAAGATTTTGGTAAAATTTTTAATCTCACTCCAAAGATTATCACGTGTATAGGTACCTATTTATAGAGCTAAGGTGAAAATTTGAAAGAGTAAATTTCGAAAATTTCTAAGAAAAACCCAAAATTCTCCATTTCACATTGAATGTATTTTTCAATTTCCAATTTTATTCCAATGGAATCATGGAAACTTCTAACGAACGGGTTTACATATACCTACATAATAATATAGGTGAGGAAACATTTAGAATTGGAAATATTTTATTCTATACTTTGATACAAATTCACACTATTTGTTGGTGCACTATGCAGCAATGGGTACGTTTCTTCCCGGACGGTTTCTTCTTCAGACGTCGAAGTCGAACTGGTTCTATTTGGAGATAGCTCAGTTTTTTCGAGCTGCCTCCAGGGCAGAATCACTCGTTCAGACCCGCTACTCCATCTTCGATAAACCAGACAATTGAAAAGCGCTTGAAGAGGGTTGAGTAATGCCTAAAAATATACAAAAATAATAAACCAGATGGAATTTATCAGTAGTAGTCAAAATGAAGCTACATTATTAGCTATCTCACAACTTACTCAATAGGAGTGAGATTGAAAATAGCCCGCGCGCAGGTAATTCTAATTTTTTTTGGGTTCGTAAGTATACAGGGTGATTGGTTCACCGACGTATATCTGGAAGGAGGTGGTAGATTATATGATTTTGAAAATATTCAACCATATACACTATTATACAAAGTGTTACACTTCTCGAAAAATCATCATAAATTGCCAGTTACATATTGCAAAATAGCTATTTGTATAACAAGGGAGGAAGGTGCTGCTTTTCCTCCCGAGGATGAAGTTTACTGGCCGATGCGCAGCTCTGCTGCGCTCGTGGTCAAAATACTCATTACTAAAATGACGTTATAACACTTGTTACATAATATACTATTATTATATTATACTCGCTTTGCTCGCACATTGAAATATCTCGATCATTAATCGCCCACATTAATAAACTATAGTTGTTCAAATAATAACTATTAAATGCAACAACATTTCAAACGCTTGTCAGTTTGAAACGGCTTGGCCGATTTGCACAAGAGAGCGGTGTTGGATAGAGAACCAAAAGGCCTTCAAATCCAGGTACCACTTGACCCCCTCTTTACATTTGGCACTATTGACGCTAGGCCACGTGAATACAATCATTTTAATGTCAAAAAGTAGTGACAGAGCCGACAGAGGTACCTTTCTACCATTCCACCTGAATTTTATCCGACCTCAATATAATTGTTTCGTTCCAAAGTTGAAGGGGGGGGAGGAGAACTTTTTGCGTTCTCACTGTAGATTCACTCACCATTAAATACCAAATGCTGATGATACATTTGACAGGCAAATGAAACCACAGGATCCACAGCAGGATACCGTTGAGTAAGTTGGGCATCCAACAAATGTAAAATACTATGTTGATCACAGAAAATTTGAGTTTCACGGTATCGATCAGGTCTCTTTCCCTGCTGGTGATTTGCCCTGAAGTGGTGGTTATTATTCTCTCCATGTCCTTGACAGAATGTCGATACAAACAGGGATTCGCCACCATTATTGTAGCTATTGGGATGTAGGTAGCGATGTAGTTTGGCAGGATTCTCAAGATAGCGGACTTCAGTGATGATGAAGTGTGACAACTGAAAATTGATGAGAAAATAATCCACTATGAGTACGATCATGGAACGCGAAAGAGAAAGTTAATTGATAGTCAGTGACAATAACTTATTTTGGGAAATGTTTTATGAAGAGAAATATAAGTAGTTCAAGAAAAATATCACATTTTCAGTTATCTTTGGACGTTTGGATATATTTATATTTCAGAGTTTGAAGCATCTCACTCATATTCTTCTTCATCAAGCTTTTTTCAAAACAGTGTGTGACTGATGACTGTCGATTGAATTTTTGTTTTAGGTTTTCCACTAGTGACCTTTTTAAACACAGTCACATTTTGGGGCAAATCATCTGATTTGTCCTCACAACACATCTATGGAAGTAGAAAATATAGAAAAATGAATATATATATTTTATCGATTCTGTGACATTCTTATGACGTTCTCCTGATGTTTCTGTGACATTTTCATGACGTTCTTGATGGCCAAACATCATCTATTGAGAACTCCAGAAAGATAATACAAATATTTTAATTGAATAATAAGTATAGGTGGGTACTTTACTTGGCGTCAGGAAAATACAACAAAGACAGTCCAGTGGTAGTGGATACGGCTGGTAGGACCCAAGCTGCCAAGTGATAAAACTTCATTCGACTCTCTTTCTGGGCCAAAATTCTCCTCATGTCTAGAGCGTAGCAAAGAGTCCAAATCCATGTGGCTGTGTAGAAGTACTGTGTGAATGCCTAAAAGTATATACTTGGATTGAATTATTCGGACTTTAAGTGCATATCAATGTTAAATATCCACCCTGACGTGACTGAGTATGGAGCAATAGGTTTTTGCGTTACACAAAAACACGTGAAAAGAAGGACGAGGGGTATATTATCATAACTCGCACCTAGAGAAACTCCTATATATAATATTTCATACGGCTGAGAAAAAAAAAGTATCATCACCTAGCAATTTCAACACCTGTTTCGGTACGTATCCATGAAGTAGCTGTGTGTGAAAATGAAGATTTTAATGATGTGCGCAGCTGATGAGAAAACACTTACACATATTGACGTTGAAAAATTGTTTTGGAAAGTGAGATTTAATTTTTTCAATTCAAACAATGCTCAGTTTTTGGGGTCACCAGGTATATGCAACAATGTTGTTATTCTAATTTGCAGTGAGAATAAAAATATATCATTATTAAATTAAGTACAGTGCGGTCTTCAACATTTTTGTTTTTATACTACTTCTTTTCATTCGAGTCTCGTTTTCATCCAGTTTTTTCTATATCGGGTTTAGATATAGTATATGATAGTAGTAAAGAAAAATGTAACTATTGTGTGAAATAGGTATATGTAAACCTGCCACTGTAGCAATGATATTTATGTCTATACCAAAGAAGAAATCGCCTATTACAAAGATAAAATTGATAAGTCAGTTATTCATTAAATTACTTATAAAGTTATTACCGAGGAGACTGCACAAAATAAAACACTCGAGTCATCATCTACAGCTGGCATTATATTCTTATAGTTCATCCATATCGACGATCTCAGGAAAACACCTAAAAACCAAAATAAAATGGTATGTTAAGGGTTTTTCATAATTGGCGTGCAATAATTTGGCGGTAGATTCCACGATCAAAAATAAGAATAAAGAAAGTTAAAATGAAGATGAGTCGAAAAATGGCTCCTCTAAGCTACAGCCTCTTGGAGATGTTCCCTGAATATGGTTTCCTATCATTATTTCCGAAACAGTTTGAAATCAAAAATGAAAAATGTGAACGATATTTGAAATTTTGATTCAGGAGTGTATTAAAACGGGTCGGCATATAGTGTATTTTAACTCCTAATTTTTTTTTCAAGAGAAAGTACTCTTGTTGAGCTTTGATGAAATTAGACCATGAAATAACATACCAAAAATCATGCATTATATGGAATACATGACGAACAAAAAAATCACACAGTAAAATGATAAGTATGTATGTTGCTAGGCAACACTTTTAGTGCATGTCTAGGAGCTGAAGTTGAAGTACAACTCCTAGGGACTAAAAGTCTGTCGGATGACAGCTGATATGATGGTTTGACACTGACATGCTCAGGTGAGCCAAAATAGTGATAACTTCATTATTTACATATATAAGTAAAAATAAATATCAAAATTTCACTTATCAAACAGTGTCACATTTGCCCCTAATAAAACAATGTACTATCATATTGGAACCTGGCAGACCAGGGGCTGTTCAGTACCTACATGTTAATTTGGCTGTGTCAATACGAGTCTCGTTTTTTAGTATTTTTTACAATGAGTATGGTGGATCGATGAAGCAACTCAACTCAATTTGAATATTATTTCAAGAGGGACCTACCTAGGGATGCTAAAAGGTCTGCTACTGCTAACCAGACTATTATTTTCCGACCTCTTATGGCAGAAAAGGAAAGCCATCTATGCTGATTTGAAAATTGTTCTCGTGGTAATATCTGTGGACATAATATAAATAACTTTTAGGCACGACCGGGCGTAAAGTAGCACTTTACCACTTGGTTATGCGAGAGTAAAGTGGTACTTTACCGCTCGGCGTATAGGTATAACTCATAATATGTATTATTCAGAAAATGTATGTTTTGTGATGGTTCCTTATCTAATCATATACAGTTCTCTTGATATTTCTCAGATGCCAAATGATATGATCGAACCAAAAATAAGCTATCGCTCGGTCGCCCTTGATACATGACCAACTAATTTGTTATTTCTTTGATTGTTTGTAGAATTTGATGTGATAAATTAGTCTTTATGCGATACCTATTGTATGTACATTATTTTTACTGAAAAAATCGAGAGTAGAGATTCCATGTTAAATAAAATATAGTTGCTTATAGACTTTTTTCCGAAGGCATGTCAAGCAATTCCCTTTTTATCAATCGAAGCATGAATGCATCAAAATTAGATAATTTCATTCTTCCTGGTCATCCTGACGAGAACAGAAGCTTGAAATGACGTTTAGTCGACCAAAAATCATGAAATTCCCGTTATACGTCACAATGATTTAATGTATTTACCTAACTTTTGCAAGCAATATCGAGAATATATCCCTCCCTAGGGGAGTTGGAACCAACCTCAACATGATTTTTTCAAATGTAACCCTATGGTTTGTGACCCCTCATTGGAAATAAGTACTAGTCAAATTTTAGTTTTTCACACTTGCATAAAATTGAAATGTAATTTCAAAATTAATTTTTCTTTCAACATATCAATCGCTCAAAATGTGTGTTGAACTATCAAGGGCCATTTTTTGCCACAACTGCTATCTGCTATTGTATTTCAGTGTTTTTAAAGAGCCGCAAAAAAAAATTCAGGTTTTTGCCGTATTCACAGTCCGAAACGAAGTGTTATTGCAAACTGGTGGAAATGCCTTATATCACTGTCACTAAAAGTCGAAATTTTGATGGAAATACGTTGAAAATATATTGAACTTCAAAATTTTATTTTGATTTTATGCGATCCTCAAACCGTACTGCAAACTGAAATATGATCAGTACGCTGTATTCCTCTTTCAACCAGCTTTCCAATGAGGGGTCGCAAGCCACAGGGTTTCATTTGAAAAAAACATGTTGGGGTCGATTCCAGCTACCCCTGAAACGTAAATACATTTAAACGTTGATGTGTCTCGCAAATTTTCATAAAAATCATTCACTCCCCCAGTAGTGAATTTATTCTAGTTAAAGTCTCCACCCTGTACATATATTGATGATTATTCATACCAGTTCACATTTGGCGAAAATCACTAAAGAGGTGTGTCCATTTAAAGTGAGAAACGCTGTATACTATTATTAATATATCATAATATTTAGATTTGGACCAGGAATACTGGGTATAACCAACTGTCAATAGTCACTCGCTGAAATAGTTGATAATTTACAGGTGGTTACATTTGAGCTGGGACACGGTGTATATAGCTATTGGAATAAATCTTTCAAACTTTAAATATCTCTTCTGCAGTGTGAATAGATATTGGTCTAACGACTTAAGAGCGACTTAAATGTGTCTATTATCAAGTACCTATATTATCATTGACTTTTCGTTAAAGAAAATATCTCATTGCGATTAAAATTTCCTAGATTTCCTTGTGAGCGTGTCTCATTTCTTATATGAAAGTAACCCCGTATGTTTTGGGTGATGCCCGCCCCGTATCAAAAGATACACTCAATGACCAAATATGGTCACGATATCTTTATCAGTGATGTATACTGCTCCGCAGCACCAATGAAATCACCGACATTTCCTGAAAATTATATTTGGAGGCAAGAATGAAGGTTCAAAAACTTTTTGGGTTCCAACACGTGACATCAATCTCTGTACCGATTGGAAAATTATTGTCACTTCACATTATAAATTATAACACATTAGAAAGTATCTATATATACCTGGTAGATTGCTCCGAATACTCCCAGAGCAGAGGAAATGAGGCATACCGCATTGTAGGCATCCGTGTTGAATTCTTGCATTATAGTCACAGCCATATCGGTGCCGTTCGCATGGTGACAGCAAAAAGTCTGGATCGTCGGGTCTGCCATGATAAACACTCATAAAAACACTGAAGACCAACGAAAACATTCAAGAGCAAGCTTTAAAATAACACACAATTCGTCAGACCCAAGAAGCCATAAAAGCGCAAATAGCTATCAGAATCATGGTAGGCACATCATAATTATTATGCGCGATGTTCTTTTATTAGTCACATTTCTGCGCGGTTAGCTATGATGTTCATGTTTCATAACAAGTTGCTCGATTTGAAAAAAATGTGTAATGAGATGAAAACTATATAGTTTGTTTATTGTTGGTTATCTCAACGAAAGAGTAAATATTAACAGTAGGTACAGCTGCTGGCCTGAACTTCACCGCAGTTATCTTAGACGAGATAGTAATTTGATAAGTTTGGAAATGAATGCTGAGGTGAATATTCATTATGTATAATAATATGAATATTATACTCGCACATATAGGGTGTTTTTCAACTTGACCAATAAGTTCATTGGTCAAAAAATTCTTGTTTGGGGACTAACACAGCCTCTAAAATTTCAAAATGATTCTTTCTGTATCTCAATTGGTGTTTTGAGAGCACGTGCATTGAAATTTGGAGTCAAATCATATTTTTATAGTTTCCTCAAAAACTAAGATAGATACAAAAGTAACACACGGAATAAGAAAGTTGTTATTCCAATTGTTTAATATAATGAAAATATGGAAAACCTGTGGCGTACAATGATATTCACCATAAATATCGATAAATTAAGCCACTATATGAAGCCACTGGATATATAATTTGGAATTTAATTACACCAAAAGATGCTCCATATATAAACAAAACCACAGATTTTTATAGAAATTGATAAAAAACATTTGAGTAATGATAAAATGATTCGAAGCAAGTTAGGACACATATGCTTATAGATGAAAAGACACTTAATTTCCTAAAATATCACAAGGAATGAGCCCCTGAAGTATGTCGATCGTACTTTTTCACTAACACCCGGTATATTCACGTCATTTTTCACTGAATAAAAAAATATATTTCATATTTTTCTCTAAATCTGGATTACTTTGTGATTAAAAAAATATTTACATACAGTATAGTTCATATTTCTATTTCATTAAAACATTTGCGATACCCCAGGAAATCAATTCATATATATGATGGCCGTGACAATGCTACATTGCAGGATTTAACTTCCGCATGTCGTTTTTTATTAGAATTAGAAAAAGTTAATGGCGAATTCTAAATCATCACCCCTCTTTCTCAAGAAGTTGAGACTGAGCTAGTTATATATATATATATATATATATTATATGTGTGCATTATCTATCAGTATATATCTTATTAATAGTTTATATTTTCTTATTTATACATTTATGCATATTATGCGTCTATTAGGATATATAAGATATATATCTACATACTTTCCATAACGGCAATTTTTTCAAGACTCTTTTAATTTCACTGAGTCCCAAGAAAGCGAAAAGTGCCATAGTGCTCAAGCATATGACCAAATATTTGATTCAAAAATGTAGATTGACGTGTCCGTCAAATTATAAAAATTATAAATTTATAAAATTCGCTGATAGATTTTACATACCATTACCTACTTATGCGTTTCATCGCGCACTGTATAATGATTCAGAATGGGATTTTCGGCAATTTGGAGTCCAAGAAACAACCATCCTTGAATGAAAATATGTATGGTAGGTCGTTTGAAGAATCATTGTTCTCTCTCAAATCCAGCACTAAAGTGTGAAAAGTGTCACAAAAAGGATTAATATATTCCATTTGATTTCATAACGCAATAGGTGAACACAAATAAAACATTGTAATTTCAACAAGGTCAAATGGAATACCTATACCATAGTAAATTGATAGTCGCTACAATAATACGACAGAGAATTGGAAAATACATCAAGCATATAGAATCTCGGCATCATCTAACATCCTTCACAAACCGAGATTACTGCCACAGACGATTCCGAGTCATTTTTATCGATTTCCTGCTTCTGACTTCTGAATCATTTCGATGAAATATGTTGTCACAATCGGTGGTAGCATTGTTAGTGATCTTGTCGGCACAAATTAAAGACCTTCGGGCAGGAAGTGATCAGTGCCAAATGGTTTCTATTGACACTGAGGAAATTAAAGGTCAGTGTTGCGTTTATTACAAAAATGTACAAAATCGAGGCAACGGCTACCGAAACGATATCAGGAGGATCATTTCCACAGAAGTTAATGATCGCAATATCGATTTACTCGAACAAAGGGACAGCCCAGTTGATGATGAGAGAAACCCGTGTTCCGGTCCGGATACGGATATAACTATAGAAAATCCTGACAGAAGAACGGCAAATACGGGACCAGGAGTGATTCCCAAAAACAAAAATATGCACAGGAATGAGCGCCCTGTTATAGATAAAGTGAATAGGGATTACCATAATAAAACTAATGCAAACGGCACAATAAATGGGACAACTTTGGAAAGTGATGCTGAAGAAAAAGCGGGAAATGTCACAGTTCCCGATCTTGGAAATAGGAATAATGTGGATGTACCAGAAACTTGTACAAAAGGCTATGTCAAAGACAACAATGGAAATTGTGTTGAACTTTATGGAGATTAATATAATGTTGATTCGAAGTATGAACAGTTTTTTTTTTAACATACCTATACCTATATTTTTAGTCATGAAAAATCTCAACTGTTAAGACTGAAAGGTGAAAACAACAAAGGATTTGCACATGTGCATGGCGTAGATAGAATAATAACAATTTTTGCAGGAACAAGTGTTTGATATACTGAATAGAAGGTTTATAAAGGGGGTTGATCAAAAGACCTTGGAAATCCTCTTTATATTAATATACTATACGACTTATAATTTACTTATGACATTATCTTCATTCTCATATGCTACCAACATCAAAATACTAACTCCAGTATACAGTGTGTCTTAAGTTCACACCATAAATGGAAACCTTTTTTATTATTATTAATTTTACCCACGTGGGGGGATATCTTTCAAGTAGAAATAGTATTTGAAGAGCATATAAGATGGAATACTACCATTATTTATTTATTCTCTAAAATCTTTTAACAAGCCTTATTGGTCTCATATTTCAAAATAGCTTCGCTATATATTGCAAAGAATTATCCGAATATACACGGACGTACTCAGATTTGAAGACCAGATCTTATCAGATCATATCAAGTAGAAAACATGGTAAGTATAGACAACACGTTCGGAAATAATTACCCTATAACAACAGGGGATCTTGCAGGTATATCCCGCTAAGGTCCTACAAATGTCCCAATGTTAGACGCTTACGAACGATATCCCAGAGATGTTTCTTTCAAGACATCCATCAAATGTTTTCATTGGATGTTCTAGAAACATCCCATTCGATCATTTCTATGAACAAATGTGTATATATGCTTATAGGCATTGCTTTTTGTGGAAATTGTGAAATTTCATTGAAAAATGATAATTTATCCACTCAAATTGAGAATAATGTTCAGTACCTATCTATTATATTTTTCATTTGCATTTATTCAATTTTCTAGTCGACAATTACGAAATTGTATAGGAATAGTCAAAGGGGTGCATGTAAGAAGAATACAAAATAGACAAAAAGGAAACATGACACATAAGTGTAATTAAAGAGATAGCATATAAACAAAGAGATAGAAAATATTCAAATTCCCTCAATCAGGTTCACGCCGATCATCCTGTAAAATCCAGAAATCAGTCTGAGATCTGCTTACATTGTCTTCTGAAAAGGAAGAATCTGAACAGTAGAAAGCATTGATATCCGGTTGTCGTTTTACAATACTATAGGAAAATCTTACTTGCAGCGAAATTGAACAGCAATTGAGTTCCTAATAGTAGGAGAGTGCGACCGTCATCTGATAACGAAATGTTATATGTTCCAAAGGCATGAAGAACATTGTATTTTATTCTATCGAACGGCACCTGTGCCAATTACTATCCTGAGCCAAGTGATTGAAAAATTGCACTTTCCTGTGCGGTAATTTGCACTTCATTTCGCGATTAGATAACGAGATGAGGATTATGCCATCCGATACCAATTGAATAGTGGATCTCTGTGCCACCCCTCAAACTGAGCCAAATCCACGGCAAACCGATGTATTTGCTGCTGTTTTTCCGGGCATACTTCCGTCATGTGATAACGAGTTGACACAAAACGCAAATTCAAATCCACATGTTGAGTTTTACACTGGTCTGCCACTAACTTAGCTGTTTAATTCGCGGCAAGTTTGGATATTCGCAAAGGGGACATTATTCCCTTTCATTTGCTCTTTGTTTCAACTCGTTATCCCATGACGGAAGTATGTCCGGAATAACGACAGCAAATAAATCGCTGATGTGCCGGGATTTGGCTTTGATTAAGTGGTGGCACAGGTAGATTCATGAGATCCACCATTCAATTGGTATCGGATAGCATAATTATCATCTCGTTATCAAATCGCGAGATGAAGTGCAAATTACCGCACAGGAAAGTGCCATTTTTCAATCATTTCGCTCAGGATAGTGATTGGCACAGGTACCGTTCGATAAAATACAATGTTTTCAGATGCCCGTGGGATATATATATCATTTCGTTATCAGATGACGGTCGAAATTTGCAGCTGGCTCTTGGACTATAATGACATGACAAAATTTCAGCTATTATGTATCATAGCCGAAAAACAAATTAGTACCTATATAGTCGCCTATTTGTCTAAATCAGATATTATGGCAAATTAAAGATTCCATTCATTTTCATTTTCAAAAATAAGGCTACTTATAATGCTATCAGAACACAGCATGAACATGATACCAGACGAAAAAACCTTATTTTACCCCACCGGCATAGCACCGTTCGATATCAGAAAAGTTTTGAATATATTGGATGCAAAGAATGCAGCGTCATTAACAATTTTCAAGAATCGCATGAAAAAACACTTACTCCTCAAAAACTGCTACACCATAGAAGAATTTTTTAACTAGGGAACTTTATGATAATGAATGTGATAGGTATAGTCAACATGCTTCTCATGTATGTGCTTATTATCGTGTTACTAATGTGTATTTATATTTGTAAATAAGTGTATATTTATGTGATTATGTCCTGTACATCAGAATGTTTAAATTTAAAGAGTGATAGGATATGTTATATTGCCTGTATATTTTCACCTGTTGACAATTTTCACAATTTTCCTGTATTTTTTACATGTCAATTGCTGAGATAAATGAATAAATAAATAAATAAATAAATAAATAAGGGAGGATTTAAAATTGAATGAACAAAACAGTTTCAATAGTATTTATTTAACATTTTATAATTTGTCCTGCATATAAAATTGTATTGTCTCTAATTTCATTCATGTGAAAAATTGATTGAACTTGTTTGTTACCTATTCATTCATTAACATCACGACCTGGAATGGAAAAAGTAGTTAAAAATGCATATTTACAAAAGTTTCTCCAGGCTTAGTCTCTTTTTACACTCTTTTTCGTTTTGGTTTTCTGACCTGTTGGTACCGTGGGCCTGCCAGGGTAGCGAAAGATCAAAATTAACTGGACTAGGCAAAGAGCGAAACCAATCACATTCTGAATCTGTAAAATTATTGAAAGTTAACTCAATACAAAACACTATCGTTCGATACTTACAATCATGAAATCATTCAACAAGATGACACCATAAAGTAACCATAAAAATGTCACGATGGTACCCATGAATGTGAGAGGGAATGGAATGGCTGAAGCATCTTGCTTCTGTATAATCTCTTTCTGCAACAATTTATCATTTCATCTTTTGTTTTCAAATCTCAAAAATACAGGGCGAAAAATTGAAATGAGATTTTAGCAATGAATACCTAGAGATTGAGGAAAATAATTATTATAGGAAAAACGCTTATTGTTCATTTCCTCCCTATAATGGAATTGAATTTCCGAAAGAAAATATACCTTAAGAAACAGTTTTGGCCATTCATCATTGTGACGATGTCATATCAGTGACGTTGAAACTAACGGCCGGAACTAGCGACCTATACATTTTCTCGCCATTCGAAAGATTTTTCGAAGAGATTTTAAAAATACAACAATCAATACCTTTAGTATTTCTCAAAATATGGGCATTTGAAATTAAAAAAGTATTCATCGATTTTCAAACGATTTTGAGATATGAAAATGAATATGGGTTATAGTATATTCATGAAATGAAAATTAACTCTCCACATATTCTCCAGGAATTACCTTTGCCTCTTTTTAACCTATATATATGAAGTAACAAAAGCTGATTTCCAATTGTTTTGCTGCAGGCATTTCCAAAAGAAAATTTCAAAAGTTTGTAGGTCTCATCCTAACCGACCCTATATATATTTTTTTGATCATCTGCCCCTATGAAATGGCTGCAGTGTCTGCCCCTATGAAATGACTGCAGTGTCTGCTCATGCTTGGTTCATATAATCCAGTTCAGTGTATAATAAACTGATTTTCGGCAAAAAAATGTAGGTGGTAACTTATGAGAAACTATACGGCGTATTTGTGACTAATTGAACGCCATCTTCTTTGAAAATGCCACCACATTCACCGGCAGCCCCTAGGTTCTTGATTCACTCAATTACCTACATAGTACTAATGACTTTGGCGGTATTTTCATCTCGGTAAAAATGAGGCGATTCTATGGCGATTTTGGAACATTTTTTAAAATCATAACATTATTAAGCGACCACACTTGGCTGGCAGAGGCACGGTTTCCATTTCAATGTGGAAGGAATAATGCACCTGGAATGTAATTCTTGTGGTGACTTTTGAGTTCTGAGTCTGAGGCGTAAATTTTACTCCTGGCTCTTAATCCACCATTTTAAATACCTAGAAGGCAATGGGGTGAAGTTAAAGGGAGGTGGATTGAGCCATTCTTTATTAAAACCTTTATTAAAATGAGCATTAAAATTTCTTTGCCCAGTTTCTTCTTCTGATATGAATGTATGGAAAATGCTAGGATTAAATACAAGGAATTGACAAAAGAAATGGCAATCAAGATGTCAATACTTTTGGATGTTGGAAAAAATAAAAAAGAGTTTCTCAATGAAATAACTGATTTCAATAATCATGTAAGGAGATATTGCCCTGTTTTTGGGTTTTGACCAGCACTGTTATAAACTGTTTACTAATTTCAAATGTGAAAAATAAAGATAAAATGTAAACTGAAAACTACATCTTGCAAAATATTGTTGAATTATCCAGTTTTTCAACTCACCACATCCAACAATGGTGATCCCAATAACAATAACATCAAAATTGTGACTATCAATCCATATCTGTATTCCAAATTACTGGGTTCTTCCCATTCAGCATAACCCAAAAAAATTGCTATTAGTGTAGCCCCAATTCCTAGAGGTTTCAAAACGTCCTTGTACTTTTCTGGGGAATATAGGTAGTAAAATACTGTGTAGATAATATTGAGGAGTATAGCGGCAATGTTGACTTGTAACATAGCTGCATCATTCAGGAGAAGTCCATGTTTCAACATAAGGCTTCCTCTGAAAGATATTATGAATTACACATAATATACCTATTCTTTCAGAATATTTGTAAAATGTCATCAATGTTAAGAGGATCTTTTAGTAATAAAATTGAAAATTATTGATTCAATAAATAGAATATTGAGTTATAGAATTAGGGTTAGTGATCCAAGAAATTTTCAAAGGTACCTACTCATGTCTCAAAAATTAACCAAACCATTATTTAGGCATTATTTTTATCACAAATATAGATGTATAGAAAGTCAAATCACATACACTTGAAACAATAGATAGTAGTTCAAACATTTATGTAGTATTGTGTATTCAAACAATCAGTAGGATTTTATTCTGAAAATACCTACTCATTCAAATCCTTGTCTGAAAAATTCGGAAGTAGGTAAGTATAGGTATTTGAATTTCCTGAAGGTACCCAACAAATATTTCTTAAATTAATTTTGAGCCATATTATATAATTGAAAGATGTCACTTGTTCTGACAAGAAGTGAAATATAGTAACATATCATCCAAATCATATCATAAAAATGTTCATTCAATGACTATAAAATCAAAAATTATCAATTAACATAACTCAAGAATGTGAGGGATCACCCAATATGCATGATATTATGTTCTACCTTGTGTCTAGCTGAATAATGAATATCAAATGATATAGAGGGGAAATAGTGCAAAACCCCCTTCATGTTAATCATTTATTCTATTTATATATCAAAGAAGAGCAGAAATCATTTATGTGCTTATTAAATGATTTATCATATTCAATCAGAATAGATTAATGATACACTTTTCTTAAAATTGTTTCTATGGAAGTAAGATAACCAGATGATGAGCCAAATGATAAGCAGAATAACTGAGAGAATAACTAATATAAAAATTGATAATAATTTAGATCAACATACTTACATGACAATACCTCCAATGAATGGTGTTGCAGGAGTACCCTTTGTTGTTCCCTTTTTGTAGATATCTTTGCATACAAATACTCCAGAAAAAAATTGGGCAATAGTTACAATACTAGCAACTTGCCCAACAAATTCTTTATGAGGTTGCAAAGTTTGAGATAGTGCTTCCATGATGCCGCTCTGAAAATTGACTGGATAACTAGTAGTGGGTGAATATGATTTTGTTTACAACTTACATTTCTGCTGATGCTTCTATTTTTGATAATAAATGATAATCAACATACAAGCGATTTTTACTGAAGGTGATTACCGAGGTGATTGCGTTATCTCTTGTTATTCCAGCACGTTTTCAAGCACTTTTGAGCTGAGTTTGAAGGACATGTCACCAATTAAAACTAAACAAAATATCCACTACAAAAATCACCGGATATCAATGTTTGGCGATATCGGTATATTTTACTTTATTAATTTATGTATATTATAATAGCGGAGACTACGGATATGCATTTTGTGTCAATTAATAATAATATAAAATAAATATAATGAAATGTATGAAAAAGACATGTTTGTTTACTTGACCTAAATAATTTTGATTTTTGACATGATGATATTGAAAATTGACGTCTCTTTTTTGTTTTTCAGAGTTTCGGAAGCAGGCTATTCATTCGAACTACCGAATTTGTCGGATAGCCCTTTAGTAGTTCAGATTGAAGAAAATTAATGCAGAAAGAACAAGGAAAGAACCAAAGAGGATTCTTCGAAAGAACAGTGAAAGAGTTACGAAAGAGAGTCGGAATTTCAGAAGTGCCTAAATCTTTCAAACAATTCCCATCACGTGATATGTTGAGATTCGTGTTTTTAATGCTTATTTTTCACAAAAAAATTGTGAAGGCTGAGTTTGGCAGGGGCCCCATTCTCGACAAGTGAGCTTTTTGTCGTATACGCATCGAAACGAATGGTTCATGTGCGAGTACTTCTTCGAAGTGGTATTATTTTTCCCAACGTCGGTATCAACGCGGTCAACGCCTATTGGTCGATTTCGTTACCTATAGAGACAGAACTTGGTCCCGCTTTGAGGACAGCTATGATTCATATATGAGTAGTAGATATATGCTTTTCAGGTAAGGCATTAGCCGTTCGATATCCAGATTGATCCAGAGTCGAGCGCGGTTAGTACTTGCATCCTTCCACGAGAAAAGATAATATACTGTGGTACTTGGATGTTGAATGAGTGATTGGGTGACAACTGAAAGTGACAATCTGACAATACCAGAGGATTCGGCAAAATTTCCCGTGTAGTAAAGGCTAGGGTCCCTTGTTGGAAATATGACGTTAAAGTCAATTATTGACTTCAACGTCAATTTCCATCAAGGGACCCTAGTGTGCTCAACGGCGTCGGTGAATCGGTGATTAGCCTCAATAGCAGAAATGGCCGATGTTAAAGATACAAGAAGAAGAAGAAGAAGTAGAAGAAGAAATAAGAAGAATCTTATTCAAAATTAAAAATAAATAATTTCCTTGAGGGCTTTTTGTAAAGGAACAAAATATTTGATTTTTGATTGAAAGCGTATTTCAGCAACGTCTAAAGTCTAAACTTCACAGAGGAGTGAGATTTGATTGTGAAAATACATAATAATTCCTTCTGCCAGATGTCCAAACCCTCAAGTTCAACAAGCTCTGCGGAGCCTCAGCAATTTGATAGCCAAGCTCAGGTTGCTCAAAAAAATTGGGAAATGTCGAACAATGTAGAAGTAGTCAGCTCAGTGGATGAAATATACCGCTATGATAAAAAACAGCAACAAGATATCTTAGCTGCAAAACCATGGGATAAAGAGTCAGTTTCTTTATTCTGTACATGATCAAATTAATCTTATCAATTCGATTTTAGCCCTCATTTCTTCAAAGATATCAAGATATCAGCTCTAGCTTTATTGAAAATGGTAATGCATGCTAGATCAGGTGGAACTCTTGAAGTAATGGGACTAATTTTGGGTAAAGTTGATGGAAATACTATGTTTGTCATGGATTCTTTTGCATTACCTGTTGAGGGTACTGAAACTAGAGTAAATGCCCAAGCTCAAGCTTATGAGTATATGAGTTCCTATATTGAGGCTGCAAAATTGGTAGGTTTCAATAATTTAGAATATAACAAATGATTGAAACTGATCTCATTATTTAGGTGGGTAGACAAGAAAATGCTATAGGATGGTATCATAGTCATCCAGGCTATGGTTGCTGGTTGTCAGGAATAGATGTTAGCACACAGATGTTGAATCAAAATTTCCAAGAACCGTTTGTGGCCATAGTTATTGATCCAGTCCGTACAATTTCTGCAGGAAAGGTTTGCCTAGGAGCTTTCAGAACATATCCTAAAGTGGGTTCACATCAAATCTAATTCTATTTGGTGATGATATTTGAGGTTTTTAGGGATACAAACCTGCTAATGAAGAGCCTTCAGAATATCAGACCATACCTTTGAATAAAATTGAAGATTTTGGAGTTCATTGCAAACAGTACTACTCTTTAGAAGTATCCTATTTCAAATCTGCACTAGACCGCAGATTACTGGATTCACTTTGGAACAAATACTGGGTCAATACATTAAGTTCCTCTAGTTTACTTACTAATGCTGATTATACTACAGGCCAGATATTTGATTTATCAGAAAAATTGGAACAGTCTGAAGCTGCTATAGGTGTGTATAACTGATTTCTCAATTGAAACTTGGTGGACCTGAGACAATAAATCTGATGGGTACACAGAGTTACAATTTTTTTTTATAGGGAGTTTGTGAAAGTATTACAAATGCAAATTTAAAATAAACATCTGATGATTTCTACTCATGATAATAATTTCATCATTATATAGAATGATGATAATTCTTACAACCTAATTTGATATCATTTTGTAACAATATGGACTCTCATATTTCTAGGTCGTGGTGGCTTCATAGTTGGAGGGGCAGATCCCCATGAAAAAAGAACTGAAGATAAACTTCTTAAAGCTACTAAAGATAGCTGCAAAACTACCATAGAAATAATCCATGGACTGATGGCTCAAATGATCAAAGATAGGTTGTTCAATAGTGTTACCCCAAATACTTCAGATGCTCTTGCTAGTTTGAAATGATAATGGAATGAATGCTGATTGAATATTTAATGTTATTAATGCTTTGTCACAGATTACTCAACCTCATATAATTTTTACATATTTTGAATTGAATAAAAAAATCTTACTTAGTGATTTACTTGGTGGTTTGGTATTAAGGCTTATATATGAGTAAAACAGGTAGAATATACACCTATATTATGATTCTTTCAGAATCATACATAGATTTCAGAATAATAAATATATTATTTCAAAAATGATTCATGATACTAATTATCGATTTTGGATATATATTGCTTTGATAGATTTTTTTCTAAAATAAATTCATTATTTTTGTCACCTTCCAATTATCTAGACAATAGGAATATGTTTTGACTCGATAATCTATATGTGAAATCTACAAAAGCAACCTGTGTCAGGCACACTTTTCTTGTTTTGAAATGTCATTATAATGACTTTTTTCTCATTACAATGACTTTTTAAATGAGAAAAAGTCAATATATTGGAAAGTCATCCCAATGAGAAAAAATCATTATAATTAATTTTCAAAGAAGAAAAGTGTGCGTGAGCATGACATCTGGGAGCTTTCGTAAAAATCTAATAGAAATCTAATATCGAGCAGCTCTAATCTTGATCAGTCTTGATATGTATCAAATTCAATGATGAATTGATGATATGTGCTTAAACCATCATATGATTTCTGGGATAGAAGTGATAGAACTGAATAACTGAGAATTGCTCTTGTTCTACTATGTCCTGAGAATCAGTCAAATATACTAGTAAACCAAAGTAAACACTTGAGGGATATTTCCATATTTCATTCACGTGGAGATTTGTTTACAACGTGAAAGATGTAGTTAGTATCTGCCAAGTAGGCTCTAGGGCTACTTAAGCAGTATCTGTCAATTATACTAGTTACCAGTTACCACTTGGTATTAGTTAAGTAGGCTGCGGCTGGTTACCACTCAGTATCCAACCGCAAGGTCGTGGGTTCGAATCCCAGCACGAGCAAGGAACTTTTTCAATATTTTATTTACGAATTAAATATTGTAAAGTTTCGGAGCATCGGCTGGGGATAGTCCTGCACGATTCGCTGTTGCGTTCCAATTAACAGTGCTGCTCCTAAAGTGGTGCATGGAGTTAGTAACAAAGCCTACACAGAACACGCAGAAGTAGGACGGTGTATGTAGGTGGGTGTGGAAACCTATCAGCTGAGCGTGAGAGCGGGCCAGCTGCTTATAGTGGACCCCAGTCTCTAACGGGGGTTAACGAGGATAGCTAGCAGGCCTGCCACTGCGCATATGGCAGTGAGTACATTACTAGCCTAGCCTACAAAACACAGCTGAAAAACTCTGAAAGAGAGCTGATGGGCGGTGCCTGAAAAGGATGTTAGCCAGCTCTTTCGAGCGAACCACATCAGGCATTGAAAACACTTGGGGTTTGCAAAAGGGTTCCACTAGGGACCACTGAACTATATATCTGTCTTCGTCAATGTAAGAATAATTGGTCGTATAAAGTTCCATATTGGGACTGAAGAAACACTCATTTATATTGAACTTATAACTACTATTTGTTTAAAACGATTTATATCACGCGGTATTTGAATGTCTCTCTGACACTCGCTGCTTGACTGACTGACGGGACGGCAGTTGCCCGGCCGTTTATATATGAGATCACTTGGTAGGCTTTGCTTCTCGAAGGTTCTCGAATGATCTTCCGTACCCTTCTTTTTGTTCTAGAAGCTTCTTAGATCAATACCTCTCTCTCTAATTCTTCCATCGATTGTTTCCTGAACATTCCAAAATCTTCTGTCACGTTATTTGTCACCATCACGGCATATATGTGCTCGGAAATATGCTGGTGCATGTAGGAATCATCGGGAGGTTGGAGAACAATCTGGGATGCGTGTTACAGGATGATCGTTGTACTCCTGTCTTCCTGATGATGTTTCTAGAGCCCCTCTGAGGGAAATATCATTACACTATGATCCGTCGATGTTTTGTTTTGTTGAAACTAAAATGATTTCATCATCACTCTACAATTTTTTCGCAAGTTCCTACTAGACCACAAGCATTGAACACAATATTAACCACACTCCTCTACTCCAGTAGTTTGGTGTTGGCAGCACTGCATTTTGCGTATTTGACGTGTTTTGACTTGGTTTTGACTTTTGAAGTTTTGACTGTTTACTTACTGTTGTGACGTTTGTTTGGTTAACCTTAACCTACAGTGATGAATTTGAAAATTATAAAAACATTTTAATTCCTGCAATAAAAATGGCAATAAAAATAGTGAGAACTAGAAGCATTCATGCCCTCTTGAATAGTTCAGTTTCGACTTGGTTAACCCAAAAAACCTCGCAAAAAACTCAACTCACTAATTTCGCAAAATATTCAAACAATGTAAATACATGTAAATTTAGTGTGAGTGCAGTGGTATCAGGTAGTGCAGGTCACGCTGAAACTACCAGTACAACACAAGGTTTATCGAAATTACAAGCTCAAGAATTGATCCTGAGACTCAATGGAGAAGAGAGAAATATTTTAATGACAGCACTCCACGAGTATCAATCTAAACTAGTCAAAGATGAATATGAAGGTAAAATGCAGCTGTGGTACTTGTGCTGTGCTGATGTGCTATGATGCCCTGTGTTGATAATTATTTTTTAAAATTATTTATTTGCTTACTTGAGGCTGTTTGCATTTGTTATTTTGTTATTGTTATTTTAACAAGGAGTATGGAATAAACAACTCTCTCCTTAACTAAGACCCAGGTTAAGACCTAAGGCTTGGCATACTTTGCCAGTCATACATATAAAGCAAGATGTAAATGAAATCATCTGTGGATGATTTATATGGTATTATCATGAGAGGTATTATGCAACCAGCCCTAGATTTATTATTTGAATTATAATTTGACTAATACTGTATGGTCTTGACTCTGTAGCAATAACTCACTATAGTTACTGAGCCAGTTACTTTCAACTTTGGTAACCCTCAACAACAACACCCTAGCACATGCCTAGCACCCATTTAGCACTTATCACATCTATCACAAGACTGAGCACAAGACCACTCACCACTCAGTATTGAAATTATAATAAATCTCCAGATGAACAACTCATGAAATACCTATATGCTGATTAGGCAGCCTATGATTTTTATATTCTTTCAAAGTACAGATAATCCTAAATTTCTTTCACTTAGCAGATTACCATTACCAGTGAATAAAGATATCAACCAGTGGCTGAGACATTGTAATGTTTACAAGACAAAATATGGTTGATACTGGATAGTTTGTTGCATGTTAAGAACCAGTGGAAAGTTTCAGATTTGTTGGGTGATCATATTATATCCTTGTCTAGGTATATATCTGACTTGATATCTGATATGTAGCAATGGTAGGTCATTTTTTTTGTGTAAACATTTTCAAAATCATTCTTATTTGTGAAACAATTTCCAGCAGTATTTTTCCTAGAATTGTTCAGTTTTTTATTCTGAGAGTATTAGGTTCATAATTGGTTGTGTAATATTGGTTTGTGAATTACTGCCCCAAGCACTGCTCATATCCTCTTACTAGTGAATGAAAAACAAAATTAAAAGTTCTCATTGAGATTATTGAGAACAGATTTTTGTCAAGATATTATATGTATACCAGGGGCCAGGAAACCAGGAGCTAGGTAACTCCCTGTTAATCCATGAAATCCAAGAAGGAATCAAATAAACATTATGAGAAATGATTTTTTTTTATTGACTCGGCAGTTACTTTATGGAAATCAATAGCATATATGTAAAAACTTCACAAATGATAAGATTTTCACAAAATTTTTGATGACATGACATGTTTTGCTAATACAGTAGTTTCATCAGGTGCAATACTGGTACAATGAACTACACTAACCTTGGCTTGCCTAACTTTTATATATCCTACTTTCCCAACCTGAAGGATTACCTGTGGAAAGGTTGGATAAAACTTAATTTTCGGAAAATAGGCACAATATCTACATTGAAATTTGGTGTACTGGTTTAACTTGAAAGGGTTGGTAGCAAATACATATTATTACATACTAAGAAAACAAATTCTACAGTGGTGAACTATTGAGGCCTAGTTGAACTTTAAGTAAAATGTTAGAATTTTTCAGTTCTCTGATTTCTAATGATTCAAAATGATATATTGAAAGGGTAATTTTAGGCTAATTAATTACCCCATTTTCGTATTTTCTGCTCCACTTTTCAAACAAAAAAAAACGAAAAGATTCTGATACAAAGAGAAATTGTTTGAATAATTGTGATTGCAACAACAACAACGTTATTTTTGGTGGTCATTTCATTTAGGTTTGACTTGAAGAGTAGGTATATCCATTCAGGTTAAGAATTAATATATTTCAAGGTCAACTAGCAGCCTCGAGATGGAGGAGCAAATTCGGTAGACCTAGCAAACTGCCCAGGCTTGGTGATGTGGATCCCACGGGAACTTTTTGTACATTCCCGGAAGACTGGCTCAAGAAGAAGATGGGTACGAATTTAATATAATATGCGGTTCCAGGGCTTTTACCACCTTTTACTAACCATTCCTAACTCACTAATCATTTTCACAAAGGCTTGGTGATGGTATGGTAGAGATTATTGGTAGATGAAATTGCATAGAGCCTATAGAGATGCAGATTACAAGATTTGGTGTTTGGTGCTTTGCAGAGGCGAAATGGATTCTTGGCATATACCCAGTGGTTCAGGAGTTGAGACCATTAATTTAGAGATTGAAAGGAGACATCAATTCTATTTTAATATCTAGGTACTTTATATATATATTTTTTTTTACATATGCGATTTATGAATAGAAAGAAGTATTCAAACAAAGAAATGAACAACGTTCAATTTTTGTAATGTGTTTCTACAACAATTAAACGTTTGGATACTTTTCCGTATTCTTAAACCATGTGGTCTAAATATGACAACTGTTGAAAAAATATCACCGTACAACTGGAATCAACAAAATGGAGGTAAATTCAAATCCGGCGCTCTTGTTTAGACACTCTTCAGAATAGCTGACAAATGATACAGAACTACTAGGAATTAAAATATTCTCATGTAATATTTATCATTCTTATTGATCATATTGGCAGTAACATAGAATTTGATGAAAACTAGGATATCATAGGGGCGGATTCAGGCGATATTGGAGCAAGGAGCCATAGAAAGAGAAGTTTTGGTTGGTACCTTCTGAGGTGGAATTTATAATACCCACATTTTTTCATATAAGTGAGGTTCGCGAGGGGAGTGGAATGGCCCCTATGCCCCCCCCCCTGGATCTGCCCTTGGGATACCATTGAAGGAAAAATAGCATCGACGCATAACCTAACATAACTATTGAAATTATAACTAATATTTGTCTAGACGTCTTTGAGCATTCCTTCCTCACTTTGACATATTACTAGGTATATTCTTTTACTGAAAAGTGTGAAAAAATTGTATCAATCATGTTTACTGTCCCAATTTCACACGCTTTCATTACTCATAAGAATTGCCTCACTCTGTCTACGGCGTCGTGCGTTCTACTTAAAAAATGCAGGACTTTACTGATGACTATTATTACATTAATCACTATTTTATAATTTTTCATAATTCTATCAAAAATGGGGAAAAATCTAGATAAGTTTCAATACTATAAGTACATTCATGACAATATTTTTTATTTTTAGTTTCAAACTCGAGCATATTATTTGTAGTAACAGACCATCAATAAAAAAATAACATTACACATCAATCACTGGCAGTATACATTCAAATTACTTCATTTGCATGTTTGCATATTTGCTTTGTTAAATGCATGTTTCAGGCGAATTTTTTCTTTTTATTATAGCCTATACATATAGCTTTTATTTGACATGGAGATTGAGATTGGGAACTGCTGTTAGTGCCACATTATTTTCTGTCTCTGTCTCCTTAGTCAGATCCATAGCACATATTATTATTTTTGTTTTATATGCTGCGGGTAAGTTCTAAGTTATATGATACGGAAATGGTTAAGTTGGTATAGGTATATTATGAATGTGGTAGCATTGTTGAATAGTTTCCAAAACTACTTTTCTCATTTGTTTATTCAAAGGACAAAAAATGTTCCATTATATGTTCATTTTAATACTGATGAGAAAATGTGTTTCTTCATCACAAAATTCACAAATGAGAAAATCAAACTCATAAACTAAGAAGAATAAGATATGCAATCATTAGTTTCAATTCACGTGATGAAGTTGAATAAGCATCCAAGATTGGAGTTAGAACCTTCTTTGGTAAAATGAACCATATAAGCTTCTCCACGAGAGTCGTTGTACTCGTACCTAACAAAGAGTAGAATTGAAATGTTTGCAGTAGTAGCACATAGTAGGCGATATAGTACAGTCGTATTCAATAAAAAAGCGTACAAGTATTAAAAAGAGAGGATTTCGGGATCCTAGTTCTAGTTGTGTAAAACTGGCTCAGCCAATGCTTTGTGTTTTCAAGAACCTATGACAACTCTACTATCAACTTTTGGTGAACAATCATTCCCGATAGCCCGTTTTATGCAGAATAGGATGACGTTAATTTCTCAATGTAATATACTTGTACGCTTTTTTTTTAATTCGACTGTATCTGCTTTTTTTTATCTCTTGGAGTGCACGAAAGGGAATCCCTATTATGTTCGAAGACTATCTTGCGTAGGTACCTAGGGAGGGTAGGGAAAGGAGGTAGGTATTGGAATCATTTTTGAACATTTGGACCTGGGGATTATAAGTTCCTAGGAATACTCCCTTTGGCAAAGAATTCCAAAGCTGTGGTTTGAAATGGCGTACAAATAAGGAAACTTAACAATGTCATTTAGTTTTCTTCTGTAAGTTTGTCTGCTAGAAACGTTTGAGATTAATAACTGAAATTTTAGGAAACTCATCGTCATCGTCAATAACTTCACATCAGAAAAACCAAAAATTCGAAATACATGATTCGACGAAATATAAGTAGATTCCTACTCATCTTGACTTTCAAGATATCATTATCTGTACCACGGGTGCCTGTACAACCTATTTATATTTTGAAATACATAGTCAATCATGAAATGTTTGATATTCATAAACTGATGTTTCCGTGGACATTTTCGAATATTCTCAGGATGTTCTACACGAAGGTGCACTGAACGTTCTGAGAATATTCTAAAAACATGTAAATGGGACGGAAATTCACGTTCTAAGAACGTTCTCAGAATATTTTTCAGGACATTCTCAGAGGTTACTCTATGAATACGAGGTGTCCGGAAAGGTCATGTCGCAAATGATAGAGCTAATAGAATGAACCAAAATAATGTTAGTACTTTATATAAAACATTTTCTATCATTTACGACATGACCTTTCCGGGCACCCTGTATGTAAAACCTCCTCAGAATGATCTAGTAATATTCTCAGTATTTATCATGGTATATCCTTAATGCGTATGGAAAATATTTCAAGGAACGATATGATCATTAGGGTGATATAATAATATATTTCACGCATTACCAAAAAACATCACCCAAAAACTGATAACCATACACGGATCATGGATGCTTCACGAATATCACTATGTGTGAAAGCATATTATTTGTAGTTTCAGCACCCCTAACAGGTAGGAAGAAAGTAATTGGAGAAAATTGTGGTTAATTGCGATTCACATTGATCCCTATTATGGCTACCGCAGGAGCATGATAAGTTTGATATGGTTTGATCAAAATCAACGAAAAGGATTTTGAATAAATCAATGAAAAATCTTTTATTTTTAATTGACTATCTGAACATATGTATAGGAAACATTTTTTTTTTTCTTTTTTCCAGAGTACCTATCAGAAAATATACCGGGTGACACAGGAGACATGTAGCAGCCTGTAGTTCTTTTATTTGAAGAGATAAAATTTTGAAATTCATAGGGGGTATATAATAAATGGTAGCGCACTTCACGAACTTAACGACAATTTTGTTCAACCACCTGTTTGACCGGAAGTGACCCCAACTTTCTTTTTTTAAATGTCACCCTGTACATTTCTTCAGTCTATCTTTTTCGCCATAAATTCTCTATCCAACCATGTATCACAAAGTGGCATTTATTCTTTAATTCGCTGTTGAATTGCTTTTTATTCAAAAAGAAAAGTTGGCTATGACATGAATTCGATGATGAATTCCTCAGGTAAATAGGATGTACCTTGAACATAACAGTGATTCCTTTTCGTATACTAGAGACGAAAAAAGGTGCTTATTATCTCTGCGAGTGATAAGAACTTGATATTAATAATATGAGTTATTATTTGATTTTCTCTTTCGCAGTGGCATCTATTCCTAGACCGACTACAAGAAACTTGGTGGATAGTAAGTATCATATTTATCGTGTTCAATATTTTATTTAATTTCCTCTATAAACTTAATAAGGAATCAAAAATGACACAAATCACCTCTGGTGTAGGCACAATGCAATACCTGTTCTAGGTCGAACACTTGGCTTTCGTTTACTTCAATAAACAGTGTGAGTGAATTTCACAAAATTACAGGCAATAATTAATACAGAGCCATAGATATTTAGTTCTAAGTGAACTGTATTCACTGCTAACAAATCCAATAATAGACCAGGCAATCTAGAACGATTTACCCCGGAATGAAGCAGTTTTCTCGTACAGATCCGATTTTAATGCGTTTTTTTTTTGTATTTTCAGAAAGGCCATAGCAAAAAAGTCTCGCCTTTTTTATTGTCGTAAGATAGCGGAAATGTATATCGCGGGTGCATAAAGTGCACCTGAACGTGCATCGCATCAGACAAACCTCCAAAATGAACTAAACGCCGCTAAAATTGGTACTACGGGGGTTTTGGGGGACGCTGAGTTCCAATATGCATGTATCATATTCACCCGACGCTCCGATGGGAGGGAAGGGACCATCAAATATATTTTGTTTACAATTTTGGTTGTCATGCTTTCAAATGTTATGTTTCCTTTTTGTCATTGGAAAAGTTAGGGCATACTTTTTTCGCTGTCATAATGACAAAATCACAGCGGCTATTTTTATATACATAAATTAAGAATGAAAATAGTTATTTTCCTAACATGTGCGCAAAGTGCTACTTTTACGCACTCATATACAGTTAGGCGAACGACGCGGAGCGGAGTTCGAATGAGTTTTTGCGAGCGGAAAAGACACTTTACGCACGTGTTAGGAACAACGTTTTTCCTACGAGCTTAATATCAGATTAAAAGGAAAATAAACTAAATTATAACTTATTCAAAATGTAACTATACTATACATAGAAAATCACATTTTCCCTACGAGCTTCATATCAGATAACAACGAAAATAAGAAAATTTCAACCTGAATAATTACAATTTATAGAATGATTTTTAGTTAAACTTGATAGAAATAGCTAAACAACAACAATTACATATCAATTAAATATAATGATAGAAAATTAAATCATTTGTTCATAATATCTATATCAGAGAGGAGAAATACAAATATCGAGAAGAACGAAGTAAAAGGGATAACGGCTTCTGATAGTGCATACAATAGTCTACAGCAACTAAACTGAATATAAATGTTCCATACCAGTGAGATTTTTGGATAGTTTTACTTATCCGCACGCCGTGCGGATGACGCCCATATCCGCACTGAGTGCTGGAAAGTAGTACTACGCGCACGAAAATGAGTGCGGAAAAGTACTACTTTGCGCACGCTCGTAAGAAAACGAACTTATTGCACACTGCCGAACGTGGACGCTGCAGATAGATAGATAGATAGATAGATAGATAGATAGATAGATAGATAGATAGATAGATAGATAGATAGATAGATAGATAGATAGATAGATAGATAGATAGATAGATAGATAGATAGATAGATAGATAGATAGATAGATAGATAGATAGATAGATAGATAGATAGATAGATAGATAGATAGATAGATAGATAGATAGATAGATAGATAGATAGATAGATAGATAGATAGATAGATAGATAGATAGATAGATAGATAGATAGATAGATAGATAGATAGATAGATAGATAGATAGATAGATAGATAGATAGATAGATAGATAGATAGATAGATAGATAGATAGATAGATAGATAGATAGATAGATAGATAGATAGATAGATAGATAGATAGATAGATAGATAGATAGATAGATAGATAGATAGATAGATAGATAGATAGATAGATAGATAGATAGATAGATAGATAGATAGATAGATAGATAGATAGATAGATAGATAGATAGATAGATTTTGTAATCTTAATCTTAATGTCAATGTTGATTGAAACACTAATTTTTTTTCGATCAGTAATTAACCCCATTACCCCCCCCCCTTGAATACGCGCCTGTCTGTACTGGGACAACCGGTATAATATTTATACACTATGATATCTAGTAGTTTTATTTACAAAAATGTCTGCAAGAAATTGAGTTATTCAAAATAAAGTCCTTTTTGTTCACAGTTGGTATAGCAAATTCCATTCCTTTCATTGGATTCGGCTTCCTTGACAACTTCTTCATGTTGATTTTTGTGAGTCCAACAACTTTCTGCTGAACGCAATGTAACAGATGATTTCTAGGGTGACTACATAGACCTGTACTTGGGTTCATACTTCTGTTTAACGACAATGGGGGCAGCAGCCTTGGGCAACACTATTTCCGACATATTGGGTATAGGATCAGCCTTTTACGTTGAAAGGTTAGTCGAAATAGTTATTAACGTAACAAGTCACGAAGACACTGTTTTTCGAACTAGTAGACAAGAAAAATGTTTGCAGGCCCTATAAATCATTTTCCGCCTATCTCTATCCAATGTATACATTTTCCTGGTCTCATTCTAGGGAACAAAGTCGTACTTTTCGTCATCATGTAATCAATGAAATATCTCATACGGCATTGACGACCTAAAGTATATGTTCGTATATACAGGGTTACTCACTTTATCCGCTAGGAAGCATTGTGGCTAGCGCAAGTGGTTTTTTTGACAGTTTTTTGTCGGATAAATAAGGACCTATCAGCGCTACAATTTGAAAATATTGTCATGTTGTACAGTATGTCGGATCCTATCAGCGCTACAATTTGAAAATATTGTCATGTTTTACAGGGTGTACCAAAAACACGAAATGTATCAAAGTTGCTATTTTTTAAATGGAATACCCCGTATTTCAATCCTTTTTTATATTCTCCCTGAATACCTGATTCCAACAATTCATCACACAGCCTAATTAGAAGTTCTAGAAAGAATTACATCATTTTTTTCTTGACTTACTTGGAGTTGAAAAAGTATACATGATGCTACTAGCTGTAAAATTGTCAATGCCCATAGTCGAAAAATCGATTTTATAAGAAATTACAGTTCATATTATTGAAATTTCATATACCAAAATGGTTATTGAGCATAGGTTATGTGAGTGTAAAAATGAATTTCCTTGTTCCGACAGAAAATCCGCGGCACGCTACCGAAAATTATCATTTCTCCATAATATTTTTCGTATGTTGTCGAGGAGATTCTAACTGTGAATCTAGACAACAAATATTTTTGGGCGAATAGGGATATATAATGAAAATAAGGGACTTTACAGTTCATTATTCTCATATTTGGGGATAAAATGAGTATAAATAATAAAATCTGTATAATTTGAGAGAATCATGATATTTTGTAACTTTGAAATTTTTAGATCTAGTTAGGTCATCATTTTCTCGAATATGTGGAAATATTACATGAAATTAATATTACTGCATTCAGATTTCCCCCATATTGTCCAAAAGATATTGGAAATACAGGGTGTTATTTAAGTACGTGGCCAAACTTGAAGAGGTGATTCTTTGAGTAATTCTAAGACGAAAAGTTCATATAAACATAGGTCTGGTAATGCTTCGTTTTCAAGATACAGGGTGTCAAAATTTTTAAAAGAAATCGTTTTTTTCGTAAATATCTTAATAACCCTTCAACTGATTTCATTGAAATTTGGTAGTGTTATTCGAGGTCGTAAAGGGCTAATTTAACCCTAACTATATCAAAATTATCATGTCCAGTGGCGTCCCGGAAGGCACTGTAACCAATATTTTTGACAGAAAAAATGTGCGCCACTGATTTTTTTGCAATTTTTGTATTTGTTCCACATTGAGCAACTAAAATTACAACTTTTTCATTTCTAGAATTTTTTTCGTATCTTGCTTTGTTTTTGAGAAAAAACATAAAAATCACTTCATTGCACATCCCTGTGACAACAGAATAAAACATTTCAACTACCAAACCATCAAAAACTGGGGTCTAACTAATATTTTTGATATAGTTAATGTTAAATTAGCCCTTTACGACCTTGAATAACACTGCCAAATTTCAATAAAATCGGTTGAAGGGTTATTAAGATATTTACGAAAAAAAAGATTTCTTTTAAAACTTTTGACACCTTGTATCTTGGAAACGAAGCATTACCGGACCTATGTTTATATGAACTTTTCGTTTTAGAATCACCCAAAGAATCACCCCTTCAAGTTTGGCCACGTACTTAAATAACACCCTGTATAGGTACTGATCGACTATAGAAGTTATGACTTCCGACGTGTGGTCGGTCCTCGAACACGAGTTTTCTGAATACCGTTAAATCAAAATATCACAATAAATACAAAAACGCAACAAACTTTGACTTTTCGTGAATGAAATGAAAAAATCTTGAAATTTTTACGCTCTGTAGATTGGTAACGAAGCGTTTGCGGACACATTTATAGGAAAAAAAGTCTTATTCTGACCTGAAAGGTAAGTCCCTGAGATGTTGATACTGAATTTGGAAATACCCTGTTTAACTTTATTTTCATGCTTTCCGCCACGCGGGAATAATATTCGACATCCCTGCCATACTCTATTATGTGTATTATGAACAAGTATTGATAAAATCGTAACTTTTATTAGGTTAGCCAACAGAATAGGGTTCAGTCCTCCCAAATTGTCCCCAATGCAACTAGACATGACCTGTTCTAGAAATGCTGCCAACGCTGGCAGAGTTCTCGGGGTGACGCTGGGATGCATACTTGGGATGTGTCCGCTGCTTTGGAGGAAAAAAAAGGAAGAGATAGACGACGATTTAGAGATGAATATATTAGCGAATAGTTAAATTAGCAAATAGAAAATGTTCATTTTAAAGTGGATGACACTTGAATCGTGATACCGCAATATTTTTCGATATGCTTATTCCATTAGGTATCAGGGTAACATTTTGGTGCATACCAAAATATCAAATCTATCAAAGAGTATTTCTTCCAGATTTTGAAGGATTGAAGCTGCCAAGTTGAAAAATGCTGGTAAATATAATTTTTCTAATTTTGACATGTAATTTACACTTTTAAAAACTGACAGAAGTTTTGAAACGTCTCACATCACATCACTTAACCAGTAAAGTAAAATATTACATAACAGGTGAAAGTTCATTTCAACACCAGTTATGTAATAAAAATATGAATAGATGAAGAGAATAGTGCAAAATTTTGTGCTGCTACCTCGATATCACTAGCAAAATATGTTCTTGAACCAGCCATTTTCCACTAATGAAGATACCAAACAAGGCTATTTCCTAAATTTCGTCGCTGATTTGTGGACCATATCATTGTTTGATGGATACTTCAAAGTGACAGGGGGAGTCAACTTGCCTACTAAATTTTGTACATAATCAGTAGTAGCATGTAGTAGTCATGTAGAATTTCTCATAATTTCAGGTCAAGCGAAATTTTTTATCAGAATTAGAGAAAAAATATTGTGCCTAACACGTTAGGAAACACATTTTGTGTAACTCTGAGTTTTGCGGGATCTCGCTTCGGTCGTCCCGCAAAATCCCATCATCACACAAAATGGCACATTTCCTAGTTGGTTACGAAAATGTTCAGTAACATCACTGAGTTTGATGTGATGAATGTCAGTATAATATGCTTATGCACTAGCGGGCGCTACCCCATATCAAGTTATTCTTGATTAAATTAAATTATACCTTACTTATAAAATGTAGTCCATTAAAATTCAAGACAGGATATACCGGGTGACCCGGAATTTATACCCCTGTATCTTCGTTGCTATTCTGATTGGATGTTTCAAATTTGGTGCATCGATTTCATTTCATTAGTGTATGATTTCGACAAAATCAGACGAAATATTACACTTCCGGTTGGACCGGAAGTGCATCCATATGTTTTATTTCAGAAACATAGTATGATTTTTTCTTTTCAGTATAAAAATTACCTTTCCAACGATATTCCAACTATCGAACTTTCAATCTACAATCTACTCATATAATTGAGATTATACAAAAAATTACATCTTGAATGTATATTCCCCTCGTAACGGAATATTTTCATGGAAGTATACTATGGATAATGAGTAAAAATAATTCGATGCCAATGCTTTTACAATAGTTATTTATGTATCAAGGGCATAAAATAGTCTTTTATGGACCGTAGCGTAACACGACAAGGTTTATAAAAGCAATTTTCCAAATATGCCTAGACTATTATATTTGCTATCAATTGATGTCATCACAGATATCTTATTTCTGATTCGAGTATCAAGAGCACTGTAATATTAGATAATGAACCATTCCATCTAGTACACAAATGTCCTGAATTATACAGGAATGCTTATCACGAGGTACCCATACGCCGGGCGATAAAGTTGTCCGCGGGCGGTAAAGTGCCACTTTACGCCCGGTCGTGCATAAAATATGTTTTATGCACACTAAATATTTTTTACAATTCTATATCAATTTTTTTCTATGGATAGTTACGAGAGGAATACAAAACAAATTTTATCATAAAACCTCAACTATATGAGTAGATTGTAGATCCAAAGTATGATTGGTATATATCGTTGGAAAGGTAATTTTATACTGAATCGTAATTTTCAAAAAATATGTATAAATCGTATTTGAAATAAAAAAATTTGATGCACTTTCGCCCAAATCGGAATCATATTTGGACTGATACTAGCAAAATTATACACTCATGAAATCAAATCGATGTACCAAATTTGAAACATCTATAAATACCAAAGGGAGTAAATTGGTTTCGGGTCAACCAGTGTAGTAATTATATACATATGTATATATGTAACTATCTCTAAAATCTACTAGTGCATAAAATGTTATAAATATATGTATACAGTTTATTGCTGTGGTACATTCCAGTGTTGTACACTTTATTTTGCTCAAAATACTAGGTGTCTATCCTGATTAGCCTACAACTTCAAGAAACAATTCTAGTGATATGAGTAAACACTGTATAATATGTGCAGTTACTGCAGATCCACACTCGATGATCTTATTTTAGAGTTTTTTGTTAGTATCACGATTATTTGTGAACCAAAGTTGTGAGATGAGACACACCAATGATGGAAGTAAGATATGGTGCGCGTATTCGGCAATTATTACGTATTGAAAATTTCAGAAAAATCACTCGACCGCCTACTATGATTTCTCTACGTCACAACGAGCGAGACGTTGATTCTACATTTTCCCGCTAGATGGTTATGCTGCTATTGCAGCTGTGACGAGTGGAAATAAAATGGCAAATGGCATTTAAGGTACGCGGAACATATGTAACAGTGGGATTATTCAACTCTGAATTCGAAAAATCTGCGACAATTTCAAAACTGACAGATGTCACAATTGTGCAATGTCGCCATCTATTAGAAGATCGACGGAACCATTGCTTTCGCTGTTCTCGAGAGGTCGAGTAAAATTTCTGAAACAAAAGCGCATCAGAGAGTAATTACACCATATCTTACTTCCATCAATGACACACCCAATGGCTGATCAGCTGATCTTGATCATTATAAATGCTTTAAGCAGTGTGCATTCCATTCAAACGGATCCACCCTGAATTACATCAATGAGGGCTAACATTGTATTTTTTCCACCAAAACGCACCACTCAAACGTGAGGCAACTCTGTCTTATTGAGAATTTCGAATATTATAGCTGGAGCCTCCTAGAAAACGGACTATTTTTTTTTTCATTTCTTTTTCGAATAAACTGAAAATTTATATCGGGTGGTATTTGAAGTTTAATAATACTAATTTTAACAGAAAAATTGGAAATTTGAGATGGTGAACAGTTTTGTCATTTCTCGTCTGATTCACGTGTAAATGTGAATCTGTGGAAAACAAATTTTCTTCGATTTTCAATTTGGAAGTTGAATTAAATATAGTTCAGACCCAGATGATAATGCAATATATGCATATTATCTTTATGTATATTCTTGAAGTAATAGTTCTAAAGAAGAATGCAAAAATTTAACTAATAAACATATGAAAATGTTGATATTGCGTGACAAAAATAAGAATACTTTTTAGCTCAACTGTGACCATTTGTAGTACCAATTGCTCTGGCAGTGCAGGGGTTAAAGTTACATCAAATGTAAATATGAATATAAAAATTAATTTTCCTGTGGGAAAGAATTGTCACTTGTCCCTTTTACTGCTTTATAATGCCATAGACTACAGAAGATAAACTATAAGACAGTTCACTCGTTCATTTTTCGACTTCTAAGAGATCTCGCCGCAACCTAGCCGACCGCTGGATTCTGCCGGCTAACGACTGCCGGGGCCTTTGAAATCGCAATCTAATTAGCTGTCAACCGACCGCAACCGTTTGGCGGTGCAATGATTTATAGAAAAGCAAAAAATGCAATGTTGGGCTGTACCGACAAACGGATTTCACTAAGTGAACTATCTTCTAGAATTCAGTAATCTTTGATAATGCATTGGCAACGATTGCTATTAACAGACCCATAACGGCCGGGACGTAATGAAGGACATTATGAATCATAACGCCCGCTAATTATTTTTTTCTGTAGTTCATGAAATTACATAACAATTTTTGGGTAAATTTGTGTTCATTTTCATTATGCCATGAAATTCACTAAATTTAATTTGAAATTCAACAAAGGTCAAAATATCAACAAATGCCATGCCGTCCATGAGAGGAAAAATAGAAAAAAAATGCTAGGAGCAATTAACCGATTTTTCATTATAATAAGATAATTTTTTTTGAAAAATTAAATCATCGGGCAGCATTCATCCCTCTGGCCAAAGGATCTCTTGTTACATTAATAACTATTTTGACGCCTATTTTATTATTCAAGCTGTAAATCATTATTTAGAAAGTTTTTCCAAGGTGGCTCATATTAAATGGAATGCAATGTATTGAAAATGAGACTACAGGTAATAGAATTAGTTCTTCAATTTCGTTATTGAAGTTTTCTTTTTCGCATGATGTATATGCAAACTATATATAGTGGTGCCATTTAAAAAATTTTGTTCATCCGGAAAATCCTGAATGATCCATGATGCTTATTCCTTTAGATTTTATTATGTTCAGATGTATTTGGTATCTACTTAATTTATTGACTGCTATAATTAGTTGTTATTGTTATATTGTTGAATTTTCTATTTACATACAATTTTATTAGCAATAATCTTATTCATTTATATAACTATGTCAAATGTTGATTTTTGCTACCACCATACTGTCATTTTTTGACGTTTTGGTCGTATTGAAATTAATAGTGCTGAAATAAAATGTTCTGGTATATCCAATATTGTTAACGAGTATACTACGCAACATCCGATTCAACCGGAAGTGAATTCAAGTTAATTTGTCAAATTGAACACCCTGTATCAGAGTAAGTACAGATTTTCTTCTCGAATACTCTTTTACCAGGTTTGTATATTACTTTCCTTCAAAAATCGGCATAAAATAGTAGGTATTCTCATTTGCTTTGTGTTTTGTGAAATAGAATATTTCATTTTAGCTCTATGAGTTTCAATCAATACACCAAAATGTTGAG